AACAATCTAAATTGACGATTATAACGATATCATTTGTTAGTTCAACAAGGTTGATGTGGAATGTCGATTACGCTTTAGATGCATTGAGAATAATCTTCTGAAGTTTCTTGCATTTCTTCCAAAACTAATGAGTTGTGGTTTCCAGTCCTCCCGACTTACTAATATGGTATCTGGAAAATCGAAAGTTTTGATGTCAATTAACGAAGGTAACTTACTAAACCCGATTATTACTGGACCCCTTTTATCATTATCTAGAAGTCGGCCTCTGAATAGCCTTTGGGGGGGATGTAAACAAAATTATCAAATGGCAATATTCTTTGAGACACAAAATCCCGTTCCCCTTAAAGTGATACACACCTTGTGAACAGATATTTTGTAAAGTTTTATAATAATAGCAGTCATGGCACTTGTTTTTACACAATTGAGCCAACAGTATTAAAAAAACCTTTCCAGTATGGAACGCTATGTTATTGATTCTTTGTTGCAATTAATATCCCGGAGGTCAGGGACCGATCAACAGGTCTGTTACTTCCACAGAAACTGGGCTGATTCATTGGATGTAATCATTTGTTCCATCATAACATTCCAAATATATTGTTGATTTGTGATTAAGCCATAATATGATAAAATATGTTTTTGCGCAATACATAATTTCCACTTAATTTCATATTTTTAAAACTAGAATGTAGAACTTTACACGTGAGAAAATTTACTTTACTGTAAAGCAGTTACAGAAGTTCGAGTTTTTGAGAAACACAGAAACAACGCCAAGCAGTATTTGTAGTAACGTTCATTCTTGGATTGTATGCCTTTTCACTGTATATAAACTGATAATACACGTGACTCGCCACATGGCCAGAGGTTTTCGGCAGCAAGCAACACCAATCTAAAGAAAGAAGTGATCAATAATTGGAACTTACGCAAGGAAGAGCAACCCAGAAAGACCGGGATACTGTTTTCCATTTTGATTGGCAGGACTCATATATTCGATAAGTTTTCCTGTTTCGAAAGTTCCGAAAGATGTAGAATGTCAGACATTAAAATGAATAATGTTTCAAGACATTGATATTGACGTAAGAGGTCACGACGACAATTTTATATTCAGATAAATTTATAGCATCTGTTGATGCGACAGTTGTCAAGAAATTATTAGGTATAGCTTGACATAATAGAAGACTGGACTTGACAACATAATATAGATCTTCTTGAGGATACTGACTTTTACTTTTTTTTACTTATTTGAGCTGCCATGTATAATTATAATAAAAGAAAATAAACGTTAGGAGTACGAAGGTGACACATCAATTGGGTGTATAGTGTGCCCTGTTAAGTTTGGTATTAAGAAGAAATTACGAAAAAAAAATCCATGTGTGTCCAGAATTATCTGCAATGACGACACGTTAATTCAAGATACACAGGACAGACAAATATAGAGAAATAGTGAGTAAAATTCCTAGTATATTTAAAGGAATTATGTGATTTTCGTACATTCCTAGTACTTTAGAAGACTATTTACATATATTCAAGACAAAAATCACCCCCTTCCACCCCCACCTCCCCCCCCCAAAAAATCGTTTTCGAGAATAGTCGCACTGTTTCTAGGACATCCTAGAGCTGAGATCATTTCGAGAATACGCGGGCCTTATAGAAAGCTAACAGACTACTGAAGACAGACAAAAGAGGAAGAGGAAGAAATAATGATTCATATTATATTATTGTCACAAAGTTCGTTGAAGTTACGGATATGAACTTGTGAAGCCGTACAATTTGCTGGAATGGTTATTATATATCTTTCACAAAAATGTTCACTTCCGAACTAAAGATGATTCACATTTTTGGTCAACATATTTTGAATTTAATGCATGTTCCAAAGAACTTAAAGTAGACGATAGCAGATATTGAATTCGAACCATTCTTGCAAATTGAAAAAGAAAGGCCGATATGTAGATGACAAAACAAGTGCCGAAATCAGTTGTAAAGACTCTTTTCAAAAAAATGAAATCATTTACATTATCAGACAGAATTTAATATCAATATCTATCTTGGATTATACAGGATGATTTGGAATGTCAAAACTAGGTGTCTGGAAGTTGTAATGATTCAATTTGGTTGGATCATAGATCTAGTTCATGCCAGGGTTTCATGTAAGCATACCGGTTATTAACACGGCGATGATTGTGATTTCAATTGAAAACTTTCTCTATAAATATATTATTTTCCAATATCCGGTGAATTGATCTTGCTAGCTTGTGAGAGAAATGTTTGTATTCTGCAAGTAATATTTATATCTAATTATTCTCTATTTGGATACACTCTATTACCTTTCCTTTGATGATGCTAGAAGTGAGGCACTGTTATTTCATCTTTGTTTTTCAATCGTAAACACATTTACATATTCAGTGATTGAATTGATATTTAACATGTTTAAGAATCATAGTATTTTTAAGATTTTAAATTATTTAACGGTTTCTATGAAGTACTGGTGCTGTAGAGTTGTTCGACTGTTCTCATAATGTGTCAGAGACCTTCGATTTAAATTAATGGCAGAGATTTAAACAAGTCTTTGATCTTTGATACATTATAAAACCTTCAAACATGCTACGATTATTGCCATTTCAATTCATTTAACAAGACTTTATGAAAGTTACCATTTTTTGAACTGGCAAAACGAGCAAATACCCCGAAATATTAATTTTGTTGTTGAAAAACGTTTTCTAATTTGTGCTTTCGCGATCTTCAATAACAATGGGAAACAACAATCTATTACATTTATCTTTCTGTGCATGAGAAATTTCTGAAAGCCTAATGAATATTTTAACTATCCATATATATTGCGTATCGATATCATTTATCTATTTGCTGATTAGATATGGTCTTGAATTTAATCTGTTCCATTATGTATTACAATATCAATAGTCAGATAATCGAACGTGTTATTTTTACGGAAAAAATCACTTCAATTTCATTTAGCCAACTCAAAATTAGATCCCGAATCGAATTTTTAGTGTATTAAGAATGTGAAATCGGAATTTCTTATTTTTCAGAAACACTTGAACCAACCGGATATTTGGTTTTGTCAGCTTGACTAGTGATGATTTTAAGTACGGCATGCGGTTCACTGTAAACATATGAAACTATTATTCTTGTAATTAAATTCCTGAAATTCGACAAACAAATTTCATGTCGAATACTGCCAAAACTGAAAATCCACTACAGTTTTAGTGTCGCTTCCGACAGTAGTAGTGGAAATAAATTATTACAATATTATTTGTCAGCTTTCAGGACATATACACACCGGCAAAACACATTTTCTCAGAGTTCTGCTAGCGACTCCTCGTTTGATTAGTTGTCTTGACGGCATTTTAATCAGGATATATTTACCAATATATAACATCTAATATAATTGGCGGTTTCAATAACCATGGCAACCGCCATTGACATCATTCCTTTTAACTTTCATTAAATGTGCATTAAACAACGTGTCATATACACATTTAACATGAACTGCACCCATTAATAATAGATGTGAACATATATTTTCTAATAAAATATGGGGTATTAAAAAGTAACATATTATAATATAAAGCTTATTGTAGGGGTTGACATATTGATCACGATTGAAGTGTATGTATAGAATCGATGGTTAAGTAACACATAAGATATATCCTTTAAATAACCCCGCAAAATGAGATGTCGTTGCCAAGTACGACTAGTTTAAGTTTTCAAAGATGGTCGCCGTGGCTGACTGAAGCTAGGATGTTACTGGCTAACCTGATGTTCTGAAACGTCTCGTCGTTCGATTTGAACCATAAACCGTAGCCCTACGGGCTACATACATGTACGGGCCCTCGACAATTTCAAACCGAAAAAGAGTTTCATTGTATCATTGTCATTTCACTTCAATCAGCTTATAAAATTAGTCAGTTCCCATGAAACATTGTACTGGCATTGGTTAGGTTCATTAGAAAGGTTATATATATAAGACATTATTTAACACGGTCATGTGAATGCAATGCTCTGTCTGTGACCTAATGGTGATTTTTCTACATTATACAAATGTGGCATACCTGCCCTGAACTGTTCTATCAGTCAGTGCATGGACCAGCTGTCACTATGCTTATAATTATCAGGATGAGCATGTGGTGTCGTTTCCTTGACGTCCACCGATGTGTTTGTTAGCGGAATCAACGACAAAGAATGTATGAAATTCTAACCTAATCACGAACAATTTTGTTCACTTATTTGTGGACATTTCGAAATGAGCGAGTATTGGAAACACACTGTTCGAATTCCCATCTAAGATAAGCCACTAATAACACTCCCGATCTCGGTTATATAACGTGAAACTCGAATCAATTTCACCCCAAGTTTTAATAAACACTTTCATTAGAAATTCAATTTACACCAATACCAGTTAGTTTGCTACAAACTGTTCTTGATAATGATGTTGCTAACCCTGACTGAGTCAAAGTGGTGCCATAAGACATAAAATGACGAATGTTGCGAGAATCCCTCAATATGTGGTAGATGTGCAAATATTTCTTTCAATAACTAAATGTCAGATTACTATTTGAATTTAACCTTCTAATACCATGACCTAATATAGTGTTCTCAAAGAGCCATCTGGGTGGGGAAAGGATGTGGTAAAATCGGAAATGGCGATGAGTATAGAAAATTGTTTATCATAAAAAAAAATCTGAAATAAATTGGTTGGTTTTGACATTATTAAAGTCGAGATCTTGAATCTGTAAAAAATTTATTATTTTTCGCCTAAAAACAAATCATTTTCTATTTTTCACACTTTCATTGGCTAGATAACTTCAGATTGTTTGTATTGACATCGTCTCTTCTTCATAAGCTATCAAAAAAATTATAAAATTAAAACGAAAACTCCACAAAATCAGAATAAACAACTATTTTCATGTTTAAACACTTTTAGTTACGTGCACAATTAGAGACAACCTCTACTTACTGGTGTCTCTATTATTGGATGTATTATTATGAGGTGTGTAAGTCCTTTCAAGCACGATTTATTAGCAAATAATTACTCGTGGTAAGATAACCTTTTAGTATGAATATTCTATATTTTGAATGCTGTTGTTAACATTTTTAGATCAATTCATTGCAAATTATGTGTGCCTGAAGCAGTAAGATACAACGCCATTCAAAATTAGGTAAAAGCTATTTCAAGACGTACATTAGTAGCTTCAGGTAGTTTTTCAATGCCTTCAAGTAGCGTCTATGGTTCTTTAATATTGCATCATTTCGAATTTTCTGTGAGATTTAAAATTTCAATTGATGAATCAAATCTGCGAGAAAGGGCCATTTACCGCTTTTCTATGTTTTCGTCACTTCTTGGATAAGTGTTTGAGCTACTGCCATTGACTTAAGTAAAAGCGTCAAAATTTGTTTGTGAACACAGTAGAAACTACACTTTTCATTCGATTTAAATGAAACTTGGTGTGATCATTTATAATGATGATATCTGGGACAAGTTCGAATTTGAAGATCTTTCGATGAACGGTTTTTGAGTTATTGAACTTGACTTGGCAAAAACGCGTCAAATTTGTTATTGAACGTGATAGAGGTGACATAAGTTTATGTCAAAATTTTATTAAGAACTGCCCTTGATATACTGAAAATTTATCAGGGATGTGGGCGTATCTTGCTAGGCAACCACTTGTTAAGAGAACAAATACGGTCATCAGCACTAAAAACATCTGTTAGTCGCTAGGAGACAACGTCATGTACTCCCCTTTCGCTAAACAGGTAAATGCCGGATAACAATATTAACAAGATTATGTTCAAATTACTTGAAATTAAAACAACATAGTATCTCTTCATTGAGTCACATAAACTACTGGTGAATGAACAGTGGTTCTAGTTGTTGCCAACTGCAGTGTGTAGGATAGTTCATATTTTTCCTTCCCCTCGTCCTTTGAATCTGTGTTAGTGTTTGCTGCATCAATTAGTTATATTGGTGTACCTTGTTCATCTGTAATGATCGGTAATGTAGTATTCATCTCCGAAATTTCTTTGTCTTAAACGTTAATATATGTATTCTAACCATGTTAAAGGTTTACCATATTGTCTTTAAACATAATCGCTCATCATTGAAGTCATGTGTAATAAAAAATATTTATATATTTAAATTATTTTCACTAATTTATATTTTCTTATCTTTTCAGTATTGGTGTTAGTAACATGTTTTCTTCAAGACCGCTGAGCGCCATTTTGGTGGCAGCCATTTTGTGTAATCATGGATACAGCAAATCTGTTCCCTTAAAAAGACATTCTCGAGATGCAGATTTGTCGCGAGCAATTCAGATTTTACAAGATCAAAGAGATCGACTCCAAGAAGAAGATTTCAGAAGATTGGCGGAGAGTGGCATTGATCTTCAGGCTTTAGGTTTATTAGATTCGGAAGACGTCGAAAATGAACCTTTATGGCTGTCCGATTCCCTTGTTGATCAGGAAAACCCAGAGGAGATCCCTTTAGATGAAGAAATTCCAATACCAGAGGCAGAATCGGTTCCAGGGGATGATGATGTTGTGGAAACATCAAACGAGGAATTGGAAAATATTTTTGATGAAAATGGCGATCCTGCAGCAAAAATAACCAAAACAGAGGAGATTATTGAAGAAGAACTACCATCTAATGAAAGTGACTCTCTTGACCTAGGTGAAGATTCTAAACTTTCTGACGACGAGTATCAAGCTTTATTGAGAGCGGTCGAAAAATTACAGAAAAATTCCAAAGATAGCGATAAACCAAATGAATTGGAGAATATGAAAAAGAAACGTACACCCAAAGAAGTGGTTAAAGTATCTAAAGAGGAATTAAATGGTGTATTTGGAGAACCTCAAAATGATTCAAATAATAATGATAAAACCGACAAGGAAACCGAACCCGATGTATTGAAGAGATCCCCACCAAACACTGCAAATATTGAAGAAACCTTGCCGTTAGACGATTATTGGCTTTTAAATAACTATCTAAACTACGACGATTCACGAAAGAAGAGATTTATCCCGGAAAGGGTACCAATGGTTGATCAGCCAGAATCTGATGAATTTAATGGCGATAGAGATGCTATGATGGCTGAAATCGAAAGATTAAGATTAGTTAACCATTTGGAAGATTTAGAAAACGAAGCTCTTACGGAAGCCTTGAATCAAGCAACCCAATCTCAAGAGGAAGGATCCGTTTCATCAAAAGAATTCAAATCTTTGGAAAAAGCCATCAAAATAGAAGAAGCGCTTCAAACTCTCAATCCATCTGAGGAACAGCTTGCTTTCATAGTTCAAGCTTTAGCTAAAGATGTGTTAAAACGCGCTGAACCGGATTTTAAAAAGAAGCGAATGGATATAGGTGATATTGATAATGAGTACCCTGTATATTCAGAAGAATCAGCCAAGAAACGTTCTGGTTACAGAGATGACCAAGGTTTGTGGTACGATTTCTCAGCTAAAGACAAAAAGAGTAACATTCAATCTCAAGATTTGTTGGATTATTTAGAAAGCCAAGTTGAAGGTACGTATCACTTTGATATTAAAACTTATTTAGGGTAATGCTGTTGTTCTAGCAAAATCCCATATGAATAGTTTGGTGTTGTATTTTAAACATATAATGTTCCATGTTAGTAAAGGGCTAATTTCTAGAACTTTATGACATACGTATTGCGATAACTACGAAACAGTAACTACGTAAAATCAGTATTCTCTTGATAATTATTCGTCATTAATTACTAAACAGATATTCAGGCAGAGCGATAAGAAAAGTCCAGACTAAAAGGAGTCAAATATTTATAATAAATGTCTCCCTTCAACAGTTTGGTGATAGTCCCCCAGGTCTTGAACAAAAATATACTCACTTCCATTTATAGCATAGTCCGTATAATATATGAACTAGGTTTGGCGAGGAGGAGGGGGTGTGATAATCGCATACCAAGAAAGCTGATTATTTTGAGTTTAAAACATGTTTCCTACTATCCACAATATCATGAATAACATGTACGTAACATGTACGTAAGCATATCTCAAATTAGAGCTCAAACTCAAACACAAAACTTGATTACACGTGTACGTGATTTCACAAAACTGCCATTATACAAAGGAAACCAAGAAGTATTGGGTCTGTAAACGAAGGAGGAGAAGAAAGTCCCCAACAGTAAAGGGGTTAAGTCGCCCATAGAGTTTGCGTTTGAGTTTGAGTTTGCGTATACATGTAATCGCAGCCTTAAACTCAAGCTCAAACTCAAACTCAAAACGTGACTACGTGTATACGTACAATATCGTGACTGTAAAAAGGAAAACGAGCTGTATTGGGTCAGTGAAAGTCCCCTACAGTAATGATGTCATAAAGGGGATAAAGCTGTCCGTAGTCATTCGCAAACGCAAAAACAAAATCGCTCACTGAGCCATCCGTTGCGCTTACATAGGTGTTGATATTGAGTTTGAGGACACCGGTAAGCAGAAATTTGAATTTGCTAAGAATCTGCATAGGGTTTGCTCTGGTCCTTTTATTGAGTATGCGTTTGAGTTGAGCCTTAGACGTGTGATTTCAAAAGGTTTATAGAAATTGTCGAGGTTTGGAATGCTTATCGAGTAATGATATTTCGAATCAGTTATAACCAAAATTCCAAATTTATCGTTTTGACGAAACTTGGTCTGATTAAGAATGTTAATAGGTTCTCAGGCACGTTTTATTGTCAGGTTTTTTCGTAGAACTACCTTTTTAGATTTCGTTCTTAAAAATTTACTTGTATTTCATGTTGCTAAATGGACACAATAATATGTATTTCCAAGCATCTTGGTGCAGTGTCTGCTGGAAACATATTTGTCATTCATATTTAAGTAAATAGGTTAATATCGTATTCTATCTATACTCCTCACGCCCTTACTGAATGTCGTGATGTATCAGTTTTGATGTCACCTGATTTCATTTAGTCAAAGTCGGATGTAAATCAGCCAGTCTTGACGTAAGCTGAAAGAAAAACGGTTTGAAACCATGCCATCTGTCAGTGTTTTACATGAAAGAGGTTTGAAAGCTAAAATACCACGTTTTAAGAATGGATGTTTAAAATTTTGTGTCTATATAAAGAGTAAACCATGGCTAAACATTTTTTGGTCGATGGAATGCTTTTTAAGCACTTTTGTGGAATGTCTAGAAATTTATTATCAAGTATGTGGTGTAACTGTAATTCAGACAGTGGCTTTTATTGTGTGGTATGACACATAAACACTGGCTGAAAGTTCTAAGCCTAACTTATAAATTAAGATTAAGGTTTACACTTTTGCAGCAAGGTTTGGATGCAGTCCAAGATAACATATTCTGCAACCAACCTACAAAAGAGTACAAAAATCAATTGTGGCACTAACATACTGCTGTTATAATAAAAAAGTTTACTCAGATCATTGTCTATGTTAACCTACACAGTAAATCACATTTATTCAGATAGGATAGAGTTGCTAATTTACTGAAATTGGTTCTTAAACTGCCGGAAATTATTGTAGGATTTTGTAAAAATGTTACGTTGATTGTCGATATGATGTACTTGTTTTTATCATTAAACTTCTTTGTACATATCAATTATATTATTACAGGTAACCAAGATAATAATGTAGAAAATGAAGATATAGGAAATGACGAGACTGGCATTGTACCTTATATATCTGATGACACACAAGGTAGGTCAACGAATGTTCTTACAAGAAGACTAAGCAAAGGTTGTCATTATAATATAATATGAAAATATGCATCCATTGTGCTACTCGATGACCAATTCTCTGTCCTAACGTTTCTAATGGAAGTCCAGTCAACGTCAGGTGATTTCGAAAAGAGTTAAATGTCTCCGAATGGAGCTTCACAGAATAATACAGATAGAGAGGTTTGCACCACTTGCAATTATTGTAGTATGCCAGTAGAACGTGGTCAAAGCACCATATACAGTATGTTTATAATAATTATTATGATGTTTCAGAAACGTGTCCAGAAGTTGAATCATTTAGTGATGGTTGTGCCTTTGCTGATTATTATGGATTACCCATAGATAAAGAAGCACGAGAGTTATGTAATAGATATCAAATATGTAATACATGTGTAAGTATGATTTTAAAAATCGAAAGGGCTGAAAAAACGCTAACTTTATTTTTTAACTTACGGATGTGTTGATGACATTTGACAGAATAACAACCCCATCACCAGCATAAGCACTAGTAATAATTCATAAGCAATTTTATTTAGAACTCTGGATGCATTGGTGTTCTGTTGACAAAAGGAAAAAATGAGTAAGTGCCATATCGTACAGGCGATGAATGTAATTCTTTTTTTCCGAACTGATGCAATTCGTAAAGATAAAGCAATTTATTTTAGAATCAAGATCGTCCGAATAAGGAAATCTTAGCCATTCTACTTCTGTACATTGGACTTCGAAACAATACAATACAATGTACCCGAGGCCTGACGTGCGAGGAAATATAATAGATGCTATGTAGGTTAGGCAACAACTTATCCACTGACTTATTGGTAATTAGAAAAAAAGTTTCTGTTCCTTTGGGAATCAGTTTTATGAATTGTATATCAATTCAGCTACATTTTAAGACTGAATCAGTTTAATTACAATCAAGCCATTTTTGATTTGAATCTGAAAGTTTCCATCACTTTGTAGCTGTAGGCTTTCCTACTGTCCTGCTGTCCTTGCGTTTTAAATCAAATGAATATCATTACTTTCTTCATGATTTGTGTCTCAACTATTGATTCCTTTCAATCAGTCGGATTTTCATCCTAATCAACTCTCCAGCTCAAAGTAATGGTTTAAAATAATCTATTATCAAAGAAGGATTTCTGTCAAGATATGATGGTATAATAATTTGATCCTCGGATTTGGTCTGGATAAACATGACAGTCGTGGTAATAGCTCAATTATGTACAGTCGGGATCTACAAGACAGTCTGTTTTGGAAATAGTAGTAGATTTCGAATACACGACTTAATTTAGGCCTCAGACGGTATTGGCAAACACAGTCCTGCGGTAAATTACTAATACCATTCAACAGTAAATTACTATTTCAAACACGTTCTTATAGGAAAACGTGATCTGATGCGGAAAATAATAGCTGATGAAATAATATAGATAGGGAATAAATAATAAAAAATGTCTTCTACTTCACCAGAATAATTTTAAAATCTTTTCACATAAACTGGGAAAAACATAACATAAGTTATATCCAAGCTTTGTAGAGAAGGAACTTTAAATGGAGATGATGAATTGATTCGCTTGTTTATAGTCGTTTAAAGATTAAAGGCAGGTCGAACTTAATTTCGTCCCACAGAGGCTGAAAGCAATTGGAGCACACTGATGACGGAAAATAACAAATGCCACCAGTTCCCGATTCTTACGTGCAATAATTAAAAATATACCAGGAATTCAAGTGATCTATCTTTGACAAACATCGTGAGCTTACTGGCAAAGAATAAGCTGCGATCTGGAATTTCTTCGACTTCACCTATAGCATATGCGTTATAATGGCAATAAATGACGAGTTATAAGGGTCAATATCGATATAAATTACATAACAGTCAACATAACGTCATCGACATTAACTTCCCTTATAAATATCGCACATAGCAAGGTTTTTTGTCGACAACAAATTGAAAATAATTTTAAAAAGATAACGTCATGAATGATTAATTGTATATGAAATTTTCTTGGAAGGCGTCTAATGATCTATAATCAATATAAATTAGATTTGTATATAGTCTACAGTTTAAGTGTATTCTCACATGACATATAATTTAGCTGTGAGATTGTCAGTTATAGACAAATATTTAGAGCTAAAAAGATCTGCTTTTCTTCTGTATCCACATGATTTACCATATGATTTGCCACAATATATACTTTTTCCAGACATTTATACATAATGATATACTATATAGAGTAATTAAGACATACAAACGTCTGTTACTATCTGGAACATATTTAAGCTGGCCCTATCCGTTTTTCGGTCCTGAGACACTATTGGGATATTTGCACGTGTTGGGCCATTACAAGATTTTCTTAATAATGCGTTTCAAACAGTGTGTTTTTTGTAAATGAATGAATGATGAATGTAATAACATGTCTGTTTATACCTTATGATTTTTCGCTTTTTTAAAATCGAAACTGAGACTTCCCAAAAGACGAATTTGTTTGTATCACTCAGCTATTGCAATTCGTGTTAATAAATAACAGAGCGTATCAAACTCTCTATTAATTAAACATCATTTAGACTTCTATTACATTTCTCGTGTCTTTCGGGAATATCTTCCAGAATATAGAAAACATACACCGAGTCTAACAAATGTCTAGAAAAGATCTATCTAATATAACTAGCCACTAATATTGGTTAAATAATTACATTATCAAACCTGCAGAGTTGTCTCCAGAGAACCAGAATTGCCTCAATAATTGTATTCCTTTCTTATACTGAAGATCGTTATCGCCAATAATAACGATTGGAACAAAGTCTGAAAGGGATAAAGCATGATAACCGAAAAAAAAGAATTGATTTATGTCAGTTAATTCTCTTTCCATTGCGATATTTGATTATACCATGTCAGAAAACTGCAAATCATATTGTGGTTCAACAGTCAAGAAATGTAGTTGATAATATTTAAATACTGATCTATACTACATAAAAGTGCTATTGTTCACATAAGATTGTCGTTTAAAGATTTCGGTTGTCTTGAAATAAAACCTCTTGTCCTCGGCATTAGATGTCTTCAAGCAAGAGAAGCATTCGGTAGTTTCTTGAAATTTTTATTAGAAGTTCATTTTAGTTATTGTCACACATCATGAAACTTATATCTGATATTGATAAAAATTGATACCTTAAATAATGTATTAATTACGTCGCAAAAGAATATCACCGTACTGACCACAGTTTGGTATTTTGCATCTCGTTGTGACGTAAAGACGTCAGCTCCACTGTTCAACTAATGACTATATTGTCTGATTTGGATGTAATTAATATTTAATGACCATTCTGATCTCTGGGAATGTTACAAAGACGTAGGATGTTTAATAATAACGTTTGCGTCATTGTCATACTCAAATTATTTATATACAAAAATGTCACGTATTCATTTGTATTTTGCAGGGTTCAAGTTTTGGATTAACCAGTGACTGGTGTGATAATACTTACAGAGAGGTCTACAGTAGTTTGTGTGAGGAAAATAGCGAATGTGTCATTGAAGCTGAACTATTTTTAAGGACAATGAAATTAAAACGTCGTTTTGTAACACAACAGATCTGTATGGACCAATGTACTGCTGAATATATCGGCATCGTGTAACGTCCGTTATTAAAGGACCTGTACCTGTGTGAACAAAATGTGTGACCTCTTGTCCATTTTGTTTAATGGCAGTACTTAATCACTGCGACTGCGCATAAGTCAAAATAATAACTTGGAGCACTTAAATGGGTAAAGAAAATAGACCCCATTCCGTTTAGTTCGGAACTCGAAAAGCTTAAGAAGAAGCGATTTGAGATAATTTGATGAATCGGTGCTACAAGTTACAATTTCTGCTTGTGCTAGAAAAAGAAACGAAATGGCTGACATTTTAAGACGGAGTTGTATAAGCAGAAATACAAGCCGTAGTTTAAAAGAGACTGAAGTCATTTTGCAAGGGTTATCTATTTTATTATTTTTGTTATAAAATATAATAGCATTTTATCTTATTAATTATTTCCTGTGTTCATGTCATTTATATCTATGTGCTAAGGCTTTCTTAAACCCCAACCCAACGGTAAGAATACATGGTACATAAAGAATAACTGCAAATCCTAATCATATATACATGTATATAGTAATATGACTCGCTTGGTCAGGTCTTATGGTGGTCGTTTCGAAATGCCCACTGCAAATGGTAGTCTTATCGAAGTGACAACTGCAAATTGATTTATATAGCTATCTATCAGCTTTTGAAAAAATACAAAATTTGATTTATGAATTTTTATTCCACTGATTCTCAAAATAAACATCGTAATATTTTTTTTTGGAAAACTGAAATCTGCTGCTGCGTCATTTTTTTTATTTAAATTTTTGTGAAGCAATGTTTAGTTTTAAAAAAAGAAAAATGTATGCCTTTGTTCGGTTTTTTATATAAGGACCTCGTTTTTCTTAGTCTAATATTCAGCATGCTTGACGTATTTGTTATTTACATTCCGATGTATTACGTATCTATTTTTTTGTTACATTCCTTTAGGGATTAAATTCAGATGATCTAATCTGTTGTGCAAGTATGAATTTTAATATTAGTATTCATGTGACTTCGTGACTCTTAAAAATTATTTCCATAAAATGATACATCTCGGAAATATTTCAGATTAAATTACAAAATGCGAATGATATTTACACATTCTATTAGTTTTATTCCATACTTTTAAATTAGGAATTTCAATTTCCTCTCTCAAGCTTACCGCGATTACATTCCAGTCTTCAACATTAGCATTTTTTATACATATAACTTTAGCCCCATTTCATTTATGGTCAGGTCAGACATTGTATGAACTGAACATACTGAGGATAGTTATGGCGAATATTAATGGGATTGTATCTTCACATTTCAATTCAATGAATTGTACTTCATTTAGTTAACGTTATTTACGAGAAATATTGACATTCCCAAAGTGATAAGTATATTATACCAATAGAGTCTATTGATTGTTGTTTCATTTATATGTTTATTTATTGTTATTGTCTATTTGACCAGTTTTATGTTGCCTTCCATGGAATAAAAGTAGAAAAAAAATTGGATTTAGTTTTGAGTCTGATGGCTTTTGGATATTTGAACTTGCATACCGGATATAAAGCTGCATTCACTAATCATATACAGTGTATAAAGTTCTGAGAGAGTAGGAGTTTTAAGTCTTACCCATGCATGCTTAATATGCTAACGATGAAAGACAAGACCGAGTGACTTACTTACCTTCACTCTCCGAATCTCTTACATACAAAAGCCGTAGCAAGTGGTGATTTGGTTTTCCGACTCATGACTCTTACGCCACGGTAGAGACCTGAAACCTGATTGGGTATATGTAAATTGAATCACGACGTTTCGAACGGGTAAATTTTACAGATCTTTCGCATAATAAATCGAACAGATGTACGATCTCCACGCATAAAGGGACATAACTTAGTCAAAGCCATGGCCACTTTCAAAATATATGGAATAAAAACTGAAACATATCTTGTCGCTATCTATAACGAATATTATTATTGATCATATTCTTCACCCACAGTCTTGATTACCGAGCTTGAAATATCCCATCGTTTCTGTATCGATTATCGTAAGTTGGATTGTCAATTGACTAAGAATACTTTCCGACTTCCTACCATGGATGACATAATTTTCTCTGTAGGTGACTGTAAATGTTCACAAGTTTAGATCTTAAAAATGGTTATTGGCAACTGGAAATGGAATAACATCAAAGCATAAAACAGCATTTGCTTGTTTTAAAGTTCTTTTCGTGTTCAATAATAGTCCTGCAGTCGTCTTTCAAACGCTTTGGATGAAATAATGAATGGTCTCTGATCGACATATGCATATGTCTTCATTGACGACGTCATCTATGCGTTTGAGGAACATTTAAAGCACTTGGGGGGAATTATATAAATGATCTAAAGGATTTTTAAAACCTTACATAATTGTTTTCTCATCTTTCCAAAGGGAGCAGGCTACGAAGGATGATAAGAAAAAAATCGATCATTTTCCAGTATATCCCTTGCAAACTTTTATGAAACTTTAACCCACTAATTAAACTGACAAAGATAAACATAAATTTTCTATGAACCCTAGAAGTCCAAAAGTTTACAAATGACATGATTATCCATTTGGCTCTCTAATTTGATAAAGTAGTAGATACTTCTGAAAAAAAAATCAAATCTGCAATTTAATTAAATTGAATTATTTGAATCAATGATTGAATGCAATTGTATTGCGAAACACATCAAATAAGTACATGTACATTATAAACAGTCGTATTTCATCTGGGTTAGACATAATATAATTACAGTGTTTAAATGGAATCGATAAATCCAGTAATCCAGCTTATTGTCAACATACAGCATGAATCAGTAATCACACTTGTAATTGATAGCAAATATTGACATATTGCATACAAATTTACACAATACATTCCTACTGTCATTACGTAATCCATTAGATAATGAAAATAATATTTCAACAGCCCGTTTTCGCCGATAGAATACAGCAATGGTGGTGACCAACTGTATGAAAAAAAGAACATCTTAACTTATCATTTTCTCCAGAGTCTGCTATTCGGGATATGGGTCTAACCTCTCTTACAGACATGCAATAATCGTTATTATGTCAAGGGACTTGTATTGACATTTATTCTGAAACATGTATTCATCTGTGCATATTCAATAATTATGCAATTGCCGGGTTTAAAGATCAAATATATTTCAAACACTAGTCATGGTACCCTGGATCTGAATGTTGATTCAATCTGATCAATGTAGTAATGATGATTTAATTTCATCGCAACTTTGTAGGATGATTAGATGATGATTATGGACGCAATGAGTTATTGAAGACTGCTCAAAAGAGGCCTAGAAGATAGTTTGTCATGCTGATTCAGACAGAACAGGCATGAAGTGCCTTATTGAGGGCACAGTGGTGACCAAGGTAATAGATTCACTCTGTATAGGCCTCCAATTTTAACTAAAAAACTGAAATTGAGTACAAGATAGTTGTACATAAGTCCGTATGCAAACTAATACCGCTGTCCTTGGAAAATTTCCCTAATTGCACCCTGCCTGTCTTCATTAGTCCACATGGTGCAAAAAAAAGACGTAAGACTCCTATCATTTCATTTATAAAAATCTAGACTAAAAGTTCTAGAGTAATGATGCGTGGTAAATAGCCTTATGAATAGCCCAAGGACTATTTACCTACCTTCCAGTCAATGCAAAACATGGATATAATTATAATAATCTTTATTATCAATCTTTTAAGCAAAGGATACCATTTGACAGCACAGCATATACAATTGACAATCACAAAATACATTAATGGTGTCAACTCATATACTTTATGCAAAGCTAGTGGCACATACACATAGGTAATAACATAAACTGACTTAAAGCATTGCATAAAAATAACATTAATTAATTAATTATTTCTATCATTAGGCATGGCAAAGTATTGTATTCTATCGTCTACTTCTCGAAGATTGTCACTTCAAAGCAGTTATAGCTTTATATCAGAATGAAAATACTGAGTGCTATTGTCGCTGTAAAAGCTAAGGTGAATGCTACACGAGCACAGATTCTGTCAATTTTACCAGCACCATAGTAAGATTCTTTATGACTTGTTTCATCATTACTCTCCTTCGCACTATCAATTCCATCATTTACTGTGTTATTTTTAGGGAAACAGGGACAAACTATAGCATTTTGATCCAATTTATTGAATCGACGAACTATTACAACACAAAGAAGCACGTAAAGACCACTCATGAGTTGAGAAGCGACAATATAAATAGATAACATAGAAATAGACGTTGACGTTTTCGCTAATACCTCACTAATAACACCAAGAAACACCGAGTAAGACAATAGTATTGTTACAGCCGTGGAAACCTTTTCACCTGAATCAGCTGGTATGAGGAATACTACTGGATTCAGTAAAGACGTAGCCATAATCGGAAGCATGACATAGCTGACGTAATAGCTCGGGCGACGCTCAATAACGAATGCAAACGTCAAAAGTGCAATGTTTGAACGTTCCCCCAGTATATAACCATGTGAGAGAATATCCCATTGCCCTTCTCCAATGATTTTGATTTCAGTGGATACATTCCGAAAATATGCTTCAGATTTATAAGCATTTAGTGGAACAATATATATTTCGCACGATTGTTTATCAAAAGGGAACTTGGCAACATCAAGAAAACAACGAACACTAGTACTATCTATAATATGGATAAAGACAGTTCCATCATGAGATACCTGAACTTGGGTATTGCTATCAGTTACTATACTCTCTTGTTCTGTTCCAAAGTTTATCTTAATCTTTGGATGCCAAATTTGACCGATATCCAACCTAACAGTGCTTATATTTCCAAAGTTAGAACTATTCCAAGTCATTAAAAAGTCATCCCATTTAAACTGTAACCAGATATCTAAAAGCACACTTTGAGTTTCTTCATGCACTTCAATATAGTTTCCAATAGAAATGACGGCGTCTATTGGTAAAGAATAAGAATTATTCTGAAGAGGAATTTGGGAGGGCTGGTACCGTGTATAATCTGTTAGATCATTTATCAGCTTCATTTTATGTTTATAATAATCTGAACTGGTCACTGAAGAGAAAAAGCATAAACTCAACAATGACGTATACACTATCATCTTGTCAGTTATTTTTGTGCCGAGAGTCTCTGTACTGTGGAATGAGTGAGTCTAGTGACTAGGTGTTATTCTGGATGTCCTTTGTTGACAAGTACACCTCCATTTAAAAAACTATCTGTCGTGACTGTTGGTGAGTATTTCTTTCCAAAATCACTAGTCGGCAGCAGAAACTACTACAAAAAGTTTTTTCTTTTACAGAATCCTGCATAAGAAAAATTGTTTTTTTTTAAACGATTATATTTCACACATTTTAAAAGTGTTTGATATTGTTTTGTTGATAAAACGTAGACTTCGTTCGATGATTTGATTATATTGAAGTTTAAAGAATATCTTCTATTAGGACATGTCCTTCGTATTTATCTTAAAATTTCATTTAATATTCCAGAAAGAGAACACAATGTTATTATGTAAGAAATCATTGACTGTTATTTATACGCTCACAAAATATTTTTCGTACCAGTCGGACCAATGATTTTGGAGTACCTGAAAAATAACACCCAATGAATTGTTGATCAATTTGTTAAAGGACGGAAAAGGACGGCTATATGTTGGTCATAGTTGAGTGATCACATCATTTTAAGATCAGCTATTTTCTTGACACAAATAGAAATCTGCTAACATAATATACTAGGCCAATAAAAAGGTATACGGCATTTTAGGGCCTGGTGCGTAACATGCTGGATATTCGCTGGATCTGTAGGTTGGAGTAGGACAAAACAAATAACACTAGAGATGACTTCATTAATTAATTGAACTAAAAAAATATGTTGACTCTATTAACTACTACAAAACGTACATACCTTACATTTAATGTGATATATATATATATATTTAAACTATTGGCTAAATCTGTAACTCCAAACAGTGATTACGAATCACACAGGTAAGCGGAAATCATTTCCATTGCTTAATACTGACTAAGCTATATCTATACAATTCTTAAATAGTACTGTGGTATTACATCCGTTCAGCGGGTACAATATAAATCAAATAGAATTATACAACTTGTTGTTATCCGTGTTAATATTTAAACCAATCCTACTATAATATGAAGTAGAGTCAGATATAAATATGTCTAACAGACCGTAAATATTATTATAGTGAGCGTTTAATCTCTTTATAGTGTCATGTTATTAGTCGGTAAAAATCGAACGTGGAAAAACTCAAATGAGTCGGTAAATATAGTTGCATAGTTACGAATGCCTATGGGAATGTTGGAACCAAAGCTAAGCATTATTTTACATTGGTCACTAATTGTGTCGAAAGTGTTTTATTCGACTTTCATAATCAGAAATACATCAGAATGATTGTAAATAATATCTGTTTTAGTGTATTTGAATCTTAAATTTTTTTTATGTACTGTTGCATTGTTTTACGTACTGATCATTTATTTATTTATGTTTTTGTCTACGCTGTAAACAAATCAATACACCGTGTAGCTTTTCTAGTTTCAACAAATATTTGAACTCCAGCTCGTTGAGAAAAGGAATGAACAAAATATAAATTTTGCAAAACCGTTAGTGATGTATTGCATAATGTGCAAAAAATTGCTTTGGGTCTGTGGAGAATATATGGTCGATTTTCATCGGATTTTCCTTTTCATTTTTCTCTGTAACAAAAGCTAAATATAGGATGCATCTGGAATTCACAAGAGAAAGACAGACTGCCAGTCCAAAATTTTGAATCACTTTCAGTTTTTTCGTGAGAACTTCAGGTTTCACAAAATAACATCATACAGAAAATCTACAATTTATAATTTGAACCCCATCTTCACTTCCCTTGACATTTTTTAAGTCCCTGAGCCAAGCTATTTACAGAAATGCTGCTATTAGTTGAAAAACATTAACTTCCTGTTTTATAGCCATCTGGAAATTAACACTTTTGCAACTTTGGATTGTTGTACATCTTCATTCAAAATACAAATTGACAGCATAGCATACACATTGACAATAATATCAAAAATACATAGATGGTAAAACAAAATATTAGTAATTAATATGTAAAATGATGTCAACTGATATAAATTTATGAGAAAGCACATAAAAGCACTCTACTGTGATCTAAAAATACAAGCATCATCAGGTGATGGATTTAAAGCTATTTTTAAACTTAGCCAATCAGTAATACTGTTCACAGCTCACCCTCGAAATTTGAGCCTTCAAATCCATGTGTGTCCAGGTTAGAAAGTTAAAAAGACGAGTCGCCTTTTTTTGAGACACTGACTTATATAAAAAAATTTCCATTTTGAGATATTTTTGAAGGACATTTCTAGTTACATAAGACTCAAATCAACCCCCAAAAATGGCGCATCTGTTCCTTTAAAGAATATGTATAACAAAATATAAGTTTAACATGGGGATGCCATTGGTCAATATGAGAAACAGTTTAAGTGTGGATACAAAGCTAGCTTAATTCTTAAATCTGTTCCAGTTTCAAATGCTACCCATATCTGAAATGAATACATGCGTGTATATAGCTTTATAACAGAAGGAAAATACTGAGTGCTATTGTCGCTGTAAAAGTAAAAGTGAATGCTACTCGAGCACAGATTCTGTCAATTTTACCAGCATCATAGTAAGATTCTTTATGACTTGTTTCATCATTACTCTCCTTCGCACTATCAATTCCATCATTAACTGTGTTATTTTTAGGGAAACAGGGACAAACAAAGGTATTCTGATCCAGTCTATTGAAACGACGAACTATTATAACACAAAGAAACACGTAAAGACCACTCATGAGTTGGGAAGCAACAATATAGATAGATAACATAGCAATGGATGTTGACGTTTTCGCTAACAACTCACTAATAACACCAAGAAACACCGAGTAAGACAATAGTATTGTTACAGCCGTGGAAACTTTTTCACCTGAATCAGCTGGTATGAGGAATACTACTGGATTCAGTAAAGACGTAGCCATAATCGGAAGTATGACATAGGTGACATAATAGCTCGGGCGACGCTCAATAACGAATGCAAACGTCAAAAGTGCATTGTTTGAACGTTCTTCCAGTATATAACCATGTGTGAGAATATCCCATTGCCCTTCTCCAATGATTTTGATTTCGGTGGAAATATTTCGAAAGTATATTTCAGATTTATAAGCATTTAGTGGAACAATATATATTTCGCACGATTGTTTATCAAAAGGGAACTTGGCAACATCAAGAAAACAACGAACACTAGTACTATCTATAATATGGATAAAAACAGTTCCATCATGAGATACCTGAACTTGGGTATTGCTATCAGTTACTATACTCTCTTGTTCTGTTCCAAAGAAAATCCCAATCTTGGGATGCCAAATTTGATCGATATCCAACCTAACAGTGCTTATATTTCCAAAGTTAGAACTATTCCAAGTCATTAAAAAGTCATCCCATTTAAACTGTAACCAGATATCTAATAGCACACTTTGAGTTTCTTCACGCACTTCAATGGAGTTTCCAATAGAAATGACGGCGTCTATTGGTAAAGAATAAGAATTATTCTGAAGAGGAATTTGGGAGGGTTGGTACCGTGTATAATCTGTTAGATCATTTATCAGCTTCATTTTATGTTTATAATAATCTGAACTGGTCACTGAAGAGAAAAAGCATAAACTCAACAATAACGTATAGCCCACCATCCTTTTACTAATATAGAATAGTGTCTGTTCAATGAGTTAGCTTAGCACATAACTTGTAATGACAAATTAGCCTTCCATTTTAGATGTCCTGGAATCCTGAATTTTGTATTCGAAACACTTGTCGGCAGCATGTGTGTTTCGTTTCTTCGAAGAGGACAAGTGCATAAAATAATATGTGATCCTTTATAAAAGTTAATCATTACCAGTGCGTGACGATGAAACCTTCATTAATGTGTACAGGGTGATAATTGGACTCAATTGGAACAATTTCCAAGAGTCGTAGGAAATATGACCAAAGTAGCACGAATAGATATCTTAAATCGATAAAAATATTCAAAATTGGCTTCAACTTCCTCCAATAGAAAAAAATACAAAGTCTTTTAGTCCACAAACATGAAATTCACACATTTATTGATATTCTCTTTGATTGGTGTCTTGTATTGCTGATCAAACTATCTTCTATTTAAGTACACATCCCCCGTTTTTGGTGCCAGTTGATAGACATAGCATTGATTTAGAAGCACCTGAAAAAAAATCAGTGATATATTTTAGCGATAGATTTGAACATTTTGAAGCTATTTGTTGCTGTGTTGTGTGATATTTTAAGATCAACTATTTTGTTTTCACACAATGAAATATACTGATGCCCAGGTGTCAATCTGCAATTGACACATTTAAAGAACTCTATTAACTAGTAAACAATATACTTAATACCGTCTGTGTCCGTCCAGCAGGTACTTTGTAAATCAAATAGATGTATACTGCATTTTGTTATCTGTGTAAGAACCAATAACTGAACTGGTGCATATCTGGATAACAGTCAGATCCAGAGCTTTTAATCTGTCACGTCATTAGTACATAATTAAATAAAACTGAACTCTAGAGGCAATTTCAAATAATTTTTTAAAAATATTGGCATGGATACGAAAGATAAGCGTTATTTTTATTAGTCACTAATTATTTCGATACATTAGAATAATTGTAAAATGAATCTATTATATTGAGTATATATGTAATGAAAATGATGAATTTATATTTGTTTTGTTAAGTTTATTCCCATTGGACAATAGATTAAAACGAACAAGAGAGAATTATTTTATACTTGAATAGCACACGCAAAATAAAATCTCCTTTCTAATTTGGAGTACTTACATTATATCGAAAAGCACATACATATACTTCAACTCAAGCTCAACTTTATGTTTTCAACGATTTAGGGATATAAAACAATTTCTTAAAGAAATCAGTCTAAAATGGCGTTAATGGAACCAAAATCGAACCAAAACTGACTTTAAAATTGAGACTTAAGTTGCGCATTAGACTTTCCACAAATTTGTGATTGACAACGAAAGAATATTTTAAAACATATTTTATAATCACAACAACTATGTTTCTTCATGTACATTAATTCTATAGCCCTTATTCATGCTAACAGTACCAATCAATTGATATGATTTTATTATCATATTAGAATAATTATTCATTTGTGGTCGGTGAAAAAATAGCTCATCATACCCAGTGATTTGAGAACCATCTTGTTTCATTCAGAATTTCTCGCCTGATTCAATCAGTACCTATAACCAGGCAACATCCCTAATCCCAAACACGGCCTTGGAAATTTTGTAGCTTATAGCCAGTCAGTAAATGGTCATTTACCACATGCTTTGCGTTAGGCCTTGAGATTTCCCTCGTGATCATGTCAGTCGGCTTTGCTAAATACTAGGGTGAAAATGGTTCAGCCTTTTCATTTCCTGTGACCACTTGGGGTGTTTTTAATTGGATCAATCATGTTGTATAGTAAGATTTTTGTCAAATTATCACTTCAAAGCAGGTAACCAACATTTTATGCAGGGTCCAAATCCAATTCCTTTAGAAAGAATCTGTATTCCTTTAAAATTCCAGGTAACATCAGGTGTTGTTTGTAGTTGTCATTTTCAGAATGTATAGATTTCCCCCTGCTCCATCTCATCAAATTAGATTTGGTTATCTATAACACTGTTCAAAGTTGATAGTGATGTAAATAACTAAATTATATCAATTGATTGTCAAAATGATAATAATAAGTAAAACACGAAGAACAAAATTTGCTTTAAAAGTTATTAATTCGTTTTCATTCTCCAAAATTATGCACAGTCTTTGGCGGAATTTAAGTCTCGATATTTAGGTCTTTTCTGACCCAATTCAGACACTTCAGAGAGTTCAGAATTCGGAATTTTACACCCACAGAATGTTTTTATACGCCCACACGTAAGATGGGCGTATATTGTAATCACCCCGTCGGTCCGTCGGTCCGTCCGTCCGTCCGTCGGTCCGTCCGTCGGTCCGTCCGTTCACATTTGGCTCGTGCTCACTCTACAGGCTACAGTTCTTTATGGATTCTTTTGTTTTTTATTTTGTGTGTCAATGTCATTATGAAGATGATCCCTATTGATTTTCGTGATGATCGGATAATTTTTCACCGAAATATCGTGTCTGACTTGACGTTTTTCTCTATTAGCTATATTGTGCAACTCGTGCTCACTCTACAGGCTACAATTTTTTACAGATTCTTTTGATTTTTATTTTGTGTGTCAATGTCATTATGAAGATGATCCCTATTGATTTTCGTGATGATCGGATAATTTTTCACCGAAATATCGTGTCTGACTTGACGTTTTACTCTATTAGCTGTATTGTGCAACTCGTGCTCACTCTACAGGCTACAATTTTTTACAGATTCTTTTGATTTTTATTTTGTGTGTCAATGTCGTTATGAAGATGATCCCTATTGATTTTCGTGATGATCGGATAATTTCTCACCGAAATATCGTGTCTGACTTGACGTTTTACTCTATTAGCTGTATTGTGCAACTCGTGCTCACTCTACAGGCTACAATTTTTTACAGATTCTTTTGATTTTTATTTTGTGTGTCAATGTCGTTATGAAGATGATCCCTATTGATTTTCGTGATGATCTATCGATTTTCATGATGATCGGATAATTTTTCACCGAAATATCGTGTCTGACTTGACGTTTCACTCTATTAGCTATATTGTGCAACCCTGTAGTCACTAAAGACTGTTTAATCATTTCTGACAGCTGCCAGTGGGCGTATGTTACCTTGCCTGGCAAGCTATTTTTGTATCTTCTTTTAAATTCTGTAATTTTTTAATATATAACATACAGCATAATAACAACTGTAACAAAAATGAGTACAGCTTCAAAGAAGATAGCTAAAAACTTATCTGAATTTGTCGAAAGGCAACGGGTTCTCTAGTATAATGTATCGTTCAGAGTTTGGTCTAATTTAACCACATTTTTAGATTCTCGAGAAGTTTTAAGTTTGTACTCAAAATCAAATTCCTGGAAGCCATTTGTCACAGGCAAAATTTAATGTGCTAGTATAACACAGAGCAGAGAATAAACTATTCCTTTAAATGGCATCACGCAGGTCTAAATCCAAAAGAATGACAAAATTCCATACCACTGGTTGCATCACTGCAGCATTTGCTACAAAATTCTTTCTAAATGCACCACACACATGTTGTGGCTATATAGTTACATTATTTTGGCCTTCTTAAATCTGTCTTTGTGTAATTGACTTTTTCGTCTCAAATAAATGTCATTAGCAACAAATCCACCCAGGGACATTTCACTTGCCAACAGCATCTAGCTTGCCACGTCTGAAACTGCAAAGACACACTTTTTCAAAAAAAACGCTTACTTATTTTGGTCTTAACGTGTGCTTTCTGAGTAATGAATTTTCCAAGGAACATGAATCTTACCGTGAATCTGTTCTACATAACAAATAAAACTGTTAAAACCCTCTCTTATATGATTAATTATACATTGTGCTTGATATAGACAAGTCTAAAAGATAACAGTGAACATGTCACTGGGTCATTAAATCATAACAGGATTTCTTAATTGGAGGGCCCTACATTCGCAGACAATGTTCTTGTTCGTATTGTTTATATAAATAATGTAGGTACTCACTCTACAACAGGTGGATAGTTAGTGATGGTTGCTGATGGACAGTAAAACTTACTCGGTATTGCCAAAGAAAACAAAACCTTTCCTAGACAAAGTTTCAAAGGCGAATAATTGGGTTGCGAGGAATGAAAAAAGAAAAGGCAAAAAACCTTTGAGTATTGTTGTGTTAAAGACGTTTAAAAATTCAGCCAGTTTTCACTTCCATGCGTTTGTTAGCCACATAATACTCATAATTGTAGATCAAACGATGTTTAAAGCTTAAGTTAGTTCTGGAGCTTTCTAATCGATACCAGATAACATAACCAAACCATACCATCCAAAAAGAATTACCATGATGATAAACTGGTCATATATTACCGCCATGCCAGTTGCACCGCTAAGATCTTAAGACTTCTCAAACAAACCAACAGTGTCAAACCATTCAATTGATCAAGTTCTGAATGCCACCATATCCAACAACTATCCAGTCTGTGATATCAGCTTCTGCCCGAAGTTGACGTTAACCTGTCATCTACCTAAGTACCAACCAATCTTCTGAGGCTGTTGATGATGGGTGTCGACCATTTGATTGATATTAAATATGGGGATATTTGTTTGTAAAGGGCACTTTTGTGTTTGTCATTTCACACTAGGTTTTGGTATAGTTTAAAATAAAAATAAAAATCCCTCTGTAAAAGATATAACAAATAACCGAAACACATGGTAAATTAATATTGTTGTTAAAGCTGGACTGAATGATGTTATAAGTTAACACCTGAATCAAGTTGGGAAAGTTTTCAATATATTTCACCATCATGGCTGAACAAACTTGGCAAACGTGACCTCGTGATAGAAGCGGTTGCGTTCTCGTTTTCAAATATGAAATATTGTTTATTTGTAGTCCGTCTAAAGGTTTGTTCTACCTTTCGAGGGAGGTATGACGTCTTGTTACTTCAGTCAGTTTTCTTTTAAATGAAGTCATTGAGAAATTGGAAACATCTGTAATGCATTAATGCATTTTACTGTTGTGGCAACGTTTCTGTCGTTAATACCCGGTCAAAAAACCTGCATAGTTGATACAGTGTATACTACAAATATTATATAAATAGACAATTGTAGGCAAGATTGTTTGGTAAACAACATAAAAGCTATGTACTATTGCATCTAGACAGCATGACAGTCCCTTGGGGATATTAACAAACATTGTATTTGCATACAGACTTCAAGATAATGCAACGGAGTTGTTGGCTAGCTTGTTTACCAATTTACTTCCCAAATGAGATTACAGCTAAGCTAAGATATGAACAACACTTTATTTACACTATATTAAACTAACAAGAGGTCTACACTAAATCTGAAGAATCCACCCGAGATCTTCTTCCTCTTAGCACGAAGTGATCCTAACCCTTGCTAAATGATTGATATCCTATGTCCTTCCTCCTTCCTTGCCAAATCGAGAGTTCCCCAAAATATGTTTTCGTCCTATATATATCCTCCGATAGGTGTCGCTCTGAACAAAGAAAATAATTTGAATTTCCCTCCAAATTTGGGCCGACATCTGGAGACACTAGTTTATTTTCTATTGTTACCAAGTACTCAATTAACTATACCCAAGATGTTAATCTTATAGTAAGTACTTAAAGGTAACAATAGACCTGTTGGAAAAAAATCTAATTCTTCCATTCCAACTCTTTGTTACAGGGATTCCACAGAATACAGCAATGAAGGAAAAGCCAATTTGTTAGCCAAGTGTTATGCTGACGGCAGTGCTGATACCAACCATACCAAAGAATTTCTAAAGAACAAGAAGACCTTCTACACCAACCACACTCCAATTCATCATTCGCCCTTAGAGGATGAACGGGATCTTAACGCTCCCTTCACCCTCGACGAGCTGAAGAAAGCACTGTACAGTAAGAAAGACAGCGCTAATGGTGAAGATAATATCAAGTACAGCATGTTAAAGGAGTTACCAATGAAAGCGTCTACAGTTCTACTAGAATTATTCAACAAATCATGGTATAATGGTACAATTCCGGAAAGTTGGAAAACGGCAATGGTCATTCCTCTACCAAAACCGCAGAAAGATAAAAGTCTATGCAGTTCATACAGGCCTATTTCTCTGACCTCGACTCTATGTAAAACATTTGAGACGATGGTCAATAATAGACTTAGATACCACTGTGAACTAAATGGTCTTATCGATCCCAACCAAAGCGGCTACAGAGAGAAACGGTCAACAATAGTTCAAATCGTTCGACTTCAACACGACATGGCCGCCCAACTCGGAAAGAAGAACTACTTCAGTGCAGTATTCCTGGATCTGTCCAAGGCCTTTGACTTAGTCTGGGTTGATGGTTTGCTTTTTAAACTTAATAAACTTGGCATTCGGGGTCGCATGTTCAGGTGGATCCAAGACTTCTTAAGGGATCGCCAGATACAAGTGAACGTCGCCAATTCTCTCAGCGAGAAGCACTCGTTGGAGAATGGCACCCCGCAAGGCTCTGTTATTAGCCCTACCCTCTTCAGCATTATGATCAATGATCTGGCCCTGCATTATGTAAAGCATATAGAGCTCGGCTCTTGAACAGATAGGCTAAGTTTTTTTTTTACTCAAAGTTTCTTAACACTTTTTAATTATATCCAATCAATTTAACAAGTTTCATTGCAGAAACATTAGAGAACATCTCTCCCCCCTTTTGTGAAAGCTTCCCCCCCCCCCTCTTTTCTCCCTCTTTTTCTCACTTTCTTTTTTTTTTCTTTTTTTTTCAGGTCTTCGAGTTTTCCAACAGATAACAGATAATCTAACCAAACCAAACCAAACCAACGACTACCATTCGACTACCAATCAACAAGAAAGACCATGATCAGAACGAGTTTGGAAGAATGAAGGAGACCGAGTAACTCACGCCACACCATCCAGGGCCGAGTTTCACCGCCATGTCATTCGACCCGACCATCCAATTTGATCCAATCCAACCACCAACTACTACGACTACCAACAACTACCTAGTTTGCGATATTGAAGCGAACGTTAACTTGTCATCTACCTACCTACCTACCTGTCCAGATAATTCTAGAGTATAGTAAATGCTACTATACCCTTTTGTTCCATTACGACCCCAGGAGGTAATAGCACTTTTTACAACATACAACAAGGCTACAATAACGTGTGATCCCAGTGGCCTTTAGTAATTCTACTTTAAAACACATGCAAACCAATCTTTACAATGGTTAAGTTAATCAAACTTCGTATTTTACCTTGACTGCAATAGCCACCTTTCTCGTATTACGGAAAGCAGCGATTTTATTGAATTGCACTCCGGCCCTCGACAAAATACTGTGAACATTATGACTTTACAGACTTTCTGTCGAGAACTCTGATTAGTTGTATTCACTAAGGTATACTCTAATCAAATCATTGCACTTACAAACTTTCGTGATACCAGAAATGGTGGCTATTGCAGTCAAGATATTAGTGGCAGATAGCAATAGCTTAACATTCTGAAGATGCCGTAAACCGTATTGTCAGAAAACATAAGCAGATTAAACAAAATGTACTGTTTCAGTCTTCATCATATAAATTTAAAAACCAACCAACTTTCAGGAAACAACATTTTCAGCAAAGTGGAAGTGAAGTGTCCATTTGTGTTAAAAACTACAGAATATTATTATAAAAAAGAATATGTACCTTATAAAACGGCGTTTGGGGGTACATCATCTCAGACCCGTTCCATATCACTGATAATTCAAAAAAGCAAGAGGACCACCGTCACCATCCGAGCGATCAAACGTATCGTTCGAGTACATGTACTTCTAAAGACTATTCAATAATTCAAGGACCTAATCACACCAGATTGTTCCCTTTTAAACAAAACAATATCATATATCTAAGGGAGATCGCAGCTAATACAGCAGAACACGATCCAGGGGGAAGAAGATAAACCCGAAGCAATTGAAGTTGATCAGTATATCGAATGAAGCTACTTATTAAAATATTTCATTCGATATAATAATACAATGGTGTCTGGCTACGCTTATGTACAGCTGAGTCAATTGTGATATATCCTTATTATTGTATGACACTCCATTTCCATTAGTAAATTTAACATGTCTGAATGATGATAAACATATAAATCACCAGATAATACGGACTGGTCAAGGATTGTCAACTGTCATATCTTGACAACTTCATAAGTAGAAAACGTAATTAGCATATCATCATATCAAGGCTGTAATTAATTCACTTTATGTCTAACAGTCTGGAGCATTTCCGAAAATAATTTAGTCTGGGAAGTATTTGATAATGGAATAAATTATCAAGACCATGATTGTCATAAAACATTATTCATATCTAGGTAAAAATATCGCGTGTGAAGGGGTGCTGATGAGGAATAAGTTTCTGTGCAGGAGTGAACGATATATTGATGATGTAGAAAACCCTTTCTTATCCATCTCGTCTAGCTGTTTTTTTTTTGTATTAACTAAAGGACAAAGACCCTCAGATAAATGAATATCGAGGGTTGTTATAATTTCAACTTTCTGAACGTCTAGCACAACAGTTTCGACTGAAGCTAATAGAAAGAAGTTTTACCATACATGTAAGGGAAGAAACGTGATGAATTAAAAATTCAGGTCCAAAAAAGAGAATAGATAAATATAATCTAAATATAACTATTTAATGGGTTTCTACTAATTTGGTTGGAATAAAATAAATGAATAATATAATCTGAATGTTTTGGGTGGAGAAACTATGTCTCATATCCTGTAAAAATAACCGGTTTTTATTTACATAAACGACACTCTAACGCCAGAAACCATTATTTAACGTCGAAGACTAAATCCGTGTAATGACATAGAAAAACCAATATAGTTCACCATTTCTGCATAATATTCTAGGAAAAGATGTCAATTTGCGCACAAATACATGTTTAATAAAGTCTTCTGCAATCCATCAAGCACGTGTTTGAAGTCCAGTTGACAACAGTAATCAAAAGGGACTTAACTCTCAGTACCCTAAGGCTAGGGTGACAATATCTTGTTATAAAACTTAAACAGGTCTGCAAATCTTGATTTACCAGTAACAAGCCTAATTAGTATTAATGATTAATGGACCTGGGTTTTGAGTCGAGTAATACGGGGAACATCCCAACCATTAGGACCTTCCTTCTTTGCTTGACCACTTCTATCTGTAACATTTCGGTTGGATGATAGTGTGATTTCTTTACCTTTCGTGATATAATGGTGGTTTACTGATAAGGATATTAAGTGTTTATTTATTTCATACAATCTAACAATATATTTTTGAAAGACAATATGCCGAGGAGCAACCAGTGGCTGCGCAATGCACAATCATCAAATGACCATAATATTTGGCACACAAAACCGCAGGTAAGAATTTTCCATGACTCCTGTTTGATTTATTTTAATGTAGATATTTCAAATATTTATATTTCATCAAAGAGTGATCATGATTTTCAAGAACATGTTATTTTTTACCAGTATTTTATTATTCGAATTGATTCTTTGACAATTGGTGACATCTGGGAGAATTTAATTAATCGCTTGATTTAATGTGATCGGAGCGTATCGACACTATACAAAATCGCTCTTGCCGCAGTTTGCTATCAGATGCTCTGTTCTATCAAGTGGCAAACATTTTATATTGTCGTCAATCTAAAATCTGAGACCATCCAGTTGCTAGTAGTATGTCAAGTTCTCTTTAATTTTAAAATAGAGAGTCGACTTAGACTCTAGAGATAAAGAATGATTCAAGAACTTGGAAATTATAATTTGTATTCTCGAATTCCAACGAAATCGTATGACAGTTTCTTTAATGTTCCGACTTAACTGACTATGAACCAATGCATATTACTCTATGTGTTGTTTTCAGCTGAACTATTCCAGAGACAGTGGAATAATGTGATAATAACTATATTTTATCTTTATCAATTAACACAATAGTTCTTGTTGATCTATTCAATCTAGTATTTCCCATATATTAGAAGCGATTTATACAATATTTATAATTATTATATTTTATGGTTACTTGAAATATCAATAGTGTTTGACTTGGATTATTAATTGTTTCTGAATCCGCCTTTGTAATGTTTGATAATCCGTGAACAACAGCATGGTTCAGTCTGAAGCTAATGCTGGCTCTCGCAAGAGGTCCCTTGTAACGTATGAGGTCCCTTGTAACGAAATGCTGTAAAATGGTCTTATTTCGTAATAGATTTTTTGCCAATTAATTTTTTTTTATATTTCAAAACATGGTGGTGGATAAAACATTTGCCACATGTTTTGCACTGAAGCAACTTTTTTCTGAAATCTTTCCTGCAAGATGTGGAAATGTTTTTTTTTGTAATAGACATATGTTCAATAAGCGAAATATTTCAACAGTTGTTTGCGATTATTTTATGAGGAAAAAACTGTGTAGAGACATACAATGGCAAAACATATTAATAATTCTGTTCAAATATTGTACGATGCTGCGACCATTCACGTCATTGTTCAAATTATTTTCAATGAATGTCGTAATGATTTATCATCATAAAGCTCTTATCTGGAGACATCAAAAACTACTTACTGTTTTCATTTACAACACTAGCTATTTTAATATCGCTGAAAGGAAATAAAACCGTATTGTTAATGGAATTTTCTACTTGACTCTGTTTTATCTGAATTCTTGTTGACAGTTTTTAGTTCTCTTTAAAAATGAAGACCGTCTTTTGGAAATAGAAAACAAATACCGTATATATATCTTAATCTTTTCACTGATTGATCAGTTTCTTAAACTGTTAACATCCTGTACAGGCAGTATGGATTATTGACCTTTCACTATGCTTCTTTGTGTCAATTGGTAAAAAGGAAGCGGTTCCTTTGATGATTCAACGTTGTTCATTTAACTTCATTTAACTAACTCTTATTCTTCATTTAGCTTGACCTAGAAGTTCATTAGTATTGACTGTAGAAACGGAACATAATTGTCGGTTGTTGGTGCCGAAACATGAAAGAGGCCCCCTAAACATCTGTTCGCACTTTCATGCAACATGTTAACTCCAGAGAGGTTTACCAGTGACATTAGGATTATTCATGTCTGTAATTTTAGTTCTCTATGGTTTCACGAGTTTCAATATATTTCAGTATATAAATGGACATGCACCTGCAGACAATAGTTTCACGTTGACACGAGAAAACGAAAATGGACGTCTGTCAAAAAGGGGCTTACACTCGGACACAGCAAGTTTAATAACCAGAAGTTCTTGGACGTCTAGAAGAACAGAAAAGAAGTCGGCTAACAGATGCTGTTTGATATTAATGTTTATAATTGGCGCCATTATAATAGCTGCTGCCATTGCCTGTTTAGTTTATTTTCTTCTTGCTTCAAAATATAAAAACAACGCTCACTATGGTATGTATACTACACTGTTATTTCATTTAAGCTTACATGACATAATATGAAGCTTAATGTCAGCAATGACCCCAATGAGCCCTCGGCACAATTCTGGTAGAGTTAATGAGTTTTAAGGTAATCGTTTAATACTGGGAAATCCTTGCAGAATTGCTTACGCTTTAAATATTTAACAAGTAAACATTTTATTTAAAATATTTTAAGAAATATATATAGAAATCTCTTTGAGTAATCTGTACTGCACAGAGGGGTTATTCACTTCAAAACCTGAATGGCAACTATTGGACTAATTTCTTGACTATCTAATTGATTTTGCCAGCTTGTGGTCTTTTCCAATTGGGAAGATACATGTCAGATTTGTCCTTGTGATTACATTTGGACAAACTTCTTCAAGAAAAATCTCAGTTCAGAACCCATCCCCAAAAAGTTAACGATTCGTGTAAAATGGTTATTTATTATTCAAAGATGAAGTTTGCAGGTAATTTTATTCGCAAATGGATATTTTGAAAATTCGCCAGATGTGCTATTAACAACACAACACTTACATTCTTTAAGATTCTCCGTGTTTAAAAAAGGACACATGGGAGCAAGTATGCTATCTTGTTTCAATGATGGAATAAACATTTCAGTGAGGTTACATCAAGATAAGACGAACCATTATAAATACGTCTGAATCATTAAATCATAAGCATCATAATGTCAAACACCATGTACCCTAATCAGATATACAGGATGTAATTTTTATTCAAATCTATTATGTCGAGCCCCTGACGTTAATGTACAATCCTACTGAAAGAACGAATATGCCAATATGTCACGGGCTCTCCTAGGAATCCGCGGATTCAACTAAGACAGAGATGTCACATTCGATTTGTTTTAACACCTTAGAGGGACGAAAGGGGGGAATAAGAGGCTCCTCTTCTTTAACCTAAACTGAAGTCGAAGATAAGTTTTTGTGCTACCAGTTGACATCGAGTGCATTAGTGTCTCTGTAAGATCTAGAGTAAGATAATGGTATTGGATATAACATGGAACATGCAGCATAGCTACTTTACTTTACACATGATATCATTCAAATATGTTGTTTTTTCTGATCTCTTGAATATTATTGATATTGATTGTAGGCATGTAATACTCAGTTCAACAATTAATCTTAACGTCACGTCTATCACAGTTTTTATTTCCTTTTTATCAGACATTCTCAAGTGCTCGCTCTAAGCAAAAGAAAACCTAGTTTTGAAATCTTTATCTTAAAAACAAGATATTTTCCTTTTGAGGTTTTTCCGTTGATTCTATTTGTTGGGAGGGTTTAAACATGTCATCGTATATACAACAACTATACAGGAATAAAGAATTGTGATTGATATTCAGGAGTCAGTCGGTCAGTTGTAAAGTCAACCCCAAGGCTGTGCACAGTAAAGACATTCAATAATAAATGACGTAATAATGCCCTAATACAGTCAAAGCACCGAGCATGGCATTGCCTCTTGATTAACTTAATCATATGTAGAAAGAATAGCATGTGCGACTCCTTGGTTTGATAGTCATGATGATGTGTTGGTATTCTTGTTATTTATTTATAACCCTATATTGCTATATTTTATAAGGTTAACATTGTATTTGACAGGAAGAAAAGAAGCCGATGTATCTGTTCGGTTACTCAATAAAACTTACACGCCAGACATGGCTAATAACAGGTCAGCTGCATTTAGAAGTGTTGCTGTTCCTTTTTGTGATGCGGTAAGTGTTCGTAGGTCTGTTCTCGGCCTTCCATCCAAACCAAGTCTTGCAGATAGGATTCATCTACATTCAACTAAAATAGCATGATATTACAAACAGTATAACTAGCTTCTGAATTGGGAGCAAAGGTTACGAGTTTCTTCAAAACAGAATAAAACTAATACATAATCCAGAGGGTTAATCTGAAATCCAAGCTGAGTCTCACAGCATCTATTTCTATCAATTATTCTTACTGTTGTCATCGCCTATATTGCAGATGGATGATTATTTTCAACGGAACTTTTCGAAGAACTATAATGGATGTAGAGTAGTAGAGCTCAGGTACGTTTACACCCCAAATCTTGAATCATGAATCGTGAATCATATTTTCCTATAACCGAGATTATGACATCATTATTTGAAAGGAGGTCATATTCGAAGAAAATATTTTTTTCTGTTTTTCCCCAAGTAATAAAACGAATATCGATTGAAAAGATCAAGTTTTTACTATAGGATTTTTTTTATGTATAAGCCGATCAAAATATTTTTTCAAGGCTTCATATTTCTTTATCCCAAGGCTATTAAATCTTGCTGAAATAGGATGTAGCATTCTGTATATAATATGTGGAACATTATCGTCATTTGGTGTGATTAGACCTGCATGTCTCTAGGGATTGAATACATAGAATAAATATATCACATAAATGGAAAGTTGCGAAGCTTCATTAAAGAATCAAACGTCATTCAAGCTACAATTGAAAACTTTTAAGTATGTTATTACCTTTGAAAAGGATTGTCATGTTAAAAATAAAGGTAAATTGGGACGGAGCATAATATATTATTTGAATTAGTCCCTAAGCCTTCAGCACAGAGTCTGCAACTGTTAGTTTAATATATAAATCATACTCATGTATAATTAACATGCAGCTTTGCATTTCACATTTGCTAGCTCATAGAAAATAAACTTTTCACAAGACTGTTCGGTTAATCATATAACTGATAATCAGCAATGTTGCAGTTAAAAAAGGAACTGAAAAACCTTTTCGTATTTGTTTCTGGTATTTTCAGAGATATAGCTGCTCGAGAAGACTGTGCTTGTATGATGAAAGGAAAGTAAGTCTACCACTACATTTGCATGCTTTTAGCTACATGCTGTAACTCTGCTGTAACTACAGTTTGTCCGGGAGACAGTTTCTATATATTATATTTCTGTGAAGCTTTCTTATCATTCGTTGCTTATTCCATTTTAAGTATTATTGAAATCTCAGTAATATTTGAAAATACAGAAACTCGAATAAGATTTGCTAGATTGTAGTTTAGTCTAGAATTTTGGAACATATCTTGCCTTATCTCCCGACATACATTGTTTCTGGATATTCCGTTTCAGACATGGTTTAGTAGAAGTATTCTTTGAATTAGATTTTGATGGTGATGTTCGGAATGTGAGTAAGAAGAAGATATTAGATGTGATATGGGGTAATACTAAACGTATACCTTATGAGAACGTGGTATATCGCCAGATTGATGATTATCTTATTGACATACATGTGGCTTGGGAAGCATCTAACAGTGAGTGTTGATAACTTTCTGTCTTACTAATTACACTTCCACAGGAAATGCATTATTTTCTACCAGAAAAGAGGTAGTTTTAGTGGAATGTCAGTAAATCACAGACGTCTTACTGAAATTTGGAATGGCGCAAATTGATGACATCAGTGTTCTCGATACACTACAAAATTTAGAAAACAATCCACTTTAAGCTACTGTTAAACAATGATAATATGCAGGTAAGTACGACTATACTCTGCGCTATAATAAAAGATTTAATTATACTTAAATTAGCTCCACAAAATAGTTGAGTCATGTAAGGCACCTTTAGGGCCGTATGCAGCGCTCTTACCTTTACTAAAGTTGAATTTTGGCTATGGTCGAACTTTACAAAGTTAGGATTAAGGCTTTCATATTCTACAATTTAAGCACGACTTTCGTAAAGATCGACCGGTGTATACCCAAAGTTCGACTTAAGTCTAACTTTAGCCAAAGTTTAGATATAAACTGCATATGGCCCTTAGTCTTTTGGGTTATTGGTATCATTGTCTCGTATATGTCGTTGTTTTTGTTATAGATGGTATAACAGCAGATGTAATGATACCAGTATATAATTTAACTTATACTGAAGATCTCAATTATCCCAATTCATCACGCTATAAATATCACGCTGACCTCTTCTGTAATGATGTAAGTAAAGTAACAATTCCATATGGTAATCTGTTAGATTATTTCCTTGAACGAAGACCTTACCATTTTGATTCAACAGCTGTGTGTTAGAATAAGAGGAATAGGTGCTGTTGTTGCTATCAATGTAACTTGTAGATATGTAAACAAAAATGTTCCGCCTGGGCCAAATATTACAATTCTTTTGTTTTAATACATATATATTTTTTTTTATTAAATCTAAACTGTTGATTGAAAATTCTTTCAATTTGAATAAATGCAAGATTTAAACCCTATATTTTCAATAATTGAACCCCTGTAAAAGGAATGGCGGTGGCCCCTCCCAATCCTAACTTCTGCACACGCCAATGATAAGAGGACTGCACTGTTGGTTGATCCGTTTGTTCTTTTTCAGATTGACTCGTTCTTCAGAGGCAGTAAATTTAGGAACCGATACGTGGGTTGTACAATAGCTAAATATAAGTAAGATCCTTTTAATATAAGTAAACATACATAATTGATATCACACGATTTCACGGTTCTCAAGTGAACCTGATATATCAATGGAAGAAAATTCCGAATATTTTCCAAAATGCAATACATAACTGACGTCAAAATCACACAACCAGCTGCTCTGATTTATAAGGAGTAAACTGTATCTTTATTTCAGTATGTTTCCTCTTGGTTTGGATGTTGAACTTCTTTTCCGTGGTAATGAGACTCACAGTCTACAAACCGACTTGATCAAGATAATCATGGACTCTGCTAAGAGTATACCGATGTCCAATTTGAAGCTTAAACTGATTGGCGATCTTTTAGTGACTCCCTGGGATATGGATTTTGAACTTAATCCTGGTAGACCACTTACCACAACTCCTTTGCCAACAACCAGAGCCACAACAACACCTACTGTTCCTACTGTACCAGGTAATATATCTGTCGAAACTTAGAATCCCGGTCAAAGAATGAATCCATAACTAATCAAATTATCTAATACATTCAGTATCCAGTCCTCCAATATGTATTATGACTATTTTCAGGTATTGAAGTAGATAAAGTATTCAAATTATATAATTTTACCTACAATCCTGGTCTCCAGTTTCCTCTGTCGCCACAATTCAAAGGTATCTCGATGCCATTCTGCAAAGACGTAGGTATTTTTATAACCATAAATACTGTTTACGAAGGGAGTTCAGTTGGGTCATAGTTTATCTAAGTGCATAATTAATGCATCATCATCCAGCTTTTCAGTTACCTTTCGTATAACAAATATAATGAGAATGATAAATGTTCCAATAAATTAAGTTTTGCAAGATGTGTTAGTTCTTATACAAACTAGGAAAGATCCGGATGCTTGTAATGAGTAAGTAATTCTAGAAACTTTGTTTTCAGTTCGAAAGACTACATCTATTGGGGAATCAAGGAGAACATTACTTCTCGTGTAAGGTTTATGGATTTGGGTAAGTATAAATGTGCCATACATGACTGGATTTTGATAGGGGTGGGGTTGATTTTTCCCGGTATGCTGCTCTTGGCTAATTCAAATAGGATGGGATAATAGAAACAACACATTTGAAAGAAAGTATTGTTCACTTCTGAAGACTTGGGTAGATATAACCTAAACTTCGACTATGTTATAACATCTTCCATGTACTTATTTCCATATTTCAGAGAGGATCCGAATTCGATCATTTTCTCCATTACTTATAAAGGAATAAATCCTGATAATCAAACAATAATCGATGTCATCGAAAAGAGTGCTCCAAGATTTATAGAGAAGGGAAAACTTATATATCAAGTTGGAAATGTGTTTGTTGTCGCAAACGAAACTTACTATATCCCTACAACTCCGACAACACCTAAGCCACAAACAACACCAACAACTCCCAGCAGACGCACACCTCCGATACCAACACCAACGCCTGGTAAGTATGACTTACAGTTTTAACTTTCTATTGCGTCAAACGTTAGCTGTGTGAGCTGAAATTGTTGAGAGCCTAACTTAACGGTGATGTTATAAGCATGTGTAATTTAGAATTATATTTTTATACATTATATAATTAGCGGATTAAACTACAACTTTACTCTATGGATATAATTTACATAGTTTCTAAACAGTAATATTTATAATAATGGTAGTGGTACTTTGTAATTTTATAACCTTATGCAGCATGTAATATTTAAAATATGTTGACATTGAAAGTGGGTATCTGATGCTTTTTCGGCTGTTAGTGAAATTGACGCCGCAAGATATTTCTAACACTGTGTTTAACCTATTTCACAGCTTCGTCTTCGGTGGCATCACAGGAACTATCTTCTAATATCTACCTGCAAAGTTCTACGATATTTATTTCTGACAATAGCTCTTGTGGTTTTAGTGGCATTGCTTGTTCTATGATCGTCTCCTCCACACTGCATCCAGTGCAAACTTTTACTTCTAGTATTGAAATACCCACTAACATAACACCAAGCATGGAAATCGGCATAGCCACACCTGTAGATTCAGGCATAAGCAGTAACATGGAAAACCTGATTGATAGTATTGAAATTTCCAATATTTACTTGACAAGCATAGAAATCAGCAGCATGTTTGACGCTGTTGGAAGTACTTTCTTATATAGCATGGATAATGACATAGAAACGAGTAGTAATATGTTAACAAGCATGGAATCAGACAAAGAAGCTAGCAGTAGTATAAAATTGCCAGACATGGAATCGAGCATAGAAAATAGTAATATAGTGTTAACAAGCATGGCTTCACGTATAGAAACGGGTAGTATGAAGTTAACAAGCATGGAATCAAGTATTGAAAGTAGTAGTGTACGATCTGATTATATGTATTCTTCTATAGAGATAACAACACCACCAACAACAACACCTATAACAACACCTAAATTTACAGGTTTGTCAATTATAAATGTTCGTAAATGTTATTTGTTACAATTTAATTATGGATTTTTGAAATGACAATTATGTATTATGGCACTGTTTGGGCCCTGATGATTGAGCTGTAAAATGTGTTTTAAAAATGGAAGTCATATGGGGATTTCCAATCCTTCCTAGATCAAGAGCAAGAAGTCGTGTACGTTATTGTTACATGCAAAACGTTTTCAAGTATTTTCTTATCTCCGAGTCGTTGATATACCACTCCTAGATTTCTTCTTTAATGACTAAAACTCAAATTATTTTTAGGAGTGACATTGGTTGAGTTATTCTATAGATTGTTTGATTTCCCATACCATCCAGATTATAGAAACAGGAATTCTCTGAGATTCCAGGTGTTGAAAGATGAAACATGTAGGCAGGTATGCAGCAAGGTTTACTCTTTGTCTCTGCTAAAACTGAAGATATTCTTTTTTCCCAATTAAAATAATGCTCCAAAATCCAAATCGGTACTACAATATAAAAAAAAAAATTATATTCAATTCCCAAGAAGGTTACGTCAAGTGTGAACGGTTTGTTAAAATGTATGAAACCTACAGTCAATCCTACAGCAGGGAACTAAGCTCGGTTCAGCTCGTAATGATATTCTTTATAATGAACTTTCCAAATGTATTAAGATTTTTCGCTGATGACGTTGACATGGTATATTTTCATATTTTAGATCACCAACTACATGAAGATGAACAAAGCTTTGGACTATATATTAGAAAACTGCGATATTTGCATTCAGTAAGTAACATTTCAAAATGTCAAAAGTAAGGTTGGGGTAGCCCCTTGGTTTATGAATCTTTTCAGTTTGCATATGTCATATTTTTAAGCTTTTATATGGAATACATGTATTGTAATCTTTCGTTTTATCATTCAAATGCTTCCATCGTATCTCGTGCCTCTTATTCGAACGAAATCTTTGCTCCCTTGTCAATTACTCATTCTTTTATTTTATATAAATATTACAGTGATAAAGAAAAGGTAACCTTCAGATTGGTATATTCAACCACTCGTCCAGAACGGTTAGCAAACGTTTCAATGACCACTTTAGAGAAATATGCACCAAGCGCTGAGGTTTGGCCCTATAAGCTTATTCGTGTTGGTTCATTGTATCCAATTGTCGGATCTGGTTCCAGTAAGGAGGAAGTTGTAACAGTCATTGGCCCAATATGTTCGGATTTCCCAACACCACCACCAACACCTACCTCCACCCTTCCACCAAAATATGGTAATTATGTCAACCACATCATATTGATATCGTACTAATAGCTGAAGCAACTTGAGGCAGTTTGCAAGTAATTCAATTGACCTTCTCGACAATGGTATGATGGTTTATTACTAGTCAAATTAATAAATCATGACTATTCATCTGTTTTAACAATTCAGATACAACTGTAGCCAGGGCAGTATATCGACTGTATAACTTTACCTATAGACCAGAATTAAACAATAGATCTTCTGACTACTTCCGAATGCTGGAGAAAAACTTTTGTGATGATGTAAGTAAAATAACATGCAATAACATAGAAGATTCGATTTAACAGTATTTGAAAGAATATCTCATTAAGACATAGAAAGTTCCTTACTTACGATACTGATATCAAATATATTCAATACATACATGAAACATTATATAATTAATGGACTCGATGAACAATAAATCAAAATGGTAGAAATCGAGTATTGTTCCCACGGCTGTATGTGACATGAATTTAAAGTAGTTCTAGATTGAATGTTCCTTGTCAGTGATATAACGATTGTAAGACATGACGTGTTATTTGTGAGAACACGTACTGATGAGTATCCTGTCTTCATTCTAGATTGACCGGTTTTACAAGGCCAGCTATCTCTTTCTCACTTATCAACATTGTCAGATAAATAGATACGGGTAAGTACTTTATAATTTGACCCCCATTTTACGTAATGACTTAATTTTTTCTTTATTAGGCAAGAATATACAGTTTAATACAAATATGGTAACATTCGTCGCCAAATGTTAGACATCCAACTGCCTGAAGCTTGTAACGGTATTTGAAAAAAAAAATACAGTTATGCAAAATAAATCTGTCTCGTTATTACTTAGTTGAATGATGAGTAAAATCACAGTTTCTAGGATCGAACTTGAGTCATTTGGGGGAAATCAGATTAATTGCTGGATTAAGTCGATCTGAGCACACCGACAACAAAAAATCGCAGTTCCCACCAGCATCGGTTGTCCTTATCCTTAACCTTAGTCATTAATATGAAGATTAGACCGTGCTGTGGATTGCCTTTCAATTTAGATACTCGCTATTTTTCTATGCTTTATTATTTCTTTTAAAAAAATTTTTATAGAACTAATCCAGAAGATGTTGAGTTTGATTTGTATTTCTATGCTGAGATATCAGATTCACTCAAAAATGATATTGATTCAGTTCTTAAGACCAACGCTCCTCGAAAGATCTTTTATCCTCCTGGTTTCCAACAAGTCGACACTCTGGATGTTGGGGACTTATGGCTAGTCTTGAATAACAGGTCATTAGATTTGATTCCAAGAAACTGGACGAAACCAGAAGATACATCATCAACTACTATTGGTAAGATAAGAAATAGATACAACATACTACAATCTTTAAATGATTGTCCACTCGAAAATATCAAAAGGGTCTGAAAATATAATATGGCTTGGAACATCGTAGACAAAAGAATATTCTATCACATAACAAAGTGGATTTGTATTATACCTAAACGTTCATGCCACAATCAGGTTCAAGATTGTCTCTACAATTCAGATTAGAAGATAGCTTAAATACGTGTAAATTAACATCAGCATCACGTAAATCGCTGGGATTTCAGATTTTTATTCATACCTGATGATAATATTTTTCCAATTTTACTTCAGCACCAACGACACCCATAGATCCACTAGCCACAATTCCTATCATCAAATTTATCAGTAAGTACAAATATTATCCTTCTAAAAATTGACATTAATGGTCTATTTCGATTTATAATTGAGATTCTCAGGTGTTATGAATTTGGAAAGGACATTAGTACATTGAATTTTTGAGTCCATGAATGGCCATTTTCGGGCGTCAGACTAGTCGCTTTTTCCAAGATTTTCCATTTTGAAGAACGGTCAATGACGTCACGTGTATGCAGTAGACTTGACCATCTAGTCCCACTTTGTGTAAGACTACAAATAGACGAACCATGCATGGACTTTAATATTATTTGATTTATTGAATCGTTCGTGTGTATCACCTTGAGACATGTTTATGACAATGTGCACAACCAAAATGTCAAATATTCAATTTATGTATATTTAATAACTATCTCATATTACCCACAATGTTTACTAGAATGGTTTTATCTTCGTTGTTTAGGAAAAGCTAAAGTAACAATGGGATATCGTCTTTACCAATTCCCATTTAGACAGGAACTATTGGATCGTAATTCTGTACAGTTTAAATTTTATAGAGATGCGTTATGTCAAGATGTGAGTATTATATATTTCATGAGTCTTTTTCATAAGATTTTCTTTTATCATGATTGACGAGTTTACACAGAATGTCAAGGTCACCCCGTTATTTAAAAAAAGAAATCCTAATCCCTGATCAAAAGCAGTGTATTGTCGCAATCTGTCAACAAATTACGATTAATTGCCTCAGGGTATTTTAAAAATCCATTTTGTTTGCTAAAAACCAAACATTGTTTGCCTTGAAGCTAGCAATTGTGTTTTTTATCGGATGTATTGCACATTTAAAAAAAATATATTAATTGCCTTCAAGTTTTTTTGAATTGACCTTCAACGTGGCATTATACATGGCTAGTAGGCTAATTGTAGTGGTATATACAGAATTATCAAATATTCTAAGCAAATTGTTGTACAAACGGACAATGGGGCAAGGGGTGGTGAAATGCTCCAATTCGGCTGCGTAAATTCTCTAAATTGATAATACAACCGTTTTCTTTGCAGTTGGCCAAATTGTACTCAAATACACCAACATTTAAATTACTGTATGAAACCTGTGATTTAGAAGTATTTTCGTAAGTAAAATGATACAACTTCCGGTGAAAAATAGTTGACTACGTTGGTACCGAATGTGAAAACTGATTTATACCAATAAATACCCTCTCATGAATGTATTGAAAAATGCATTTGTACAAGGTTCGGAAATTGTCCACCAGCAACCTTTTAATCTTTTCGTAATTTCGTGATCATGATCGTTGGCTTTTCAAAGTCAAAGATACACTGTTATGTTCATGAACCCGTGTTTCCGCAATATGTTAAATTTTCAAGGACAAAAGACGTAAGACAAAATCACCATCTGAATTTCTTTTGAATTAACACGTTTTTGTTTTCAGTACATCGCCTGATTCAATACGTTTCAACCTAGTCTTTAAAACCGAGAACTCTGAACTCTTAGAAGGAACCGTGAAGGACACGCTAGAAAACTCCCGGCCGCATTTTGACATGCCTGGTCACAAAGTCATTTTAGTTGGTGGAATGTTCTTCATTCTGAAAGACTCTTACGCCTCCAAGTCTGAGTTTATTGTACCTTCAACAGTGTATACTACCGCTGTTCCAGATATAACACCCACCCCTCCTGTTGTAGCTACATCAAGTATAGAAATACCCTTGATATATGGTACGTCTCTGTTTTTAAAGTCACGCTCTCGTTGCAATAAATATTCTGTATTCGAATTTCAAACTAATGTTTAAAATCATATCACTGTAATATGATGAACATATTTTCGAAGTATCCATTGTTCTATTTATCCATTTAAAGAGTTCGTGATACAGTTCGATCTTTTCAGTCAGTGATTTTTGGTATGGGTTGTTAAATTGATTTCTGACGATTATTTCTGATTGTAGATGCTACAAATGTGTACCTAACTTACGAGGTTTACAATATGACAGACTGGTTAGATCTATACAACAGAAATTCGACATTATTTAAAATATACCGAGATAGAGCTTGTCAGGATGTAAGTATACTGAGGTTCTAAAGACGTTTACATCCCATACTAAATGGACAAATACTATTTAAAGGGAGATAAGAAGGGAAGTTGATAATAATTGTTGCTTGCGAAGAGCATATATTGTGCTATTTTTTATTTGGGAATAGAATCTATTTTGGGGCAACTGGGGATTTGTTTCGACTCACTGGTAATACGAGGACCGTAACTTCAAGGAGGCAAGAGGGACACCCTCCACTCCCCACATTACAACTTGAAACCATATAGCAGTGCTTCTCAACCGGGTATGAGACGTCAACAAATGTTGAGAAACCCCCGAGACCTGTGCTCAAAAACTATTATTGCCATTCCTGTCATCATATCGAGTATAATGCGGGTTTAGCGCGGTGACTGAGATTTTGTCCAAAAAGCGCAGATCTGTGGACATAACTAGACGTGGAAACCTGAAACTGACCTGAAGATCAGGGCTCACAATAAGAGATATACCACATTATCAAAATCTGACGATGTCTATATGGATTATTTTTCGTGATAAAAATTGATATTCAATAAATGTGAATAAAATTATTTATTTGACGACTGAAAGGGGTTAGTGGCTTCTTGTAGTGCAGAAGTGGAGTGAACAGGGCGAAAAAACGCTGAGAAGCTCTCATACCCCTAGTGATATATTACTTGCCCCTCCCAACAATCAAATCTGGGTGTGGATAATATCTTTTCATATTATACTCGTTATGTTTTTCAGTTGAATGATATATTCAGAGATAAAACTGGTATCCTGTATTTGACTTACAAAGAATGTGATATTGCAAGATTTGAGTAAGTTGTATTCCTTTTCTTTTCTTTGGTGATGACTTTAACGACGATAGGTTTCCAGCATTGTAGCCTCTAGTAAGAATATGCTGATTATGGATCAGATTTTTAGCAAAATATATCCAAAAACCTATCAATTCAAGCGGATTCAAACCATTTTTTGTCACAAACTTTTCGGAAATCACAAGGTATTTTTTGTATTTTACAGTCCGAATCCCTTAAAGACCACGTTCAGATTGACGTTCAGTCAAATGATGAGTGATCAACTGAAAGATACCACAAGAAGGACGTTTGAATTCAAGGCACCAAAGAAAACAGAAAATGGCTACCTGCTTATTAAAGCTGGTGACATGTGGTTGATATTGAACAGACACGAGATAAGTCAGTTACCAACGAATTACACAGCACCACCTACACCAACGTTTATGCCGACATCAACACAAGTCGTTACGTCCACGATCTCGTCAACGTCATTGACTGATAGTTTCCCTACCATTTCTCCATCTCCTACCTATACTGAGATGTCTTCTACACAGACACCAACCCCACCACCTACCACAACTGAACGACCTTTGTTATATGGTATGCTACAGTCCGAATTTTATATTATTTTGTGCCTACAATGATGGATCCCTTGTAGTAAACTAAGATCTGTGATGCAGCATACCCTTAAAATACGAATACTAAAGAATTTCTTTTTAACATGTATCGTAAACGAAATGAATCATCTTGAATGGGTCAAGCTCGACCAGATAAACTCATTTATGTAGACGTTTGACGAGCGTAAAAGGTGCAATTATGTTTGAGCAAATACAAATATGCAATATTATTTTGTTATAGATGCTGTGTTGGCCAATATTACCTATCTACTGTATAACTTTACACACACTCCACAACATAATAACCCGAATTCTTATGAATTTAGAAAGGAAGAACAGCTCTTCTGTAAGGACGTAAGTATACATCCAATCTAGACAAGCAGATGACAAATAGTCAAATTTATATCCATCAATAGTGACTCGAAAAATAACGAACATATTGTGTTTGCAATGAAGATGTGATAAAGATTGATAGCAACTGGGCAGGTTAGTTAATGCGAAACCATAGAAATGAATTTACGAACATAATTGGCCCTTTGTGGCTCTTGTTTGGTACGGAGACTGCAAAATATTGATCATTCTGGAAAAGCAAGCCCCTGTATGGTTTTCATTGGGTTCTGATTAGTAAAACGTCGGATGTACTTTATGTATTTCAGGTTGATAAAGTATTTAGAAATGTATTCCAATCCCCATTTGTTTTCACCTATAAAGAATGTCGCGTAGAAGCTTTCGGGTAAGTAAACGTTCTAAACCTAATCTCTGTTCCGAACAAAAATTTTGTAGAGTTAAATTTCGTTGTTAGATTTGAAATCGATTTAAAAACTACCAATGTACACGACAATGACCATGCGTAGTATAATCCAATTTTTCAATATTGTATGATTCCAGAAAAAATCCAAGTACTGTTAGATTTCACTTGATATTATCTGAAGAAATGAAAGATGAACTTAGAACCTTGATACCAAACACCCTGCAGAAAATAGCTCCAAAACTGAACATCTCAGATTATGAAGTGATGGACCTGGGTGATTTATATCTGGTGATTGGACAATACATAATCTCTGTCACACACCATAACTATACCAAACGTATCACTGATCCGTTATTTATAACTACACCTTCTACCACTACAACTATCAGAACTACGCAGAAACCAATCGTACCAACCACTTCCAGTCCGCTAGTCTTCCCTACAGGTTAGTTCTAGCAATACATTGGTAATCAATAGGATAAAATTGAAAATAGCGATAAATATGTTGGCATCACGTGAAGACTTTTTCGAATTGATTTTACAATCTTTACCTTACTCATTGTGCATTGTTGGTCTGTTTTCAGAATGGGTGAAGATGCAATTCAATGCTAATCTGTATAACTTTACATGGTCACCAGAACTAATGAATCCAGATTCTAGATTATTCCGAGAACTGGAGTTAAAGTTTTGTAACGATGTAAGTAGATATATTTAGGTTTTCAAAGGGCACCTCGGTAGCAGAAAGTAGTGCGAAAATGAAACAAAATTCATGTGCCCTTTCATCAAGCGTCGTTGTCGGCGATATGAACTCGGGAAAGCCATGTAGTTCTATATAATTAAAAATTGCTTTATTTCCGAATAAGTACTGTTATTCAAGGATTATTATTTTTCAGATAAGTCGCTTTTTTTCTGGAAGTATGATGTACACAGCTTATAGAGGGTGTAAAATAGACTCATTTACGTAAGTCAGAATATCAGCTTAATTTGTTAATACCTCCATCTTAGCACCCGAGTTTTCCTTGCCTATGTATCTATACCAAATGATTTATATGACGATGATGAACCAATATTTCACATAAATTTGTCACATCTAATTAGATCAGAGTTCTGAAATGTGACTCTTGAGAAGGTTGTTACCGAAATAATTTTTCAGCTTGGGAAAAAAAACAACAAGATAATAATGTTGAAATTGTCAACGTTTAGCGGCATGTTCAAACATTTCTTTGTTATGTAAAAACTTCAGATCCAATCCCAGTGAAATCAACTTCAAGATCGGCTTTGTAAGCCCTCTGTATCCTGGACTTGGTACCGATATCGTCACAATTATTGAACAAAATGCCCCAAGAATTATGGCCCAAGACGATTCAACCTTGACAGCTGTAATGGACATTGGCGGTTTATTTTTGGTCTGGAAGAACTTTACTTTCTACATAGTATCACCTGGTGGTTTTACTTCTTACTGGATTCCCGAATCTACTGTGACACTACCAACCACCACTACCGAACGTAAGCTTACCAATATCCGATTCTAGCCTATGCATTCAAAAATATATACAGGCCAGACATACATTTGCTTTCTATAATTTTGTTCAATTCAATGCAATCAGTAGGAATCTTTAATGACACAGGAGTGTTTGTAATGTATATAGTTGTATTTGAGCTGTACACTGATGTGGAATATAAAATGTCTTTTCTAGCAACATACTTATTGAAGTTATCATTCCAAGTATTAAACCGAACATTTACACGAGGTCTGGCTGATAAAAATTCCCCAGAATTTAAATATCAAGAACAACTCTTTTGTGACCAGGTAATGGAACTAACGTATTTTACATTGTACTGTCCATAGAGATATTTCTTAAGTCTGTTGCTCACAATACTGTAATGTACTGAGATTTTGTGTTCATAGACATGTGTATTTTAACCAGTAAATCTTCCATTCCATGCTCGTATTTAAGATATCTTGCGATGTATTTTGATAATTTCAGATCAGTGAAATGTTGACAACTCATAGGTTCAGGTTCCCGGATTACCTAAAGTGTGAAGTTGATGCTTTTGTGTAAGTATTTGAAATATACCGTATAGAAAATGTCTACTGTGCAACTTTTCGATGTACCAATGGTCAATTTCAATGCAATGAAATGGAAACGGTGTTAGTTAACATTGCATTGAGGGCCGATTATAGTAATTGAAATCTCTCATTTCTTTAATCAGGGACGATCCTTTACGAGTAAACTTCAGTTTAGCGTTTATTGGCCAACAACCAGAAGAGATGAAAGCTCGGGTTATAGGAATCATTGTAGAGGGAGCTAGAAGAGTTAGTTTTAATGATTTATATGCCTTGTTGATTGGTGATCTGCTGTTGAATCTACAAGGATTTACTAACAATATACATGATAAAACTAAACCAGATATGGGCCTCACTGATCCATCTTTTGATTATGGTAAGTTGTAATTTTTTTCTTCTCTTAAGACCTAAACATTTCCTCTAAATACTTTCATAAATTCTGCCAGTAATTACTGTGTTGCTACTATCATTATGAGCTCGTTCATCCCGAACCTTAGTTCCTTTCTGCAATTAAAATTGTAAACTTTGTAAAACATGTATGTGATGATTTAAATCAATTTGTCTATGGATATTATTTATTTTTTAGATGGTTTGTTGTACAACTACACTTTCTATCTGTATGAGGGAAATTGGACACAGGAACTATCTAATCCGAACTCGGCAGCTTTCCAAAATGCTGCTTCCAGATTCTGTAACGATGTAAGTATCAAACTTAACCAAAGACACACAATTCTGATAACCTTTATAGCAGGTTGGTGATTTCCCCAGCAATGTACGAGATACGTGAAACCAAATCCGGAAAACCATGAAGCAATGGGCTCCCTTCAGCCCCCCTCCCTCGCAGCACCGAAAGCATGTTTTTCGGGCAAAAGTCTCATAACTAGGTTAGAAATTAGGGCCATTCTGACGTAAAACTGTCTCCGCCATTGTTGTATTATATGTTTACAGATTGATGCTATATTCAGAAGACATTATCTTAATGAAAGATATTACGCCTGTGATATTGAAAAAGTTGGGTATGTTTTTGTTTTTATTTTCGATTGTTACAAAAACGATAGTCCAAATAGTCCACGGAAAAACATTATTAATAATTACAACAGTAAAAGACAACAACAAAGTCAAACTGGGGGGCAGGGTTCGTCATTTACATTATCTTAGAGCATCATTGTTATACAGTGATCTAAGCTATTTTCGTGCATATAAGGATTCAACATCGAATTCCGTCAAAGTTAAAAAAAACGGAAATTTTTTATTATGTCTTAGATGTTTCCTCATATTCTACAAAATAATTAAAATTGGTTTGTTTCGATTTTCTTTATGAATCCCCCACTTTGACCCATATTTCATGAGCAACCAACTCGACAACGGCGGCATAATGCGTCACCTATTTTCGTGTACAATGTTTGATCTATAAATAAGTCGAGAAAAACACGTTATTGATACCCAGTGGTATAATCTTAGTACTTATCTTTAATATCAATTCATTATAACTAATTGAAACAATTCCTTCAAAGAACCACGATTTAAAAAAAAAAATAGTGACTGACAAAATAAGATACGTAGCGTGATTTATTGCTAAAAGTCATTGAAACAACATAAGAATATGGCCCACATTGTTTTCGATGGAATTTTTCTGCTTACACGGAATCCGCTATTTGATCACGTGACTTCATTCTAGCAGATGACACTTTGAATTCCGATTACAGCTAGGGATTATAAGGAAATTCGCACGATAAAAAATTTTGACGTTTGGTAATAACTGGAATCCTCCATTTTGTATTTGTCAAAGTAAACGTTAATATATTTTACCTGGATTCATTCTAATAGCTGATATTGTACAGATAACCCATATTTACAAAACAAGCAAATGCGGAGGTCACGCGAGGTCACACATGTAAATTATTAATCATTTCCGGAGATGCACGAAAAATAGGTTAGCACGAAATTAGGTTACTTGACTGTAATATTTGAATTCCCTTTTACAGAGATTTCAACACAAAAGATGTGATAGTAAATATTGTACTAAATGGAACGGTGGATGTTGGTGATATTCTAGTCTATGACGTCATGGCCAGTAATGCACCAATGGAAGTGCTTGACGGAATCAGATGGTTACGAATTGGTGATATGTTGTTGTACGCAAACTCAACCGGGAGTGTTAGATATATCAGATTCTTGAATCCTCAAACCAGACCACCAGTGGTAACACCGGCTCCAGGTAAAGATTAGGAATGCTACTCATTTAACTTAGGAGATGGTTGGACTCATCGGGATGAATGAAGGGTGCATTATGCTTACATGTTAAACTTTCTGTGATGAGGCCACACAGTAAATTATCGTATCTACCTCTAAAAAATCTTAAAATCATATTCTTTTTCAAATTCATTTTCTTCTTATCACTTTTTACCGATTGTATCTTACAGAGGTCAGCACATTCCTCCACATCTCCTTTGATTTGTTAAATCTCACTTACTCAGCTGCTTTATCTGATCAAAGTTCTGGCCTATTCAAGTTTTACGCCAGACCATTCTGTGCCTACGTAAGTATTATTTAATTTTCGATGATCACATTTGAACTTCGGTAGCTGTTTCATTTCAAATGAAAAGCAACTGGTACAAAGATTTTTCATGTTATTATACTATAGTAATACTTATAATCAAACAATTGGTGATCTTTTGTCTTTTCAGTTGGATCGTGTTTTAACAGAAAATAACCGCTTTCCGAGTTATGATAGATGCACTGTTGAGCAATTCGCGTAAGTTTCTTTCTGTTATTATCTGAATTATTACATTACATCTATTCATCTCCAGTCTTCGATACCAGCGACATAAACAAATCATAGTATATCCATAAAATCTAATTATCAGATACTCAACAATCACAATGAGGCACTGGAGGAATTTACAATGGACTTCTTGTTCAACCATGTGTCGAAAGACTTTTTTTGATTGCTTTTTTCATGCATTCACTTATATTTTTTTTTTTTTGCAGGAACAATCCAGTGTCGGTGAAATTCAACTTGAAATTTAGAGGTGCACAAAGAAAGAACTTGCAGAGTCAAATTACTGGTCTACTTGTGGAAAGAGCACCGCGAGCTTTGATTAATAATCAGATTGGTTTAGTCATGGGAGGACTGGGTATTTATGATCGTTCAATAGCAGTAGCTCAAAGAACAGTAACTGGTAACCCAGTAACAGTTCCAGGAGAAACACCATTCCCTTTCCCGACACGACCTTCACCATCAAACCCACTAGTAACACCACCGACTATGAGTAAGTATCACTATTAGAAATACTTACTCCCTAAAACTGTAGAGAGCATCCTCTAGAGAGGGTACAGGAGCTGATGAAGTTGAAGACCTTATCAACTAAGAACTAAACAAAGTCGAATGCCACATGGACAGTTGATGGAATATTCAAAGTAGATCACATCATTGTGCTTATTGCATTGGTTCCGTAGAAAAGGCTACAGGCCCATAGTACATATTCAAAAAAAATATAATTTAGTATATTTAGACAATATAACAGTTCCTTTATAATACCTTTAATATCATTAAATTTTATTTCAGCCGAGACTCCCTGTATTGGCAGTACTTCAATATTTGTTCCTCATCCGAAAGACTGTGACAAGTTCTATTTATGTAGTAATGGACAAGGTGTTGAGATCGAGTGTGCAGCTGGTACAAGATTTGATCCTAATATGTCAGTTTGTGTTACGAAACCACCTGGATTTGTGTGTCCTTTGTAAGCTTTCTACAAAAGCTTGTGAGGTTCAAAGTTCAAATTTGTATCATCTATAGATAGAACCTGGAATTTATTTATTTATTTTTGAATAAACAAATACGAGAATTAGCTGTTCAACCAAAGAATTATTGCAATTGATTAGCCCGGAGATAAATTTTGATTTAATAAATCAATTTATTTTTTGCGCACAGTGTTCTGAACTTAGAGGGTATCAAAGTAATACGAAAGATAGAATTACAGTCAATATAATTTGAGGGAGGGGGGTTTGGAATATCAATGACATATTACGATTGAAGTATGTCATCGCTGTCAGTGTAGATGAAGGTGGAAGGAGCAGACAGTTTTGGACACAAATGTCTTTACTACTATTATTCCTATATTAAAATAATACTGATATGACGAGAATTTGTGAATAATATTGTGATAATTTGATTTGTTTTGTATAGTGGTCGGTATAGGACATAATATGTATTCATTTATGTCAACTGCAAAGGTACGAACGCCTTAGAAATCTCAAGTAGCTCATGATGCATATGCCCTATATCAACCACCATAATTTTTGATATTAATGCAACTGTAAATATAAATTGTAAAGGGTGAGTTTTAAGTCAATTAGCCAGGACTGGACGACAACGTTACGAGATTATTCTGGTTTATTAGGTCTTCAGCGAGGAAACATTCCAGCAGATGAGTTGACTTTAAATTTACCCTTCCAAAAATATGTTACATCAATTTTTATATGAATATATTTTATATCAATAAAACTTTATTTAATGAACGCATTTATTGTTTAACTTTTTATAAGGGACCAAAGAGGTACATGTACTTGTAACACGAATATTTGAACAAGGGAGGTCACAAAACGTGATCAATTGTTCAAAAACCCCAAAGCATTGGCAGATCTGACTTTCGGTTATTGAAATGATTTATATCCAAGGTGAATATTCACAGAAATGGAAAATGTAACTGAGTTTGGAGAACGCTAGGGAAACAATATGGAAGATAAATAAATTTTAGATTTTTCTCAACATTATTTACAGCTCAAACAGATAATATAAGCACTTTAATACAGAATTAAATAAACAATTAAATATCCACCCTAAAAAATAACGACAATTGCCTGCCAATGTACGCGAGTTACAACCCAGTCATAGAGCAATACCACAGTAAAAAAGCACAAATTTATTCACCGGTACCAGATGCAGGAACATGCATGTACATACAAGTCTTTATAAACTGTCCGTAGCTAACATTATCGGTGTTAGAAAAGAACTGTGATAAATTTATATATCCTTTATCTAATGTGAACAAATGCGTCAGCCCAGCTGCTTACATCGCTTCATTGTTCCAATTCGTTGACAGATTTCTGTATCATTGCTTTCAAAACAGGAAAAGCGATTCAGTAATTAAAACATCATTACATGCTTATCACGGACATACAATCGCATCAGTTTTCCTAACACAGCTTTGTTGTTGGTAGTCCCATACCAGATTATGTAAACATGTTTGAACAATTTCCCTTTCGGCCTCACAGATGATGAATTTGGAACAATCTGTCGGATGAGGGAAATACCCTCCATTGATACCTTTACAGGGTCTGAAATCTGGACAAGGTAGTTCTGAAGATGATTTACGACAAGCGTTTATATTAGGATCAAACACTAGTCCTCCAGAACAAAGCATCTCTTTACCAACATCTTGGTCACAAAAGATGTATTTGGTACAATCATCTGGATGAGGGAATAAGTGACCATCAGTGGTATCTGTTTTACATGGTTCTCTATCATATGCTGAAATATAAGAATGACAGAATAAGTTCACTATCCAAAAGCTGAATAAGAAGGAATAAGAAAGCTATGTAGTATTATTTGCACCGAAGCTTGTTTTGCGTTTTTCTTTTCTGGGTTTTGGCTAATGAAATTGACTACGTCATGCAGTGTAAAGGTTGGTAATTTTGCCAGCTGCATTAACGTTCCCTGTTTTGATTTCAAATTGGTGGGAAATCTTTAATGGTACAATCCGAGCCGCACTGGACCCCGGTTTATGGTCTCATTCAACAAGTCACGTCATTCAGACACATCTGCATTACAGGAAAACGGGGCTGAAATTCCAAAGGTTAACGAGCGATCATCAAACTCGTTGAGGTACCCATGGAATAGCGATCTACACCAAAACAAACATTCAGGAGATATTTAAAAATATCAAAAAGTTATATGTCGGTATAGGTGAAATTTATTGTGTATTTCAAATCATCTATCGAATTTTGATTCTAAAAATTCTTTTTAACCAATCACTTACCTGGTCTTGTTGGGTAAGGAACTGTATTAGAATACATTGAATTTTGGGTTGGTGATATACTTTCAATATTATCTGGTCTGGGTGGTGCTTTTGACGGATCAGGACAAACCACATCTGGTGATTTCTTGGTGCACACCTTAGCTTCCCAGTCATACAGAAGTCCCGATTGACACAGTGTCAAAACAGATTTACCGTGAGCACATTGGAAAAACAGGTTACACTCAACAGGGTGGGGGAAATAATTACCCTCGTGATTACTACATGGATCCCATTCGTAAACTGAAAATAGATTAGATATTTGGAATAATCCTTAATACTTTAACTTTTAAATGGGCAAATCCTTGAGCGAAGTAAAATTAAATTACTGACGTCAAATTTAATTTTAGTAAATTAACAGTATCCACAGGGTCTAACAATTTGAATCGAAGTTTACTCTTATCCTACAAACTATGCAAGCCTAAAAATATCTTGTCAGTGCATACATCCAATTTAAAAGCACATGATTTTTTATATCTAGAAATGGGAAAATCAACTCGATCTAATTCGCTCCTGGGGATTTTATCCTATCTGCACTAACAGGCTTTCTGACATTGTCGTACTGAAAAGAGTATATACCTGGCGCTGCAGTTCGGTTCTTGTCTACTTCATTTATAACATCTGGTGGTATTGAAGATGCCTTGAAGATGGTGTTATTAGGACAATCAAACTCGGGAGTTTTGACCACACATACATTTCTAGTAAAATCAAATACCATTTCACCACAATATAACAACACAGACTTGTTATTCTGACATTCATAATACAAGTTACATTCTGTCGGATGTGGATAATAGCCTCTGCCATTCTTACCATGGCATGGATTGGGTTCTTCAGTCGATACTGAAAAAATATAATTGATCCATTATATGCCTGGCTTATTATGAAAAGATGATTGAATAAAAAAATGACTGAATGAATGAGGAATATTATCTCAGTTTCATTGATGAATTGAATTCTTCTGGGTTTTTAGGTGAATTTGAATATTAGAATTTAAATATTATTGATATTTTTATGATGGCTTAGCGTTGATATAAATTCAAAACACAATGCCCATATTTATATTTATTAGACAAGTTTAAATTAGGGCTATCAGTGCACGTTTAAAACCGATATTCACATTCAGATAGACAAAAAATGCTATTTACCGACAAACAGCAAAGATAGTAAGTTCTAATTTCACATCTAAACGATTTCTAAACCCCATGTCCCCCTATTATTTTTTGTAGTTCTGCTTACTAAATATGCATATATTCATAAAAGCAGTAAGTAAGCAGAAGTAATACATACCAATATTTGTACGAATGGGTTTAGACGTTGTAAGATACAAAACAGAATCAGAAAAATGTTCACTTTCTAACTTTATAGTTTTACGATCTGCGTTTGATGCAGAAGTTGTACTGGAGGATGTAATTGTAGATGTAAGAGAAGTTGTTATATTTGTTGAAGCCGTTGTCGCTATCGACTTGGAAGTCGTTGCTTCTGCACTAGTTGTCGTCGGTTGACTGGTTGTTGAAACAACAGTAGTAGTAGATGTAGTCCTAAATGTTGTCGGACTAGTCGTAACATCTTCTTGTCTCCGAGGTATAGGGGTAGTTATCCCAGGATCATCAAATATGATTTTATTGAAATTTTCCGATTCCTTTTTAGTCTCTAATTTGATTTTAGTGGTAGCTAAATCCACAGTCAATTGATCAACCATGACTAGACGTGAAGCTGTACCAGGCACATTGGTAGCGGGAGCTTTATCTTGTATAACTTTTATGATTACTTCTCCTGGTGTATACCGATCATCAGTGAAGAACAGTGTGAAATTGATCTTATCATTCCTAAAGTATAAAAAATATAGTATAATGTAAAGAAACAAAGGTGTGTATTTTCAAAGAGATGTTTTAAATGAAACGATATCAAAATTCCCAATAGGTCAACAGAGGATACTATTCATCCAATATAAAGACAGTCTGTCATTACCTATTTAATAACCAAGAAAACACTTGAACTATCAGGAACTTCTTATAATGCCATAGTGAGAAAATAAATATAATAATGGGTTAAGCAGTTGTATTGTAACATTGCTCTTCCTAAAAATAAAGTTCTTTGGCCTTATAACTAGCACTGTACGTATCGTATCTTCCTGATTTAGAATATCTATAAGTAATCTTAAACTCACCGCAAAGATATCACTTCACAACCTCGATAGACTGTTCTCAACTCACTTCCAATATAAAATTTATCCATCTGAAATATTGATTTTATTTACAGGTTAAGACCATATACTTAATGTTTTATTCAATTTTATCATGCGACTTCATAGCTTAATGATGTTATTCCGTTCCAATTACATTGAACAGATTCAAATTCACAAAATCGCACATATCACAGGGAATAAACACTTAAATTTATTACTTATTTCTAAACATTATGTATACGGACTTTGCCTCGAAATGTGGAATGTCTTAATTCAGGTTACTACTATCTCAAAGACAAGGATAATACCCATATTTATACATATATACTCACCGTTTTACAATAAGTCACTGCAATCATCTCTCGTTGAACTGATGACAATGAGTTAATATTTTGGTTTCTAATAGACATTTCTAGATGTGCATGTAGGAAGTCTGTAAAGAAGTAACAATATATTTATGTCAGAAGGTGGTCAATTTGCCTATAGACTTCAGTTCCTAATATCGAGTTTGAGAATTTTCAATACAAAGAATATAACCTAGGTTTGTCTGAAAGATGATTTCTATGAAGGTGTTGATGGCATCTTGACGTGCACCAACTTGCAGAGGTACAAAAAGGAACAATTGTTTAGTGCAATAGGTCAAATATTTTGGGGCATATTTTTTTTATATGTCGCAAAATGTTTATGTGTATATAATGCATTGAATAGCAGTCTACCAAAAAAAAAAAAAAAAAAACACAGTCACAGGAAATAACTTTTGGGAAATAGAATAATAAAAACAAATTGTACTTCTTAAAGCGATCATAGTTAATTTGTTATAATTTTGATATAAATACATATCATTGTGTTTAAATATATGACACAATATGTCATTTTGACAGAAATAGACTTCTTTACATAATTCGATCATGTTTAAAATCAATTTTAAAAAAGGTCCCACGCTGTTGAAATCGATGAAGATAAATACTGACAATTGAGGTTGTGACATTATGAGTGATGTGAAAATGACACAATAGAGACATGTAGTTTACAATATACTTATATCATCCAATACATGGCACGTGTCTTCAACACACATTATTTACACGTTCACTGACTGTATAGGGACATAATCCTATAATTACCGGTTAAATCTAAACAGTTGATATAGAAATCAATTCTTCTCGGTAACATTAGTATTTTTCAAGAAAAAAAAAATGAAAGTCTGGCTTTTGGTTTGTCCAGAAATCAATCAAATCGAAACCTTACCGATTGTGAAATCTTATTCAAAAAAATGTTTAACTGTGCCAAATGAAAATTGTGATAAGAATGTTTAGTTTTTAAGGTCCTACATAGAAAAGCTTTTTGGTAATTAGTCGTTGAATGCTGCCTTAGTGCGAATCTTAGTTAATATGGAATATTAATGTTCAAAATGCATAACAACCGTCATATTTTTTTGCGAATAAGTTACTTTCCAATACAAATTACTTCTAGCGAGGACTAAGATATTTCGCTCCATACTTTTTCCTTTATTTTTTCACTTATGAAGTCAAACTTTTAATAAGTCAATGACTTAGTGGAAAATAACTGTGTCGATTAAGTTTTTCTTTCTAACTATAAAGTATGAAATGCCCGTAAACATTGTTGCCCAGACTAAAACGATTATCATTATTTAAGAATTTGTTTTATGCAGTTGCCTCGAGCAAGTTGCGATCAAGTCATTCGCTAAAGATAGATTTATCAAAAATAAAAGCTCATTAATTGGATTTGATACATACCTATTTGTTTGTCTTGGGTTTCTGAAAAAAATGAACAGAGGTGAATAAACTGCATAAAGTACATATAGGTGCTTCTAGCATCGTTGATTGAAAAACGCTCACAACTACCATGTTGCTGATGCCAAAAGGCTGAATTGCGGAGGCATTGTAGGCAGATAATGCTGACCATTACAAAATAATATATTCATTCATTTAGCCTAAATTGCACTAAAACTAAGGTATTGTACGACTTTTGCGCTCTACGTGTATAGCCTTGTTCACATTGTGTTGTCTTAGCATACATGGATCTGACAATGAATACTGTGTATATTAAGACGTTAAAATGCACCAACACCGAATAATTAGCTGATATAAGTCAGGCATGGAAAGTGTAGGGAAGTATTGTTCCAAATTTACCACCAGGTCCTGTCAAGTACTTTTTTCTTTTTTTTTTTCAAATTATTTATGCAAAACAAATCTGATATACAGTATATAGTTTTACATAATCTTAATTTAGTATATAGTTTTACATAATCTTAATTTAGTATATAGTTTTACATAATCTTAATTTAGTATATAGTTTTGATCTTAACTATAAAGAGAATAGAATGAGTACAACCTACATAAATGTGTGTTTTTTTCATCAAATTTCACAATATGTCAATTGATGCGAATTATTGTTTTTGATGTACAACCAGTCTAGTTTGTAATCTTTTAAGACTCTGACAAAAGAACTGCATACATGGTGCATTATAAAAACATGTTTTTTGTGTGATAGCGTTAATTAAGACAGACTACATGTGATGAAGATTTAAACCTTTCCTAATGGTCTAAGATGTCATTATTGATTTGACCTGGCTGATAAGACCAATGTTATATAAATTTCACATTAGCAATGTCCAATATATAAGTTTAATGATTATAGGCCTAGAGCTATGTTTGTATATGGAAGGCATAAAGTGGTAGTTACAGTATCATACTATTCTTAGCTTAACTAGGAATGTGATACCATTACTGCTATTTTAGGATTTCGGTAACTTATAAGTATTAATGTGGTGGCAAATTAACTTAAATGTTATGAGGTAATGCCAATTAACCAAATTGTAAATGCGGTGATAAAAATAAACCTCATGATCAAACGGTTTGATATTACATTAAGTACAACTTGTATGAGTAAATTAAGATTATGACATAAGTTTGGACGACCATAAAACCTTTTAACGTAAGGTCAATTCCTTGTTTCATGTGGGTGTTCATTCTGGATGCAATTTCTAAACCTTATGCAAAATTTGAGGTATGAAGTTTTGGTAATGCAAATAGCACTCAAAGCATAGATCTGCTTCCCTATACGAGCTTTATTAAAGTACAGTAGTCCAGTTGGATATATATCCGGAACTTGTTCGAATCATCATGACTTTCAGACTTTTCAACTCTGATTGGTTCATACAGTGATCGTTAGTTACAGAAATTCAAGTGAACCTTCAGTTCTCTCCGATCTTTAATATTACGAAAGCCTAATTTTGTAAAGAAATTGTAAAACCATGGCACAGTTTCTATTCCATTAAAAATTTACAGTTATATATCAGATAATAAAACATTTTGTATGATTACAGATTAAGGATTGTCTAACTTGGCCTTAGGGTTATATGTTTTATATAAGGAAATATCAGTCCAATTTACATATTTGTGGTAAATGGAGCTGATCGTTAATAGTCAATCATATTTCAACAATTTCTTTTACAATATGACATTATTTTTTGAAACACTAATTATTGCCAGTCGAAATATAAACTTTATTTTCAAAAATAATATTCATTTAAACCACAATACAGAAAAAAATGGTTTTTTTCAGAGTTTTATCCTTATTCAAAAAAGCTCTGGTTGCAATTGCCATGCATACTAATTAAACTATAGATTTTATTTTACAATATTCTTTCAATTTAATGCGAAGATATATGCGCTCCAAATCTGTGTGCCAATTAATATGTTTTAACAAAATTTAATTAATAAATTAAAAAGGTGTAAGACAAGGATAGTATCTTAAACCCTTTCTTTTAACCGGGGATATAAATGATTTGTTAATGTAGCGATTTGCATTGACCCATGTTAGTTCTCTTGTAACCTTTATCAGAGGAGTATCATTTGGGGTCATGCAACTTGTATCCAAGCTGTACTTGTCCGCACGTGTTCATAACATACTTTGAACAAATGAACATCTTTAATTAATATCATTTGTAACTTCCGTTTTGAAAATTTCGGTCATCATGTTAAACAGTTTTACTTGAAGAAGCAGAGTTTATGACCCTGTTTGATCAAATGATTATAAACATTTCTTAAATTATATGTATCTGAGAAATGCATCTATCTTGAAGGGGCATATTTGTGCATATAGTCGTTATATCAGTTTAAATATCTTAATGTAAATAAAAATCCGACGTCGCCGTCTGGGTTATCGATAGGCTTCAGGGCGTGTTTTTACTTTCCCAAATGCAGACATACTCAAGTATTGTGTGGTATCTACTTTGAAAATGCTTTTTGTTATCTAATTCTCTAATTACATTGCATATCGGAGTTTTATTGTGAGAATGGGTATTAGTAAATGAGTGTGGCTAATGCGACAAATATTTCGACAGCTGTGGTTTAAAGATCGAGAATGGAATCAAAAACGAATTTTTACTAGAATTGTACTGATAATTAAATAAATCAAATGACATGTAAAGATGCATGTTACCTTTTAACACAGTTGCAAAATAAACTGCTATTCCAAGACTTCCAGCTAATGTTATAGCCAAAACACACATTATCACTGGTCCAAGGATTTTCTTTAATCGTCTAGAGGGTGTTTCTAACAGTTCAACAGGGATCTCAATTTTAGCAAAGGGACTTGAATCGCTAGTAGGGGATGATGGATATTTATGTATAGGTTGTTTGACTATACTGTTTGTTTCACTACCACGTCGAACACTCTCTCTGTAACTTGGTGAAAGACTTTGTCTTCTTGAATTGTTTATATTTTTGCTAAACTCCGATTTATTCGTAGACGCAACACTTACAGCACTGCGACTACTGCGGCGTCCTTCACTTTTCTCGCTAAGAGTGTCAGAATTCACTTCAGGAGTAAGAAAAGGGCTTGCACTTGTCTTGCGTTTGGTCGGAGGTTTGGGATGAACCGCATCCACTAAATCTGGCTCTGATCGTGTTCTAGAAGGTGGATTAATCCCTCTTTGTGGACGTCTTGCTTGTTTTTCTGAGTCTACCCTTTCTGAAGAGGCGAGAAGATGCTCATGGGAACCATAGTTAGGTGACATAAAAACCTGTCGCCTCTCACGTTGTTCAGTTAAGTCATTTACACTTTTAATATATTTTAGTCTATTTGAATACTGCTCATTGTCATTCCAGCTATCCTCAGGAATCGTATGCAACCCATTTCCAGGAGAAGAAAGCTTTCGTGGTAAAGATACAGAACTGTCATTATTATTCTGGTAGTTAGAATGCCATCGAACTGGTTGGAATTTCAACTGAAACGAAAAAGAAATGTTCACATTCGATTTATGATTCAGGGGAAGGTAAAGACAAGTCAAGACGGGAACAAACTGGTAATCTGTGACCGTATAAAGACTAAATATGTAAATAATCTTCAGAAGTTAGTACTAGAAGTGTACAAAAATCGCAAAATTCCTTTAAAAAAAACCCAAAAACTAGGAATTTCTCTTTCCATTTCCATATATGTCTGCTCTATATATGGCAGTATAAAGAAAAGAAAGTCGTCTTTTACTTCTTCGAACTGGACATACACGGATTTGAAGGCTCAAACGACGGTGAGCTGTAAACACCATTACTTAGCGAACCTTCCCCTTTAATTTTAACAAAACTGTTTGGATCTTATAACGTATATAGTATTAAAGTGAAAAACTATTGATATCTAGAGAATAATATTCAACCAATACTACTACGTTTAGGGGACGCCAGGTCGGCTAACAAAATCTTAAAATATATTAGGATATAAAATTTTAGCACAGTTAATTCCCTTGAGATATGAAATTTGTTCAGTAATCTCATATTTGAAGTTCTGATAAATTTGCATTCTTTCCTAAGCTGTCGGCAACAGTGGAGTTTCCATTGATCATTAAGTGAGGTGGACATGCAGGGGACACAGAATTATCAAGTAGGGCTCAACGGAAAGTTTTTTTTTGTACAATTGGCTTGTGAACACAATAGAGTCTACAGTTTTTATCTGGTGAAATTTGGTGTGACCATTTATATTCATCAGATCTTGGTCAAGTTCGAATTTGAAGATTTTTCGATAAACGGTTTTAAAGTTATTGCCCTTGACTTAGGAAAAACGCGCCAAAATTTGTTTGTGAACACTATAGAGACTACAGTTTCCATCCGATTTAAATGAAACTTGGTGTGATCATTTATAATGATAAGATCTTGGTCAAGTCGGAGTTAACGATCTTCCGATGAACGGTTTTTTAGTTATTGCCCTTGACTTAGGAATAACGCGTCAAAATTTGTTTGTGAACACATTAGAGACTTCAGTTTTCATCAGATTTAAATGGAATTTGGTGTGATCATTTATAATGATGAGATCTTCAACGATTTTTCGATCAACGGAATTTGAGTTATTGCCCTTGACTTAGTATAAAGGTATCATAGAGGTGAAAGTTTATGTCAAAATTTTATTAAATTTTGTGTGTTTGTTTATATGAACAATATAATGCATAAATTAGATTTTTGGTTCGACTTGACGGAGATTGGTGACCCCCCTTGATATACTGAAAATGTATCAGGGAAGTGCGTATCTAGGCAACCACTTGTTTACCATTTAGAAAACGTTATTAAAAGAAATTTAGCTAATAAACAGGGAAATGTGGTTTTTTGTAGTAAGGTCAGTCAGTTTAAAGGTGTGATTTAATTATATTTCTGACATTATATCTGATGTCTCGCTAGATATATGTCTCGTTATTAATTGATTTTGAAGGTGGGGTTTGTCCCCCAGTGTCATCGTGAATCAAGTACCGGTACCTTGATTAGAATCTATTTTTAAACCCCCAGAAGGAAAATGACAGTGCGCCTTAAAAGATCAATCCTACAAAACTAGCCCGAACCATAACCTTAAAGACTAGACAAAAAAATGGTCTTAATACCTTACTAATATTGGGATAGCAAAACACAAAGAGATTGCCATATTGCTCTACTCTGGGTTTCCTTACCTCACAATTGTTATCAAGAAAAGAAACCTACAATACACGCTTTAATTGGATATCAATAACGTCATTAGAACGGGATTGTGGTATAAAACTAGTTAGTTTACAAGGGAGACAAAAAATATCAGAAAAAAAAACGAAATTGTAATCTAATCTGAATTAGATTAGGTCATTGCGAGCATTTTATTGTTATTCAACGTGTCAAATTCTGGAATTTAACGGTTATTTAAAGAAACATTGCCATAAATATTTGAGATAACACTGAATAAAATTCACCTTTAGGACTTTTGAAATAGGATCATTTAATGCCGATATCTTTCTAAACCATCTTTACACTTACTTATATCTATAAAAATAAATACCTGGGGCATTTCATTTCTATATACGCCCTCTTACATCAGAACGTTAATATAGCAATAGCCGGTTTGAAGCCTTTTGTCACTTTGAAACTGAACAAGCAACTTTCTTGTCATGGTCAATGTCTGTATTTATCTTTTTTAAGCTTCTTCTGATATACACATATTTCATATCCTATCTTAATGTAAAAGTAACATCTGTCGTATTTTGTTCAGTCTGGCAATAACAACACGACAAATACCAAAACATAAAGAAACTGTAGGGAAAGGGGAAACTTGCTTAAAATTGTTATTTAGCATTTCCCTGCACCCTGCACTTTTTCATGAAAAAATGAAATAAAGTATTGCATTACACGAAGGTTATAACTCTATCTTCATGTCAGCCACCAAATCAAATTGAACCAGCCTTCGTTTCGGTAGTTAATGGTCATCCTGAAATATCTGATTCAACCATAACAGTCCTTCATTGATTTGTAGTAATTTGACCGATCCTGAGTTACATCTTGAAAGAATTCTTATATGTTCTATTCAATTTTTAGGTAATTACATTTTAAGCATTAACATTAAATAATATGTAAAAAGAAGTGCAACGACAATACTGGATTATGTATTCAACACACATGTCCTCGTCCAGAGTTAATACCAAATTTCCCCATATTCACCCTTACAATGTTGTTAATTATATATTAAATAATACATTGCATGTTCATTTACATGAACATGAACACCAATCAATCAATCAAAGTAATATCGTGGTCATAAAGCCATCATTTCATTTCTATTATTGAAACAAGGAAGTAAGTAAGTGACCTAAGAAGAAATTGTTCAAAGAAATTTATTCAGTCATATGCCTTGCAAAGCTACATCGTCAAGAGAGTCTCTAAGAAAGCTAGAATCATCTCAGTTGTCATCTTCATAACGCTATGTCAAGTGCTATACGGTGAATCTCTGTGGATTTAGTCATTGAATTTACAGTCTTTCATAACTGTATCATTACCAACTAACTCACTGTGCTCCAACAGTCCTACTAACTGACTTCGAGTGCTCTCGTAGTCATACTAACTGACTTCTAGTGCTCCCACAGTCCTACTAACTGATTTCTAATGCTCTCACAGTCATACTAACTGACATCTAGTGCTCTCACAGTCGTACTAACTGACTTGTAGTGCTCCCACAGTCGTACTAACTGACTTCTAGTGCTCTCATAGTCCTACTAACTGACTTTTAGTGCTCCCACAGTCCTACTAACTGACTTCTAGTGCTCTCACAGTCCTACTGACTTCGAGTGCTCCCACAGTCCTACTAACTGACTTGTACTGCTCCCACAGTCCTACTAACTGACTTCTAATGCTCTCATAGTTACTAACTGACTTCTAGTGCTCTCACAGTCCTACTAACTGACTTGTAGTGCTCACAGTCCTACTAACTGACTTGTAGTGCTCCCACAGTCCTACTAACTGACTTGTAGTACTCCCACAGTCCTACTAACTGACTTCTAATGCTCTCGTAGTTACTAACTGACTTCTAGTGCTTCCACAATTCTACTAACTGACTTCATATGCTCCCACAGTCCTACTAACGGACTTCTAATGCTCTCACCGTCCTACTAACTGACTTCTAATGCTCAGTCCTAATTACTGACTTCTAGTGCTTCCACAGTTCTATTAACTGACTTCATGTGCTTCCACAGTCCTACTAACTGACTTCTAATGCTCAGTCCTAATAACTGACTTCTAGTGCTTCCACAGTTCTATTAACTGACTTCATGTGCTTCCACAGTCCTACTAACTGACCTATAGTGCTCCCACTGTCCTGCTTACTGACTTCATGTGCTTCTACAGTCGTACTGACTTCTAGTGCTCTCACAGTCCTACTAACTATCTTCATGTGCTCCCACAGTCCTACTAACTGACTTGTAGTACTCCCACAGTCGTACTAACTGACTTGTAGTACTCCCACAGTCGTACTAACTGACTTCTAGTGCTCTCACAGTCGTACTAACTGACTCTAGTGCTCTCACAGTCCTACTAACTGACTTCTGGTGCCCCCACAGTCCTACTAACCGACTTCATATGCTTCCACATGACTGTATCATCATTATCAAACGAATCAAGACATTCACTGACTTCTGGTGCTTCCACAGTTCTGCTAACTGACTTCAAGTGCTACCACAACACTACTATCTCAGATGTTCAGTAATCGAGATACATGTAATACATTTGTAACTTGAAATCACTTTCCTTTGTCGGTGATGCAGATTAATGAAAATAACCGAAGCCCTTTGATGCATGCAATAGTATCTTATTTTCAATCCTCATAACCACGAATGAAAATTATTTTTAGGGTCCAAAACTCCATTACATTTTAACCTGATTCAGAGTTTTATGTAGGTGTACTTAAAGATGTTAATTAACTTGTAGGAAAAAAAACATACTTAAAACATGAATAATATCTTTAATATACAGGTAAACATTATACTACCAAAAAAATAACACGAAACATTTTCCAGATTGACTGACTGCAAGTAATGGCTATTAAAAGGTTTGTTTAGTTCAGTAAATGTCTCCGTATTAGTTTGGCTTGACCACACCTGCCAAGTAAGCCTCTTAGTTAGTTTTGTAATATTAGTAAGTCAGTAAGAAAGGTTGCCAAAAAGCACCTAAGCAAATGTGAAAAAGTACCTGATGTATCTCAGTACAACTGAAAAGGCATCTGAAGGTCAGTTAGTTTCTGATGCTAGTACAACCTTAAGTCATTAGCTAAAGCTGTGGAAGCACACGAAATCAGGTAGTAGGACTGATCACATGGAGTCAGTTTGTAGGGGTGTGGGAGCACACGAAGTCAGTTAGTAACTCTGTATGGAACTGAATTCATATAGCAGACCTCTGGAAGCACTCGAAGCCAGCTACAAAGACCCAGGATGTGGAAACACCCGAGAACACCAGAGAAGCGTGCAAGCACATCATTTACTAAGTCACCGAAAGAACTCGATTGAGCTACATAAAGTTTGCAATATTCTGAATGACCACATTTTTAATATCTTTCGAAGAGTTGATTTATGAACAACAAGGTTTACAACTAACTCTTTATTTTTATGTAATAAACCTCAGTTGTAACATGCTCCTTCCTTCCTACATAATTCAGTTACCATCATTTTTCAGAACTAATGTAGGCCTAGGTCTACTTTTCTAGAATATCAAGAATTTGAATCTGGAACTCTAAAATAGGAGTCCATTTTCCTTAATTTCCACTACTGACAGATAATGAATTAAATTCAATTGTACAAATTCAAGCAAGGAGAGATCGGCAATTTTCGCCAATATTTTGTCTACAGAGCACTGAAGTTTCAACCAAGAAGCGGGTTTTGAATAAAATATATACCAACTGTAATTGCTTATTCTTTCAATAATGCAACAAACTGTTAATGGGAAGTGATGTATTATTTAAATGCCTTGCAAAGGTAACTTACCGACTGGTTTCTGTGGTCGTACCAGGAACTGTCTGGTATCAAAGACTGAGAACGATGTAGTTTTGTTCCATCATTAGTCAATGGCCTTAGACCACTGCTATTTCCATTAGCATTTGGCCGATTGAAATTGTCAAAGTGACTAACCCACGACGGCACCGCCATTTACATCCAATCAAATAAAAAATCCAAAGGTTGTCTATATTGACGATGTAAAATATTCCACTGCCACAAACTGTTGTAAATTCATTGTTGACAAAAAAGCAATAAAAATCCAAAAATATATCCCAAAAGTTAAACAAAAAATTAAAAAGCCACCTTTGCAACGGTTTGACGTAGGAAATAATGATCTTAAATGAAAGTGGTAAAACGAAGCGTTGATTAATGAGGAAAATAAAGAGTGAAAGACAATCAAATTATGAAGTTATTGCCTCGGGTTTTTATAAGATATGTCATTGCCATAGGCCCATCCCATTTAACTCCGCCCATTCTATTCAATATAGACATGTTATGATAGTGTAATACCATTGTTCTACAAATAGTATGCCCCCTTCATATCACTCTACTATTGTTTCACAGTTTAATGGTCATTCTAAATTAGCTCAAGTTTAATTTGAAAAAGTTTAATCCAGATGCCAGACTACGTCTCTTGGGAGTTGTTATTGGGTTGTTGTGACATTTTACAAAATAAAATATGGACATGACATGTTGGTAACTCAATATAGCATTGCAGTACGGGTACGGGTCAGAAAATTGTCAAGGGGGCATTCTCAAAACTCAATATTCAGAAATATGAAATCCACATATTAAATTGGATAATTTTATTTGAATTATGGATGGATTGAAACCCAAATTGATTTAAATTTTTGTCTGTTCAATGTCAGTTTGTCAGTGTCCAGTGATATGTGCCATTATAAACACCTTCATGAGACTACATTATATGTTGTCATTTCTTCCAAATAAATGTACTGCTAGGTGCCAATATATCAAAATCCCCTTTTCCTAAAGACTAAATGGAGATTTATAAACCATTCAAAAAATCTTTGTAGTCTTCAGTTAATGAGACAAAAGTCCGGTCTTGTTTTTTTTTTTAGGTTTTATGTTTTTTCTTTTGGTGTATTTTTTTAGTGTGTGAGCGATTATTTTAACGCCTTGAAACAGGAATCTTCACAAAGGGTTAATGATCAATGAGTTGCTAGCATAGCGGAATTAAGAAATCAAATTTGGGCTCAAGAAGATTGGCAGCATTGAGCAGTGCACACGGATGGATTGAGAAACCTGTGATTTCCAACTAAGGGATTCCAATCGCAAACAGCCGGCCCAGATTTTCTGTGAAGAGTATAAATCGGATATTAAGTATTTTGCATGACAAACGTTCTGTAGAATGGGAAACCCCTTTCATTCTTGAAAACTATATGACAATGTACACACACTAATATGAGTACTTGGAGCATATCTATTTTACAATTTGTTTGTGTTTTGTTTTTCTTTTAGAATAAACTCAGAGTATAAGTAGAAAGTATTTTCTTGTGTAAAAATTTAGGTAAGTTCTAATTATTGAGGCCATGACCCTAAACATACAAAACATCATACAACTACAGAAACAACAGAAATAGACATAAATGATAAATGTCAAGCAATAGTAAAATTTGATTTATCTTCATCCTGGCCACATAACAGTAGGGACCGCCCAAACATTTAATCTAAGCCTTTTACTAAAACGTTTGACCACTGTAAATTCATAATTTCCGGCACGAATTAAGGAAATTGAGAACACGACCAAGATTAGAAATCAAAATATTAAAATTCATTAATTTGATACTTTTTAAATTTCCGCGACAAGGGTGTGAGCTAGTGACGGAGGTTGAGGAACTAACCATTCGATGGTGTGAAAACAATCTCTTGACAACAACTATTAAGGTAAATTGAATTTCAAAATGAATGATTAATACCCCCACGGTCCCTTCTAAAATAAAGGCGTAAAGGTGATATTGTATTTATTTACTATAAATAGTTTATCCAAGAAAATGTTACTTTTGTTTGTGAATTGATGATGAATTGATTAAGTACTTCAGTAGTATATGTTAAGCTTGTTAGTAAAATTTTGAACAACTACAATTACAATTGAAATGAATTTACATTTATTTTACGTTTTGTTATAATGGCATTTTGATCTGATCTCCCTTTCCTCGGTTTTCCATCAATATTAAGGGAAATGTTTCTTAAACATGTCATTACTGTCAGGCGAATCTGAAAGTATTAATCGGGGGAATTTTCAACTTCTTTTTGTTCTGTTTTGTCTTGTGGCTTTAACCATGTAAAATATCACTTTACTCAATGGAAATATAACTGGGTTAATCGTCGTATTTTGAAATGCCTCCAAGCAAAGAATATTTCTTACTAAGATCAAAGTCGTAGTTTTTAGGTCAGAATGAAGCTATTATTGATATCAGATTGTTTAATTGTCCAAGTAGCGTCCATTCGGGTACCATATAGTCTGTTGAATGTATGTCACAAGGTAACCGGATGTGTTCTTTAGGTACCACATCAAGCAATATGCTACAAAACAGATATCATGACCCACATCTTAGATACGAGGATTAGTATTTACCCCTGTCAATCATTTCATTGATACATCCGATCTAATCTCTTGTTATTCTTAGATACATATTGACATATCATAACTTGGCATAAACTTTGTCATATTGACTGACATGTGTCAGTTGTAATTCTAATCTTTAATCCTTGATAATCTTATCCTTACTAGATAAATTTCGTTATCAGTCTAAAAAGTTGACCGTCTGTAGTAAGATTTGATAGGGGTTAGGCTGCTTGATAGAATACAAAGCCTATTTTGATCTGTACAGTGGCGGCGCAAGCCTTCCGAGACCGGGGTCACAAGAAGAACTTAATGGGGGCGGAGTGTCGAGGCTGAATTGAAAATGCGGAAGCTCTGTGGAAACGCTGTGGGCTCAAGCAACCCATGGAGAGTCTAAAAACCATATTTCTAAATTTTTAAGAAATTAAGTGGGGATACAATTGGAGGTACAAACGATATTTCTTATGATGGAGGACGGGGTGAGGCGCACTATGTGCCCCCACTGGCGCTGCTAATGGATTCATACAATATTTTGGACTCAAACAATCAAACAATAGTTCCTTTACAATTTGACTGAAAAAGAAAAAATTCGGATAAGGATTTAACGAGGAGCTGTTCAAATATAAAAAGTTTACACATTCCTAGGATTTTGAAGGGGTGGAGACTCAGGTCGACCATGCGGTTGACATTGATTATTAGCTAGATTAAGTTGATCTGAGCACATTATCACTAAATGGTCGCAATAACACGTGTCATCGGTCGCTCTTAAAAATGTATCTTGACGTCGACCTTGGTCTGGGAATTTGCGACTATCCATTTGGTATATGTTGGAAGTCGTATGTCTCGATAACAGCGTTTCCATTCCGACTGCGACAACCTGATTTAGAAGACCTTTATTCTCTTTCATGATGTATGCAGGATAGGTGGGGGTTGACCTTCCCTTCTTGGCTTATAGAAAAAGACACATTAATTTCAGGATTTAATACAATTTTGTCATAGACATCAGTTATTTTGCAAAGATACATAGCACTAAAAACGCAATAACCATGTTAAAAATGTCTCTTATTCTGTTTTGTCTAATGCCCATTCAGGTAGAACTGCCCAACTTGGAATAGCTGATGGGCTTGCTTCTCCTTGAGGAACTTCGTTCCAATCAATTGGCGTTGGGGTTCTGAGGTCATCAAAAGTTAATGGACTTTTATCATCTGGTTTCGGAGAGAGATAATCTCTTTCAATATCTAATAAGAGTTTTGGATTTGGATCAGTTTGCTGTTCAGACTCATGTACGTTTTTCGCTGACTGTTCCAAGAATTTAACATCCATAGCAACAGACTCCATTATTTCCAAAGAAAGTTCTCTGGTTAACCTAGTAATTTCATCATCCTCACGAATTATATCCTCGACCATACGACCTGTGTAAATTGCTGATTCTTGAATGGGTTTCAGATCTCTCACGTCGCATAGATCATCATCATCTGCACTGGAAAGGTTGTGAGCTATACAATTGAATGCTGAAACTTGATGTGGTTGACGAACTGAAGAACTGTGACGTGAAAGATATTCACGTAATGCTATCTGATCACGAAGAACTTGTACATCCTTTAACGAGTGCAAATGCCGCGTTTGATATTCTGAATTTTGCTCGGAGACTTCTTGCGATTCAGTGGAAATATCCGAATCTAATCTATCTTTAGACTGATAAATTTGAAAGGCCCGCTGATACTTAAAACAATCGAGATCTTCTTGAAACATATTGTCGGTGAGATATTTTTTAATTGGAGTATCTAATTGAGAACCAGTGTTATCTTTAGTTTCAGTGGAAGAACTTGGCAAATTAAAATCATAGACCACGACCCTTGCTGATGAGCTTTCTTGAGGTTTAGTTGAAGAGATGTTTGCTATTGGCGATTCACTGTGTTGGTTTTGTTGAGTTGGTGATGTTGGTCGGGCAGTGGTTTCGGATTGGGTTACAGATTCCGTTGTAGTAAAACCTCTTAAAACAGAGGCAAATTCTCTACATGTCGAAATACAAATCAATAAAGCTCCTGAAAATTTCATCATATAATGCAATTATACTAATATATGTACACTTTATGCTTCACTCGAGTGGAGCAACAAGCAATCGTAAGTGGTGTGATATGGTATCATTGGCAATTGTTTGTTTTCTGTTTTCAACATTCCAGCATCAACAGTGTCTTTAAATCTAATATTACCAGAGGGATATACATGTGCTTCTTCATCCGTTTAAATAAAAATTAAGGTATGTGTAAAAAAGAAAATTGCACCATCGATTGAACACAAAGAAAAGAGAAGAAAATTGATCTCAAACTAGATATGTCTGTTACCAAAATTATTCCAAAACCTGTTAAGTAGATACAGTGGTTGTACAGTAAGTATACTCACCTAAATCTAAGATAATGATAACTAATGACAGCACAACATCTATACAATCTAACAATTCAATTTCTGGAACAACAAACAAGAAATATAATCAACATCATTTTATAACTGCTCATAAATAGAAAATAGCTCATTGACTATTGTGTCTATTCGCTTCCACCGACATAAATAAAATGTAAATGTTAACATTTGAATTCGAGTAAAATACATTTGAATGGAAAGCAAAATCGTGTTCTTTGAAACAGACTTAATTTGACCCGCGCTCTTTAGCCATTGCATTTTGTTTTGTTTTTATGCTACCCATGAAGAGGGTAAAGCTTCACCCACCTTCCAGTTCTATTATTAATCTTCTATGAGATCACAATCACCAACAGCTTGGACTTGCCTGAAGAAAATCATTCTTGATCAGTGTACTACATTTAACAACACGATTTCCATGACAACAACTTTTTAAAAGAACACAAATTTATGGTGATAAAACTTAATTTACAGTGTCTCAATAATGGTAATAATTTCAGGAACAACTGACTATCAGTGATCCTGATATAATATTTTGAACTCTATCAAAACGGCCCTGTGTTATTAAAATTCCTTTATAGAGACTGTACCAATATTTTTTCAACCTAAAACAAGACCATATTTTACCTGACTATACGATTTATATCTCTGCATAAGGTAACCAACCATGTACACGATCCACCTATTTGATCTGATCCTGTTTACGCTGCCAAGTAAACATTAGGCCGACTGCAGCAACTTCTACCAGCAAAATAATGACTAAACCATTTGTGACGTTGTTTCATTGTTTATTACCGACACCAACCACAAGATCAACGAACTGAATTTTAACATAATGATAGGCAGGCGTCATGATTTAACAATTCCTTGGAAGAAACTCTTTTCCGAAATTAAGTATGGAGTTTCTTTTACCGACGCTTACATTATGATCTTATAGTTTGATAATCAAATCAAAGCCACTACTTAACAAACCGAAAGTTCCAAATTCAACCTACTGCAAATTCAAAAATGAAATTTGACGAATATTGGACACACCCAAAATTAACAGTCAGTAGCCCATAAATCAGAACATACAATTTCTGATCCTCATACGAAACGTCCCAAAATATTTCGACGAAACGATTCATTCTTTTATTCCTTTAAAAGTACGAAACCACTCTCCAATAAAAAAGAAATAATGTCATTTGTAAAAAGATTTGTTGTTTTAGCATAGGGATAGTACATAAAGGCTAAGGTACTCCCTAAATATACTTTTGAAGTCCTAAAAGGGTGAGTTTGTTTAAGTTGAAAACTTCAAAATAAGTTCAAGAACGTTGTTTCTTATGCGAATTTACTCGACCAATCATTCCCTTATTCTGTGAAATTTTTAGTTTTTTGGGGAAGTAGCTTAGAAGATTCTATTATTAACTAATAAATGTATTATTAATTTTGTCTTGAAATTTTTTTCCAATCCCTTTTATTATAATTGAAGAGATCTAAGATCTCCGATCAACTACAAGCATTGGCAAAGATTGACGCAAGATTTCAATGAAATCTACATCGACTTTTTCTTCAGCTTGCTCCAACCTGGCACTGTTCCAAAGGCTTTAAATATCTTGAATAATTTTTTTTTTTTTTTAAAGATAGAACATTGGTTCTTTATACACATATATAAACAAGTTCCTCTATTTTTCAGGTTTCAAGCATGGAATCCAAGAGCATGCAGAACAAGAACTTTAAATGTACTGTTTGTTCTAAATCATTTTGGAAATCCAATTTCTAACAAAACCATATGAAAAAACATCCAGAGGAGAATCCCTTTACTTGTGGTGTTTGTGGTAAACCTTCTACCTGTGTTAAAACATTGATAACACATATTAAAGTCCATTTCAAAGATGATCCTTATAAATGTGATGTATGTAGTAAATCTGTTTCTTCATATGCCAACTACATGTGTCACATACTGGAGAAAAACCCTTTAACTGTGAAGTTTGTGATAAGAAATTTACCCAGTCAAGTCAAATTAGAAGTCACATGATGATGCATACTGGAGAAAAACCCCATAAATGTGATATATGTGGAGAATCATTCCGTCTATTGTCCATGATGAGAAGTCACATACTGGTGAGAAACCCTATAAATGTGACCAGAATGGCTTAAGAGTCACAAAAGGATTCATACTGAAGAAAATCCCTTTTATTGTGATATTTGTAATAAGTCTTTTAGTTCCTCTTTCGGTGTTAAACAACACATAAAAACCCATGGTGCCATAAAAAACATTCAGTGCCTTTTATGTGATAAAACACTCTTTAGAAATAGTAAGAAATTCATATGCGAAAACATACAGGAGAGAAACCCTATAAATGTGATGTTTGTGGTCAGTCATTTTCACAATCAAACCAAATAAAATATCACAAGAATAAACACACAGGAGATAAACCTTTTAAATGTCACCTTTGTGATCAATCATTTCATCTATCTAAATGTAGTATTTGTGAGAAAACATTTGGTAGTTTACATAGTTTAAATCTGCACATGAAATATCATAATGATCGTCCGTTTCTGTGCTCATATTGTGACAAGTCATTTGTTAGACAAAATCATTTAACGATACATATACGAATACATACTGGAGACAAGCCTTTTGAGTGTGAAGTCTGCCATAGAAAATTTGCTCAGTCAAGTCAAATGTTATACCATATGAGAACACATACTGGAGAGAAAGTGTTTAAATGTAATTTCTGTGGAAAATCATTCACAACAAATTGGACATTGATGAAACACACAGCAAAATATCATAGTTTACCTAATAATCAAAATACTGGTAGCAATACATTATATTGCCTCCACAATATTGATGGGGCTTTTACAAGGTCCCAAAACTAGTTGATGAAGCATTTAATAACTTGATATTTTTAAATCTTTTTTACAATTTAAGTTTTATACATATATATATATATATGTTTATTTATGTGTCAAATATAATTATTCTCTATAAATCCCAAAAAAAACAGTCAATATTATTTCACAGAAATATTATCAATTATAGTCAATTATATTCATTGTTTATAACAAATAAAGCCACAAAAAATATCTTTGCTTTACTGTTTCATATAATTTTCAAATGGCAGAATCTCTAACCTCTAAACAATTATTTATTCCAAGGTCAGTGAAGGGGCATGAATTACATTCTAGATCTGTCTGTAGTTCTCTATTTACCGACTTGTTTATAAGTAATATATCAAAAATATAAACACTTTGAAACTATTTAATAAATTAAATAACATTAATAAATGACATCAAACTATAATAGAATATGTGACCAATAAACAATAGACATGGACGGAATTATTTGGAAACTAAAACATATATATGTATATATCAATTTGAAAACAGTACACTGAACAGTTAGGTGGACTGCTAAAATATTTATGACAGATGTCTTATGACTTTAAGTAATACATAAATATACATCAAAAACATGGTATTCTTTTTCTGTCACGAAATTCATAGTTAAATATAGGCCTACAAATCAAAGCATAATTACACTAATTTGTAATAAGCAAAGAAGATTTGGTCTTGATGTGTCATAAATTGACATTTTTATAGAACAAGTCTATCTTCTTCATGAAAAGCAGGAGGTTGCTCCATATAACCCATAGACATACCACCCCCCATTCCTCCTACCGCTCCTCTCTCAGCACACTGACGTTTACATTCCATCAATCTGGATAGATCTTTCCACATCTTTACTTGTTGTAAGTTTGGTTCATGCATTTCTCTGATAGTTTTCTGTTTTTCTCTTAAATTTGTACCCAGATTACTTTGTTCTTGAATTTTCTTACTGAAGATATCTCTGAAAAATATTTCAAGAATTAAAATGAATACATTCACACATCATACATATAGATCAAAAGAATAAAATTAATGTTATTTATGCCTATTGAATACTACTTTTACTAGTACAAGGTACCATTTAAAACCAAAACTTGTCAAAAATTGTTAATTCTACATACAAGGTCTTTTTCTTAGTTTCTTTAAAATTTGACAAACCTGTAGGTCTTCTTTCTTTCATTAGGATCACTAGAAACATAGGCTTTCATTTCATCATTAACTCTTTCTTGTTGTTTTTCCATGATAGCTGTCATTCCAGTAAAATAGTGGTACCTTGATTCTTCAGCTTTGACTTCTTCACGATAACCTCGTACTTCTTGTTCTAGTTTCTGCATATTACTTTCTAGACCAGCCTGAGCTCTATCATAGGATGCTTTCTTATTATCATATTCTGGCTTTAGTTGCTAGAATCACAAAAAAGTTTCATAATTTATACGACCTTGTTTACCCATTTTGCATAAGATAATATGGAAAAGAATTTACTCTTTCCAATAGGACAATCAAATTTATGTTTGAATGACAAAGAGTTGCCAATTTTCCATGTTCACTAAATTATATATTATATATTATCTCTCCTTAGTTCAATAACAATAGCTTACATGGGCTTAAAAACCATGTTTTTTACTTTAAAGATCATGATATAATCTTTGAAGGTATGTGGATCGTAAAAAAAGCTTTGGGCATACCTGCATTTGTTCTCGAAGTGGTCTAATTTCACGTAAAACAGGAGCGAAGGTACTACGTTTATGTTGTATCTCCATATGTAATCTTCTAACCATCTCCGACATATCTTCTAATGTTTTACCTTTCACATCATCATAATCACTCTTCATACTTGATACCTTCTCTAGATTATCTTGAGTTTCACGATAACCTGCTACACCTTTCTTCTTCTCCACTTTAGACTTGAAGAAACAGATATTGCAAATTCTGATATTGGTTATCTTTTCAATTCTTTTTTTTTTTTCATTTTAGGTTAGAAATTTGAAAGATAAGGCAATCAGGATGCTGATAAAAAAATATGATCCAATTAAAAAAAAATATCCCTTTAAAAACTTATTGGCAGTCATCACAATTTTGTTAGTTAATCAAAGAAGCAAGAGTAAACTGCTTAAAATAGAACCTCTATTCAAAGTATACTAGTTTGAACAAGTTACAGCATATCATATATCAAAGACCAAACCTACCAACTGTGCATTAACAGTATCCTCTTTCTTCTGTAGAATTTCCAAGGTTCTAGTTAAAATTCCTACTTCAGCTTTTAATTCAGCTACCTCTTGTCTTCTCTTTTTATATAATGTGCTCTTACTTCTCAATTTATTTACATATCTTTTAAACTGTAATATATAAATAATATAATCAACCAAAATCAGGACAACTCATTCCAGACAAATATTAACTCAAAATTTGTATAATTATGAAAAAACATTTTCACACCTATTCATTGACAAGAGGAAAATGACAGCTTTAAAACTAACCTCTTCTCCTTTCAAAACTTCACCTCCATCAGAATTTTGAGCTAATTCACGTTTTTGGTTGACTTCTTGAACAACCTGACTATACTCTTCCCTAGCAGCTCTAAGATTCTCAGCAACTGATTCTTTCTTATGTACTATAATACCAGCCTAGATAAATACAGTTATAACATTCAAAATAAATAAAACAACATATATATTGAGGAATTTATATTATCCTTAAGCAACTGGATATGAACTAATTCAATTCTTTGAGAGGTAGTTTAATTCTGTTGAAAATGTAATCGAATTCAAGAAAGATATTTTGTAGTACACTGAAATAAGATTTTAATCTATTACCTGTTGTTTAAATAGAGAGAGTTTATCATCAGAAGGATCTCCAGCTCTCATTCTTTTCTCTATCAATTCATTAACTTCTATATTTAATGATTGAATCTATAACACAAAATACTTCACTACAGTAATACATTTGTGTCACTAATTCACTAAACAATAATTTGCAATTTTCTAAACTATAAAAGCTACAAAACTCAGAATATGTTTTATATGTTTGACAACTTCCATTTATACTAATAGAAACACAAAGTTGTCTCAAAGATTGACTAATGCTGTTAATTTGTAAATATTTCAACTCATACAGTAAAGGTTGTTACCTGTTGTTGAAGTTCATTAAGATCAGACTGTCCCATAGCTGGTTCTGATACAACTTTTTGAAGATCTTGTACATTCTTCTTCTTAGCAGCTACATCTTTAGGTATTTTCTCTCTCACTAAATAATTATTAGTCTTAGTTTCTTCTTCTAACCTTTCTATTAAACCTACAAAATACAAACATTACATCACATATGATGCCATCCTCACAATTTAGTAAAAAAAATTAGTAACCTTTGGAAAGAATTGAATTCCGGATTATAAAGTGAGTTCATAAAATCATGTAGTTTAAAGCAAAGGGTATCTCTTTAGTTGTATACATTATGTAGAAATGTCATTATAACATGGATAATCAATAAGTTTGGTATTTTCCAAGTAAAAAAAATATTAACACATACTTTCAGCTGTAGCCCCAACACTAGCTTGCTGCATATCTTTTAGTTGTTGTTGCATTCGTTTAATTCTTTGATCAGCATGTTGTATCTTGAAATAAACATAAATGTTATCTTAGTTATTTTTTAACCTCCATTGGAGAATTTTTAGCTCATATAAATGTCAAATTTTGTGTGTAAAACTCAGCTAAGTCATATTGAAATTACAAAACATATCATATACAAAATATTCACTCACCAACATCTGCTGTTCTTGTTTTTGATCACCAATTTTCTTTTCTCTATCTCTCTCTACTCGCAACATTCTTGCTACATTCATCATTTTTTGAGAATTAGGATGAGATTCAACCTGAAATATTCATTACATTCCACCTAGAATATACATAAATATAGGTGATAGTGTAACAAGAAACTCTGAGTAACAACCTGTTTCAGGTTTTCATTTAGTAAAGTAAAAAAGAGAGTTAGAAAATTACCTTTCTCCTTAGTCTATCAATTCTCTTGTTTAGTTGTTCCTTCTCTTCTTCCATATTCATGATATCTTTTCTGATCTCAGATGTATTGTATCCAGATCCTTTTAACTGTTCAGCTTGTTTATGTAGTTCTTTAAACTGTTCCATCAAATCTTCATACTACAATAATTTTATAATGAAATTATATGTATTATACCAATTCCTATTCTGCAGTATTGAAAAGATTGATATTAGGGGGTGAAAGCCAGCACCTAGTTGACTTGCAAAAGCATTGACACAGAATTTTTCTTTTCTTGACCATTCGAACCTTCGGCACCGAATCACCTGGCAGACGTCAATCCTTGTATCAAATGTCTTGGTGCATAAAAGAAATGACTTTTTGAGCGTGCTTCTGGAATTGTCAGTATTCAACACAGTTCTGCATTACATACTGATATAAACTATGCCACCAGAATTGTACCGGTACTTCTTTTTCAAACCTCATAACAAAGACCATGGCAAGACAATAGGCCAATAAAATTTCTGTTCAGAATCCTCTAACAAGGGAAGAAGGTAATGAATATTCATATAGCTCTACACTGTAGTAAACATATATAATTATTATACTTTAATCTTATAACTTTATCAATGATTTCATCAAATATTGAGGCCAACCTGAGGATATAATATAGTGACTTCCTCATCTTGCATTATATCAGCAGGTATATCTATTTTAACAAGATATTTAGCCAAGTAGGCACGTTTCTGTAGTTCTGGAATTCTCTGGAAGATCCATTCTAGTATAGGATAGATTACTGGCTTTTCACCCTGTACAATTCCACTACGGAATGAACTTCTGAAATTTAAAACCACAAGAACCAATAAGTAAGGTCCTCTTATAAATTGCTGCTGCAAGATATTCTCCATTGTAAAGTATAAATTTTCAGTTTGTTTCATATGTTAATCAAGATCCATGCGTATTGTACCAGCCTTGGGTAACTATACATTAATAGAAATGCATTACCTAATGGATTCTATGACTTGGTTTGTAAATTTCATTAAAATCAAAATTCAAAACTTAATTTTGAAAGTATAATAAAAATACAGATCTTAGTTAATTTTTTTGAGAAGTAAAAATAATTGATTACAGAGCACTTAAATATTAGTTTTTAAATAAATATCATTTAATACTAATAGAGAAAGATCTTCTACTTTCTAGACAGAAGAATAAATATATGAAAATAATGCTAACTTTGCAAAAGATTCTGAAATAGAACTTTATATGTAGTGTCAAAAGACAGAGACAGTAGCTAGATTAAAAGAATTAATTAAGAAAATACAGATATTAGAGATACTATGCTATATCTACAGACAATATATCAACCTCAGATAGACTATTGAAACTTACTGATCACTGAAATAAATAATCAGAATGAGTTGAAATAATATAACAGGAAGGTTTACATTTTGAACATACTGCTCTACTCAAAATAGTCACATTTTCTTGCCCACTGTATGGAAATAAACAACAAACTTCATTGGTCCTGTTATACTGACCTCTCTCAATTCTTACTGAACGCTCATGTTCTAAGGTAAACATATTCAGGAGAAATTTTCTTTGTCATAGGTCAAGATTTATTACAATACTTACAAATTTCCACCAGCATCAGTTGGTGGTTTATATTTTAATACTCGTAAAAGTTGAAATATTCTAATAGCTGTCTGGTCTGGTGTTTCTTCTCTTATATCTACTTTTTGCTGTGGAATTAAATATATGGTGATAACTTTAAAAAATAATAATCTGTTTGTTGAAATAAGAATTTTATCAAATTTCAATATCACTTATATTCATTTCATAGAAAGGTTGCTTGAAAGAAATTAAATATGAACGATCTTCATTTTTATTTTTGGTCAAGCAATATAAAATTGATAATAAAAGAAACATGTCAATTTGGTAAATTTATATACAAATTTGTTCAAAAACTGTAACTATTTACTTTTGAGATGTACACTGAAATATTTTCATGAAATGATTTAGGATTTTTCAAAACTTTTACATATTCCAGAGGCTTTATCCCTTGTAGGCTACAATTTAATATATTGCTAATGACCAGATTATGCATGGTGATAGAGCTTGACATCAGTCACAGTAGCCAGTTCTAAATTAAAATCAAGTTAAATTCATACTTTAAAATTTAAATTGTTTATACTGTACATGAGGGATGTTATCAACTGATCAGCTGAGCTTTTTTTCCAGTAGAACAAATACACAGAATATAAGTTTTTTTCTCTTGAAATATTTCTCCAAACAGCATCAATAACATGTTACACATACCTTAGGATCAATAACAGACAATGTATCTGATAAAACTTGTAGTAGATGCTGTGGTTCTAAAGCATCAAATGATATCAAATTATAATTCTTATTAAATGGTGGTTTGTTCAGTTCTTGAACTATGAACTTTAACTGTTCACTCATCTTTCTTCTTTAATTCTTAACTTCTGAAAAATAAGTAAGCTTATATAGTTTTTTTCAACTTATATACAGTCGAGTAACCTAAATTCCTGGAAACCTACTATTCGTGGATTTCCGGAAAGGATTAATAATTTACATGAGCGACCTTGCGCGACCTCCGCATTAGTTTGTTTTGATAAACATGGGTTTTCTCTACAATGTCAGCTACTAGAATGAATCCAGTAGTTTCAAGCAAGGTAAAATGTATTAATGTATACTTTGACAAATACAAAATGGCGGATTTCACTTATTACCAAACGTCACCATTTTTTATCCGCCGAATTTCCTTATAATCCCAAGCGGTAATGAGAATTCCAAGTGTCGTCTGCTAGAATGTAATCCAACGAATGAAGTCACGTGATCAACTAGCGGATTCTGTGTCAGCATTCTGCTGCCGTTGCCGAGTTGGTTGCTCATGAAATATGGGTCAAAGTGGGGGATTAATAAAGAAAATCGAAACAAACCAATTTTTATTATTTTGTAGAATATCTGAGGAAACATTTAAGACATAAAAGATTTTTTACGTTTTTTTAACTTTGACGAAATTCGGTGTTGAATCCTTATATCCACGAAAATAGGTTACACCACTGTACTTTTTATTAAGTTATATAAGTTTCTATCAGAGGCTGGAATAGAGAGGCAGACGTTTCGGACTATTAATTGAAGTAAATTGGTTTAGAGCAATTTTATGCAACTAATATTTTGAATCTTGAGAGTTTACAGAATATCAGATGATGATATTATTGATACTTTTTGACAGTAAGTCAAGTGGCTTTGAAATTTGAGTGGATAAAAAGTTAGGCCTACTATTCAGAAGGCAAGCCACAGGGTTAAAGCAGTGTTCACTTTGAGTTTGACTTCAAATATATAACAAATCATGAAAGTAATAATATTTCTTCATACTATACTGTTATCTGATAATGTCACCTAAAAAATGGGAAACTATGTTCAAACTGAAAGCTTTAGTCTACTCACGCTTTCATTAATATTTGTATCAGGACAAAATACTCTCGTTGCTGTTTGTAAACAATCTTTCAGGAAAAGAATTCAATCCCACAATTCATCAACCAGTATTGAACGGATTGGTCTGAGATTCTATATGCTGAGAGCCAGTTCGTTTTCTTTGTGCTCCTGTTTGGGTAAAATCGAGGTAACGAACATACCTTAAGAAAGTGAAAGTAGTCATGGCGGGAGAAAATGTCAATATTTACAAAATTACCCCTCCCATCCAGATAGTTGGAAAAAAAAATAGATTCCCTCTCCGTCACAGGTCACAGTCTATCAGTGCCCCATTGCCCTAGTGGCTTGCAGTTTCAGATTGTTTCATATCTTAAAAACAGATAAGTATGTCTTTAGAATTCTTTTTATCCTTCACTTACAACTGACAATGGAATGGAAGATTTTGACAACATTACTCTTGATATTATTTAGTCTTTACCTTTGTTTTCAGGTGTCTGTCTGGTATAAAATCTCGTCACATGTTGAACATTAATTTCATTAAAATGAGGTTATCTAGAGCTATCTATAACGAAATAATCGAAGACATCTTTAAGAAATTATCTGATAGTGATATTGTGAAGAAACATACAGGATTAAGTCTCAATACATTGACCAGTATCAAATCTCTAGAATATCAACGCAAAATGAAGAAATATCATTATTTACATTATAGTCAAGAGGCTCAACAACTCTATTTTGACAGATATTTACAAGGAATTTCTAATGGACAGAAACATGTTCTGTTAACTTTAGCTGAGGATGCTGATTTGTCACCTGCTCTCTTGGCAAGAATGGTTTTAGAGAAACAATTGGCATCATCTGAAAGTGATGTAGTAACCTCTCGTAGTTTTGTGACTCAATTAATGAAAGAACCTAATTTAATAGAAGATCCTATATTAGCTAACGAGATCAATCAGTGTATTTTAAGTGATGAATTCTATGGTCCTATAACAGACAGTGTGAAACATTCAATTGGTTTTGAATATGAGTTTAAACTGAAAAGGATTTTAGAAAAGCTTGGCCATTGTTTCATAGGTAAAATCATTTAATGATTTTAATTAATGTTTAATTATCTTTCTAAATAATTAACACTTAATATTAATTTCACAATCTATTTTAGCCGGAGCCGCGGTGGCTCAGTGAGTTAGACGCTTGCTCGCTAACCTGAAGGTCCAGGGTTCAATCCCGGCATAGGTCGAGATAATACCTTCGGATTTTTCAACCCGGTTTCCCCCTGTCAGTGATGCAGGTACGAGGGGCTGACACGTTAAAGATCCCTCGACAGTTGGAAATCGAAAAAGAGCAGGCTAATGCCACTGTCCTGGCAAAATTTCCCTCATTGCACCCTACATGACGTTGCCCGTCTTCATTAGCCCACATGGTGCAGAAAAGTAGGACGTAAAACTCCATTCATTTCATTTCATTTTTTATTTTAGCCACTTTTAAATTTCTGCAAATTTGTTCTTCAAGGATAGTCATCTGTGGATCTGATGTCATGTCTGAATCAATTTCAACATGCGGTTTTCCTACATTTCAATGCGAACCAAACCATACAAGTTTAAGCTATTGTCACTTTAAGGTTAGTAATGTCAAATAGGTAAAGTGTGCATGCCAAGAGGTTGTTACTTCTATTGATGTGTTTATTTCCAGGCGAAGAACAAATGAGAGTTAAAGGTTATGATAAAACACCAGATGTCAAGTTAGAAATACCTATAGCAATTGATGGTCATATTGTTAATTGGATTGAAAGTAAAGCCTCATTTGGTGACGATGCCAGCCACAAAACCTATCTTAAAGACCAGTTCTGGAGTTATTGGAATCGGTTTGGACCAGGAATGGTCATTTATTGGTTTGGTTTTATTGAAGATTTGGACAGTAATCAAGAAAAAGGAATTATTTTAAGACATGACTTTCCTGAGGATATTGTTACCATGAATCCATTGGGATGTTAATTCATAAACTGTGTTAAAAAAATAGAATTTGATTATTCTTATCCAAGCTAAAATAGATGTGATTTAAGCAAAAATGCACATCATCATCTAGGGGTTATCCAGTTTTCTTGTTGAAACATCATGATTTAGGGGTAATCCACTTTTCTTGTTGGAAGTTGAATTCAGATTTAATTGAATATTTTTTGCCTTCATAGAAACATCAACAGGTGGTTGTGTAGCAACAGGCACAACCATCTCACTGATCAATAATTCGATAAAGTCAAATAGTTTGGGAACCTTTGGCTTAAAGGGATCAATTCTCCATCTACTGAGTAAATATTTACTGTCATTTCTTAAACAAGTTTTTATTTGTATGAAGAGTCCTGTATTTGTGTTTCTTGTAATTCCAGAAACACTCAGATAACGACCATAGTAAACCCAGTTAACCTACATGGAATTGAGATTTGTATCAGATTATGAAAGCAGTAAATCAACCCTATACAGATATCGCATCTGATATTTTTAAAATTTCACAAAAAGAATAAACTCTTATGTTCATTGTGATACAAAAAAAAAGCATAAACAATATATTATGTCAAAAGTTTTTATAAGTTTATTTCAAAGAAAAAACAAGGGCATAACTTATGATTAAGACAGAATTTCAACTTGAATACAGAAGGCTGGCGGGCACCTTAGTTTTGATTATATTTTTTTTTAACAATCACTCTCTCAAACTAATAGTGAGGAGTTTAGATTTACTGCTGAATTTATTTCTGACCCATGTTCAGATCAATGACCAATGACTGAGCTATGTCTAAATGTAGTTTATGGTAAAATATATCTTCAAGTGCAACATTTCACACATTAATGAACAAACAAATAATGAATGAAAATATGGTCATTTTAGTTCAGTTGAAATAGAATTTGTTTTAAAGACATATCAGTGCCATCACCATTAACACAGAATACACTCAATCTTTCAACAAAGCAATACATCACATACACTAACAACAAATGAGACATGAACTAAATGATGATTATTTATTCTTTTTGTCCGTATTTAAACTTTCTTTGATTTGCTTAACAAACTGTTCAAATTTTTCAAAATGCAATATTCCTTCTTCATCAAAGAAATTTGCAACTGATCTTTGTTTTTCGATCGTCTGAGTTTTCTTGGTTTTACCATCTTGAAATGAGATTTGTAGAGTATACATGTCATCATACCTAGAAAATATTACAAACTATCATTAAATTGACAAAAAAAAAAGATATACACTACATAGTGAAATATTTAGAAATATCTACATACATAGATATTATTATAATTTAATATATATATATATATATACATCTAAACTTATAAATGTACATGATAATATCTTGAATATATTGCACAGCTGTAACAATAACTGAATCACTTACTTTTTTAATACTGATGATAATGTCCATATATCATCTGGATCTACACCAGCCTTGTCTTTTTCTAATGCTACTAAAAATATACCCATTTCTTTATAGGTTGTATATAGTGTGAGGATACCCATTAAAATGAAGTATCTTATTATCAATGTAAGGAATATAACAATAACTCATGGAATCACAGTTACATTTTAGAGACCTAATGATAACTGAATCAGAGCAATATTATCAGAATGATAATCCAGTGTCAGGTTCCTCCACAATTACATAAAGTGATATTCTGTCCTGTTAGCTTATATCTTTAAGTTATAAGAGATAAACCAAAAAATGAATACTTCAAAGGATACGATAAAACACAAACAATGAGAACAGGTTTGGATTGTGGAAAAGGTTTGAGATAATCCCATACAAGAGCAAACATAGCAAATCCCACAGCTATTGTGCATATTACTAATCTACCATCCATTAATCTTGAACATTCTTTCATTTTATATCCCTTTTCTAGCATCACCTGAAAGATTCCCACAAAAAGTAAATATATAACAAAACACAATAGATATACATATAGATTACATCTGATGACGACACGTGTATATTGTGTTAAAACGTTATGTGCCCAACCTTATTAAAGAAGTGTGTTATATTCCATAATATTGTTTTGTGTTTTGTTATATGTGCTCCTCGCTTCTATATGTCGTTCAAATCTTATAAAAAGTAAATACATTAAAAAAATAGATGACAGAAAATATATTGAGCAGCTATGACAGGTGTGGTGCCAGACAGGGTATTCTTACTCTTCTAGATACCACTATTCATTATGAAATACTTACTCATTTATTATTGATATATTTCCTCATGTGAAAAATTCATAGCTGCTACCAATATTTTGTCAATGTGTTGTTATGGATTTAGGGTTTTGTTTTGTGGTGCGGATCGTTAGTACTGTACTTGGCTTGTTTATTTATTGTATCGAAAGAAAAGCTTCCAAGACAAAAAATCAATCGTGGTTAACTACTATTAAATTTAATTGTCTGAATCACTATATCAGACAATGAGAAATGAAGAACATACCTTTTTTGCTGCATCATCCAAGGAATTCTTAAGAGCTGTTCCATCCCATTTGTCTATTTTGACTGGCTTGTCCTCAATACTTTCGTTATTTGACATCTGAATTCATAAAATAAGATAAATTGTTACTTGTATGGACTTTGATGCCCACATACACATTAACCCCTCAACAATCATCAACCAGATAATTCCTAAAATCTGTTGCAACGGAGATGATTTACTCATTCCTCCAGTAAGATGAGGACCGTTGGAAGTTGTGCAGGGTTCACTGTTGTGAAAATGTGCAGATTGTCTTCAGTAAGTGAAATTGCCAATTTAAGAAGAAATGATTATCTGATAAAAATTATAAGTGCAAGTATAGTAATTTCCTAAGAAAGAAAGGTGTTTTGATTCAAACGAAATGATCCAGCTATTTCCAAAATAAATCATACAACTGATTTTTTTTTCTTTTTAATATTTGTGAAATTCTGAGCTCTCTTTGGTACTTCCAAATCCAAGAACAGCTACAAGGATAAAACTAAAGGTACGCCAGATGGGAGCATATCAATATAATATTTCTTAAGAGTATTGGTGTCGACGGCAAGGTCTACAGTGGAATTTCTATTAAAGACACCTACTGACAAGCAAAAATTCTTCAATGTAATAAGATACCGGTACTATATATAAATAACTAGATCTGACAACTGTATTAAATTCTTACCTTGAAATCAATTTTAGTTTCTACAGATGTTTTCTTTTACGCCGATAACCGGAAGTTAGAATCGACACGTTTGTTTAGTCTCTAAACCGAAGTGGAAATTCATTGATTTATGTTTTTGCACATTTTCTTTGTTTAAAAGCTACATTAAAGCAACACTAATTAATTATCTTGTGCTTTGAAGCAAATAAGCATGGAAATGACATGGGTGTCAATTGCAATTTTATGGAATAATGTTCAGTCAAGATTATATCACAATACATTATACGGACTGTATTTGGATTACAGATAACACTACAGAAACCTTTGATGAAGTTTAATATTCCGAGTTTCCATGGCCTGAGATATATACCGTATAATGATTTAAACGATAAGGAATATATCACAATATAAAAGAGAACTGGGAATGGGAAATCAAATAAAAAAAAGATAAACCAGGCAATGTTAATTCAATGGAAAAGGACAGGAAGCAGACCGAAACATCATTCTGCTCTCTCAGCCTATGATAGCCCCTAATGACATAGTCTGCTGTAGTGTACAGATAAAATGAACATTATCCAAGCAGTTGAAATGTGCGCACAGATAACATGCCGAACTATAAAGTGAAACACAAAAATGAAAGAAAATTGCAACGCAAGTCAGTATCTCGTGTGTCAACAGAGACTGACTTCATTTAATTCTCTCTTATACAATGTCAATAGATGAGGCGTTTGAAAGAGACTAAACCATTGAGTTAAAGAAAACACAGAAGCGCAATTGAGTTGATATTCACAAATGGCAAACAACTGCTGGTTCATACTAAACCAAGCGCATGACTTAGTTACCAAATTCTGATATTTATAATTTTATGTATATTCGTAGTTTCGTGTTTCGCTGGACCTGATGTCAATTTGCTGGAGGTTAATAGTCCCTGCAAAGACGATATGTCAAAAAGGGTAGTCTCCTCGGTGCTAACTAGTCAACGCATGTACTGGTGTATCCCCATATCCAGTAGTCGGCGTGGGGTTAAAGAAGCTAATTGACAAATTTGTCATACAATGACGCCAGGTATATTCTGTTATCATAATATATAATATTTGTATGTGGCGAAAAGTGACCGTCGTAATAATCCCCGCGGTCTAGCCGCGGTCAATATATGGTACCTGTACCAAATAATTCACAAGACAATTATTATTGGCGTCCATTCCAGAGACTAAACGCCGTGATTATAATGGTCCCAATGATATTTGGCTCCCTAAAAGAGGTATTTTTAAAGATGGTTTTCTTTATTTTTTTAGTGTCAAATTAAGCAAACCATTTGATTAATTGTTGTTTGTAATGAATTATTGTAAGCTTATTCTTAATCATATCATTATGTTCTTATTGCATAAAATTTTTAACAAATCATAAATGTCCATGAATGTACAGTCTGGATAAACAAAAAAGACTTTTTGACCTTTCTTGATCGATCACCTATATAGGTATTATATGTCGATGAGATATATGAGATGTCGAACCGTCGATTATATGTTCATTATCTGGGCTCTACATATCATTTAACCGCGTCTTGAAATCGCCAATGTCTTAGTTTTGCTGATGTCTTGGAATACGTGTAATTGATTATTCCTAAATCGTCTAAACATTAGGTCATGTTTCTGTCAGAATTCTAATATAGACACCCATATAAGTCTAAGTAATTAACAAACTACTGTTTTACTATTATTCAAATTCATAAGTAGCGATTACATAATAATCGTCTCGACACCATACTCTCAGATACTGTGGTCAAATCATTCCGGGTTTTCAACACTACCAGTTACATGCTGGCTGGCACCATCAACATACATCCTTTCTCCACTTATAAACGATGATTTATCACAAGCAAGAAATACAATAGCCCATGCTATATCTTCAGGTAAACCACCACGCCCAATTGGGTGTCGATTTTTCTCCAATCCCAGAAACTGGAATAGAAGATAACTTGCCAGGCAAGGTAACTTACCACCTGTCAGAAATGATAACAAAGTCTTTATAATGAATTTCCAAATGATCTAACAAATCAAGGCAAAACCTCAAAAACAGTTAATCATATAACTAAGTCGAGGGCAATAACTCTGAAACAGTTCAACCGATGATTACCAATTTCAAACTTGATATCGCATTAATATATAAATGTATACCAAGTTTCATCAAGATCAGATAAAACTGTGGCCTCTATCATGTCTACAATCCATAATTTGACGCGATTTTACTAAGTCAAGGGCAATAACTCTGAATTCAGAGTCTGAAACCAATTACCCGATTATAATCAATTTCGAACCTGGCCGAGATCTCATCAATATATACATGCATACTAAGTTTCATCAAGATCGTATAAAAACTGTAGTCTTTATCGTGCCTACAAGAAATGTAAACTGGCGGACCGACGGACGGAACGACGAACAGGGTCGAAGGCAATATCTGTCCACATTTCCATGTGGGCGTATAAAAATGGGAAGAATTACATAAAAAAAGCATTGTATGGGTCTGTGGCTTTCAAATAATGAAAGGAATTGAACGTGAGCATCCCTATCTAATTTACAAACGGTTGAATTTCGCGAAAACAAACTGTGACCATGCTTTATCCTTTTCATTTGACATTGATCTTAAAGAACACAACAGCAGAAGAGGCCTCGAAAATGCTTCCCTACCGAACGACTTAAAGATGGGTTCCCTTATTTTCATTTATGAAAGTCCTTTTTCTTTAATCCAGACTGTCCATACCTGGACATTTATGATTAGTTAAAAGTCTTAATTATATGCAATAAGAACATAATGATATGATTATGAAAACATGATAATTCATTAGAAACACCATTTAATCAAATAGTTTGCTTAATTTGACACTGAAAAATAAGAAAACCCATCTTTAACACGTTGTCAGTTGACAAATTATGAACAATTTTACACGTTATATTATATCTATATTATAATCATTCATTGGTTTTTGTACAAGTTTCATTTTACTGTAAATTTACGCATGAATGAATTCTATGGATCGAGCTATACATTTTTGTTTAAAGAAAAGGCCACGTCCAATTCATAAAGTTTCGACAAGTAGATAAAGAGATAAGATAGATCTGATGTGTGTAATGAATCAAATGAATGGCATAGGTAGGTCATGAAAGTGATTGTAAGAGATTGTCCTAAGCTTTTTATGCGTGTAGCGGAAACACTAAGGCTATGGCATCAATTTGCACCATTCCAAAGTCTGTGTTTACATAGACATACTAAACACCCTATAAAATCGCTTTTAAATTGGCCTGAAGTCAAAATAACATTTCCTTTTGACTTGTGGATTTTATTTCATGGAACATTTCCTGACTGACAGAGAAACCCATGAATTGGTTCCTTTCGTCCTTTCGTCGCTAAAATGAACCATTCCAAAATGAATTTCTTGCAATATAATACTTACATAATTGTAGGTTTTGTCTGAGAGGCCGGTTGGTCCTCTTTTCTCCAAATTACTAACCACAGATCCTGGGCTGAAAACAATTAGATGATTGTGCTTTTGTAAATACGTATTTTCATAAGGCATAATAGAAAATGTTGAGGTGATTGACACTTTATTCACTACATCTGACAAAACTTTCGTTATACCAATGATGAAATCAGAACGGAACATCGATATTAATATCCATCACATCATGTCAGCAATCAGCGTAACTAAATGCTATTATACCAATTTCTTTTTGATATTTCAGACGTAATGTTAAAGGTTAGTGTGACTTACTTGACTGAATTCACTCTAATACCATGAGGTCCCAATTCTACAAATAATACAATAAAATAACATAATTTTTTTAATGAACTTATGACATGACCCCCAGTGAACATAGGACGTCTTCTAACGTGAGCATTAGACATAGACATCCACTAACGCAAACATCAGTCAGATACTTCTAATATGACAAACATAATATACTTCTAGTGTACTTCTAACTTGAACATAGACACATACATCTGATATGAACATCAGACATATATATACTTCTGACGTAAACATCAGACATATACTTCTGACGTAAACATCAGGCATAATATTATTTTGTCGTGAACATCAGACATATAGACATCCACTAACGTAGACGTACACATACTTATACTTCTGACGTGAAAATCAGACAGGAAGTCCTGACATGCAAACAAACATATATATGAATATCAGACGTGTAGTCTAGTATTGATATTGACATCGAATCGAACTCTTTAACTCAAAGGTGAGAGCAATCTTCGACCATGCAAGAAAGTAACTTATATAAGAGCCTACCTAACGCTAGACATTTAGTAAACATGTCAATTGTAGCTTTCGTCATACAATAAACACCATACATTTGTGGCACCTGAAACAATTATTAAACGTCTCCCACCATGTTTTAATTTCTATGAGTTAATATATCCATGATCTAACGACATTGTTCATTAAATCATCTATGAAATTAGTCTACAGAACATGTATCCTACACCCTTTTCCGTCCATTTTTCACCAAAACTAATCGTATGTTTCCAAAACTGTTGATTAAAGGTTATCCACTTAAGTCCCATGTTTTAATATGTACATTACAGCACCAAATTCAACTAAATCGAATGAGAATTGTATTAGTTTTATGAATCACAAAAAACCTTGTTGTACCGAGTAAGGGCTACCTCATACGTCAGTACGTTAGTCACTCCGTCAATGAGTTCGCCACTCCGTCAATGAGTTCGTCACTACGTCAGTGAGTTCGCCACTCCGTCACTGGAGTCCATCAATACGTCGATGCTACCTTACAACTTTATAACTTTTGTTTTTAATAAGTTCTTAAACGAAAAACGACATTTGACGGAGTATTTAAATCAAATCGTCTATAGAACATGTCAAAAACTAAAAAAAAAATTTCGTACAAATTGGGGAATATCTAATTTCCATCAGTAAACGAAAATAAGATACAAGCTAATGACTTCGATTTTCGTGTTTTTAAAGCATCGCAACTCGTTTCTATTATTGTATGAACCTATATCAACATTCTTGCAGGATATCGATCTCAATTTGCTTATGGTTCGTGCAAGTGAAATATCTTGTATGTAGGCTATACAAATAGGCCAGAATTTTAACAATTCTTGGTATGTTTACGTATAATTTTGTGTACATCGTTTAATATGATTTTTTTAAGATCGATTTTTGAGTTGTTTTGATCTATCCAAAATAAACGAATACGAACGAGACTGCAGTTATAACCTGATCTTGATGGACTTTGGCATGTTATGTATATTGTTGAGAACTTATGTATATTGTTGAGAACTTTTCGCGATTTTTCTTCGAAATGGATTGGTGATCACCATAGAAAAAAATTTCTTCTGCTTTTGTTGTTTATTACTTCACCATCTGAAAGTTTCTTATATATTATTTTCAGTTTTTGCGATGGTTTAAAGGGAATTACATGAACCTCAGACGTCCTATTGAAAATTGGAATGGTGAAAATTGATCCTTTCAGTGTTCCCAATACATATGTGAAGTTAAAAAAAAACTTTGGACAATCTCTTTTATATGGAACAAATGATGTGAAAAAATTTGTAGTCATAATCATATTGCATTTTTAATGAAAAAAGACGTTAAACTCCAACACTTGAATTGTTGCTTCTGAATGCGTTAGACAATATTTACATTATGCATTTGTAAGTTACAAACCATATTGAAATGTGCTGTGATATTAATGGAGATATTATATTATTGTTTTAAAAACAGAAGAATACATGAGATTAAAGCTGCTGTTTTGTAAGTGTAGCCTATAGCCATCACTCGTTTGCCATGCTTATGATAACTGTGAAAATATATATTTTTTCAAAAACTTGTAATATTTTATGTCGAATTCTGGTATTCTTTTATTTTTAATAAAACAAATAATAAGAAAACTGTTTTGTCTTCTAATAGTGCCATAAATTTTTTTTATTATACTTTCACTATACCAAAATCGTGATAGATTTTTTCACCGCTTTCCTAGATTCCTTGAACATTTTCTATTTTTTTTTTTTCAATCTGTCGTTAGTCCGTCAATCATTGCAGTGACATAGTGGCGAATTCATTGGCATAGTGGCGAACTCATTGACGGAGTGGCGAACTCAATGACTTAGTGGTGAACCCATTGATGGAGAGGTAAACTCATGTTGTTAAGTATGAAGCAATCCAGGGCTGAATACCTAATTTATTGGCATTCAGTTTTAGCATTCCTTTATTGATATCTGTCATTGGAGTCAGTCCATGAATACCTCTTCCGTCTTTCTGCTAAGGATTCCGCCACCCCATCAAACGGCCCGCCATCCGTATGACGGACTGACGAACTCACTGACGTAGTGGCGAACTCATTGACGTAGTGGCGAACTCACTGACGTACTGACGTATGAGGAAGCCCTAGACAAGGGAAAACATTTCATCCGTCATTCGTCGATGCTACCTTACAAAATTACGGGGCTCTACGTAAATAACAAAGCGAAAGAATACAGGATTAAGTTTCGGAAGTTTCGGTACTAGTAACGGGCTTGAGGAAACCATCGACTTACTGACGGACATCAGTGCTGCTCTGATGCATTCCTTTAGTTTAGCGAAATGGCTGAATTATACTGACTTAATCAATGCTTTTTTTTTTTCGTTTTCTTTTGTAATTATTGGTGTTTCGTATTCTGTAAGATAGCATCGACGAATGACGGATGAAATGTTTTCCCCTGTCTAGAGCTTCCTCATACGTCAGTACGTCAGTGAGTTCGCCACTCCGTCAACGAGTTCGTCACTCCGTCAATGAGTTCGCCACTCCGTCAAAGAGTTCGCCACTCCGTCACTTGGATGATTGACAGACTGACGCAAACGACGAATTTAGCCAATGGCAATGAATGACGGAGCTACCGATTCATTGACGTAGTGACGGATGAAAAAGGCGTATATGCTGAAGGGCTAACTCATACGTCAGTAAGTTAGTGAGTTCGTCACTCCGTCAATGAGTTCGTCACTCCGTCAATGAGTTCGTCACTCCGTCAATGTGTTCGCCACTCCGTCAATGAGTTCGTCACTCCGTCAATGAGTTCGCCACTCCGTCAATGAGTTCGCCACTACGTCACTTGGATGATTGACGGACTGACGTCAATGACGGATTAAGCCAATGGCAATTAATGACGGAACTACCGATTCATTGACGGAGTGACGGATGAATAAGGCGTGTATGCATAAGGGCTACCTCATACGTCAGTACGTCAGTGAGTTCGTCACTCCTTCAGTGAGTTCGTCACTCCGTCAATGAGTTCGCCACTACGTCATTGAGTTCGCCACTCCGTCACTTGGATGATTGACGGACTGACGCCAATGACGGATTAAGCCAATGGCAATGAATGACGGAGCTACCGATTCATTGGCGTGTATGCTCAAGGGCTACCTCATACGTCAGTACGTCAGTGAGTTCGTCACTCCGTCAATGAGTTCGTCTCTCCGTTAGTGAGTTCGCCACTACGTCAATTAGTTCGCCACTCCGTCACTTGGATGATTGACGGACTGACGCCAATGACGGAGTGACGGAATCATTGACGGATGAATAAGGTGTGTATAAGCCCTGGATTATGTTATACGTAACTACGTCAATCCGTCACTGGGATGATTGGCGGACTGACGTCAATGACGGATTGAGCCAATAACGCAGTGATGGATGAATTATCTGTGTATCAGCCCTGGACTACTTCATACGTCATTACGTCAATGAGTTCGCCACTGACGGACTGGCATATTCATTCGTTTTATTTTAAGAAACGCTAGTATACATCATTTTGTAAGGTAGCACCGACGTACGTCTTTCTAAATATTTCGTTTTGATTTCGTTTTGTGATTATAATTCATTAATATTACATTTTTTGTTCGATAGCATTGACGATTGACGTTATGACAGAATCACTGACGTGAGTGGCGAACTCACTGACGTGAGTGGCGAACTCATTGACGGAGTGACGAACTCACTGACGGAGTGACGGGTGAGGTAGAATTGATTGGACCGGCGATATAATTATCATTGAATAAAATGTCTTTTTAATAAAAAAATATTCATACCGCCATGGTTGAGAATTGGCTGGAGACGTTGACGATATTACCTGAAAAAAAGAGTCACATGTAGGTTACATGTACAGGTATATCTAAAATGGATATTATTGGAATAACATGTAAATTATACAAAATCAGAGATTGTCACGAAACTTATGAAATACGCTTACCTAACTGCTAACTTCGAATAAATGTCGTAATGTAATGTCAGCACGTGATACTACCCAACACTGCGATAAAAAGTTTGAATTACCAAAATTGACAAAGATCAGGTCGACCTGATCAGGTCCCACACAATCAACATATGGGAAAATCAGCCAATAATCAAAAAGATTTTATAGGTAACAAATTTGTAGCCTCTACTGTAGATCATGAGAAAACTGCGATGGGCTCTTAATTTTTCAACATTGTGATTGATTTATTCGGCGAAAGTATAATGCAACTCTTTTTTTTAAAGTACAATACTAGTTATATTTAGATGACACAATGGTTAAAAATATAATGATACACACCCTTTGATTTTTTAAGATGAGGTATAGCATGCTGTGTTAAGAAGAATTGAGCTCTTACATTGGTGTTCATCATATCATCATAATATTCTGGTGTTGTCACAGAGAGATCTACCAGATGACAGATTCCAGCATTATTTACCTGGAAAACATCAATCCGAGATGAAGCTGACATATAAATGAAATTCACTAAGATTTAGCCCAGAAATAAGAACAACCACATTTTAGAAGGAAAATAAACAGGCCCGTAACTACAGGGGGGAGAGGGAACACCGGAAAAATAGATTGCCCCTCCGAAAAATCATGTCTGGCTACAGGCCTGCATGAAAATAAGAAATAGTCCTTTCTTATAGAGGTCCTCTCAGCTTTCATAATTTTATTTATTTATCTGGTGCAATATAATTCAAACTCAAAGAGGCTGTTTTAATGCTCTACTAAGGGTTTCACTATTCAACAATCTGTCTTGTTATAAAAAAAAACGGGTCCTATAAGACAATCTTTGATTGTTAAAGATAACGTTATTAAAATGAAATTATGATAGAAAACTTATTATGTTACGATGCCGACGAAAACTATCCAGAAAAAGAAAACATTGTAATCTAGTTTTAATTGTATTGAATTGTAATTAGATTGAAGCTGGTGTGACTTGAATAATAATGACTTATTACTCAACTTATTGTAACTGCTGTCAAACAACCAGTTATGTTCCCTTGTTGCATAAACTTAAGGTCATTTAGGAGGCACTGATTTTGGTAATCAGTAAGACTAACAGAGTCTGCGCATTAGGCTTAATTTGGCAACAACAAAACGAGTATGGATGAGCATGGTCTAAATTTCAAGAAAAAGAATTGTTTTTGTTAAAAGCTCCATTAATCGGGGAAAAGGTAATATATTTGGTCCTTTTATTTGTATAATATGTTATGTTCGCACCTCCAGTTAATCTATTGCATATCTTATACATGTTATATTGTCATATTATTAATTAATAACATTTTGCAAGAAATTTGGAATAATCCGAACCTGTCCAACACTAGATTGGCATTCATGTGCCCACCTCGGCACCTGTCCTCGCCAATTTTTCCGCATTTCTAGACTTGTAGAATGTAGAGTTAATTCAGTGTCTCTTTACTAAGCTAAAGGCTTATAAGTGTTTTTTTTATTCAATATTTTTCAGTTTTTACGAGTTTGATTGAGTATTATGTAAAGATTGCAGCCTGTTAATAAATCCAATAATTTGATAACTGGCTGATTAACTAAGAGACTCCGTCAACTCCGTCATTAACGAACCCCGAACAGCCCAGCTGTTACACTTATACTAAAAAATACTTTAAAAAAATTCACGTTATTTTCGAAAGTAAATGAATATGGAGTAACAACTTACCAAAACATCTAGTTGGTTAAATTTCTCATTTGCTAGTTCGATTAACCTCTTTCTTACATCGTTGTTACACAAATCTCCCGCAAAATATACCACCTAAATTAGATAAGCTCATAAAGAGTAAAACTTTACATAAACTTCAGCCTACCCTATCTAAGCCTACCTGCCTACCTAGTCTGTAATATCAGTTTTTGCTACCAACCGATCTTATTATGATACCCGTAGGCTTTTTAAGATTTTCATCTTAAAAGATGAAAATTCTTCGATAAGTTCAATGTCTGAAGCTAAAATGATTGATTTCTATGGGTTGAGTTAGTTATAATCAAGGATATCTATGAGTTTTTTTTTAAGTGAGCGACGTACCTTTTGTTCAGGGAGACCTGCTTCGATACATCTTCCTTTTACCCTTTTCAGATTTTCCTCACTTCGTCCACTTAGCACCAGTTTCGATCCATATGAAGCAAACATAACAGCAGTTCCTTCACCTATCCCGGAACTTGCTCCTATAATGAAGGTCAAAATTAAATTCTATCTTCGAAATATGTGCAATTTCAAATAATCATTCAGACAACAATTGAACCATTTACAAGAGTGGATGTTTTCCAGTAATATTCACTTGTTTGACATACTGGTGAATATATAACCATCCTCTTTTCATTCAAATTGAATAAAATATAAGACCATAAACTCATTTTGTAGAGCTTCAACCGTACATGACTCAAGGTTCATGTTACGTTTAAGGCAGTGGTGTTGAATCATATAGCGGAGGGGCTGAGAAAGGGGCAACAGAACTATCACGAGGTGCTCACAGCATCAGACATTAAAGAACTCAAAGAAATAACTAAGAGAGAGAGGAGAGAGGGGATTCCCTTTGGAATTGGATTCAGCTTTGTATGGGCATCACGCTAAGGTTCCAATGCAAATCTGAAGACCTTTCATTGATTATTAGGGTTGATAACAGCTGTATCTATAATTCCGGATTAATGCGGTATAATCATTTTAGTTTACAATATATATTAGTGTGTGACGCTTGAGTGCGCTATCAAAGTTGTATAATGTATATTATTAATAATGTACATTAAGTGGCATTTCTAAGGTCGAGGGTTGGGGAAGGGCAGAAAAGAGGCTGACCTGTGCTTGAACCCCTATCTTCAATTTTATTTATCATATCACATAGTGAAAGAATGAACTGTGGCCCTACTGGAAAATATTGTGGCCCCTGCTCGGCACCCTCACCTGATATTTCGTAGAAACACCACTGTATACATTATTTATAATGTTGGCCCTGTGAAATTGGATTATGATTTTGTAGTCTACTTCTCTTCCTACGATTAAGAACCAAAAGTTCGGCAGTAAATAGAGAATATGCCAATCAACAATATTGTTTGAGAACAGGTAATAGTAAAAGTGCAGGAGTAAACAACTCAAAGAAAGTATATACTAACTATTTTGCTACTAATTTTAAGAGGTATTGTCAAAACACCACATGGATATTTATATATTTTTACAGTCGACCGTGTTATTACTTGTAAACAAAAGTGTACATTTTTTGTTTTACTAACAGGGCTTTTCTAATGGAGGTGACAAATTAATGGATGCAAAATAGTTATTGTAAACATTCCGGTTAGAAAGACTTACCTAAAAAAGAAATTCAAATTCATGACTTGTTGGTGGTATGGAACATATCACAATATAACTCTGTTATGTTCTGTATTGGATTCAAAATGATTTGCAAAGTGTGATTCAGACACGTAAAAATAGAATAGCCTTCTATTTTAAGATAATGCTAAAGTAGAGCTTAGTCAATAAATAAACGTACCGGTTACAATGACAACTTTAAACTGTCCATGTTACAGTCGTGACTCAATGGGACTACTTCGTAAATGTAGCCTACTTGTCCACTGAGCTAAAAAATGTAGACTGGAAGGTCATCCAGTCCTACTTTGCGCCACTATAACGAGTAGCTTTTGACTCGATCAACTCTTTATAATATATTGTACTTTCATTTTGTTAAAACTATTTAAATCAGTGGCGTTTCTATGGGGGAACAAAGTGTAAAAGGAATTTCGAGTTGATTCATACCTTGTAACATATTTGTCCCAAGCTTAAATGAATCCCCAGAAAAGCGAAAAGTTTCCAGGCCGAGATCTTGGAAAAGAAATGATTATGATGGCTGATAACTTTTGCGGTTTTTACGGATGACATGTGGAACAAATTGGGAAACTAGAACTTTAACAAGCCTTTATTTGTCTTCATATCGGTTTTATTATGTATTTTTTCTGTTTTGTATAAACTCCGAAAGGGGGAAATGAAGTTAATCAATCAGTCAATCTACGAGTTTATTGTGTAAAATACATTATGCTTTCAAATTTTCAGATGTATGCTTTTCATATATATTTTTATTGTTGATAAGAATTGAAATGGGTCGATAAATTTACCACGAATGAGCGATCCAGTATTCAAAGAACGACGTCAATATAATTGATAGTTATTTCCCTTCTATTACATTTTTATTGCAACCTCTTAAAATTCCAAACTTTTTTATTAGACTGGATTCTACTGATCAAGGGAAGCAACTCGTTAAAAAATAATCTTTGGTTTATCCAATGCCAGAATCCTATTATAGGCATTCATCAAGTACATTCATCTGACCCCGAATTTTACCCAAGGGATACTTTAAAGGTCTACTTTCAGAAAGTTATGATATCAAATCGCAGCCATTATTTACTGGTACCATGTATTTGATGGAAACCCAGACAGAAATACTACATCTGTTATATATTTTCTTAACTAACATGGAGTCCATGTTCAGTGGTAATCTGCAAATCTGTTAGAACAAGCGTTCACACATAACAAAACTTTTCATGGCAGAGCGGGAACGTTGGGTGTTACCCTTAGTACATTTGACCCACTTCCTATTGGTCGCTTTTGAATAGATATTTTCATAATATTTACCATCTTCACAATGTCAAGCTATTGCGAACTGTATGAAGTCCATAATAGCTTGATATTGTGAAGATGGGTATGTACACATTCCCACAAACCCGGCTACCGAACTTATTAACAGCTCTGGTGTAAAAGCTTATTTTACTCATACCATACCTTTTCTGGAATAGTACAGACACAAGTTTTGCGATAACATCGAATCTGCACAAATTAGGAAGTAAACCATTTCATTGTATTTCAAATTAAGTATGCATACCAAATTTCCATCCAAATATGGCAAATTCTTCTTGTTGTGTGCATTTAGAATATTTTTGGTTTCATTGTATTAAATGGTTACTCATTTGTTATATATACATATCATAGCAAATTTGGCATTCTAACAGTTCTAACAGTTTGATTTTGTTGATGATTTTCTCATTAAGTTTAGTACACATCTAACGATGAAATAAAGATATCAGATACTTTACCACAGTCTATCTGATTTCAGAAACAACATGAGTATTGTAACGACTTGAAAATAAAGTTTAATTGAATCTATTCTTCTTTAGTTTATCATCAATATTATTCTAGCTATCATCTTCTATCTGCTGTAATTTATTAATAAAAACCATGAATCTCAGACCACATTACCTACTTTAAACACGATCAAATAACTCTTACTCTCACCAAATCAACGTCTTCTGTCTTCTCAATTTACTCAAGCTTTATCACAATTGACCATAACAAAATTTCCGGGCCAACAGGACACCATACAATGATCACGAACGTCAAATAAAGTCTCTTGGAAGCAAGAATTGAATTGAAAGTCGTGTCCATTCTTCTAGGGTTAGCCTATTGGCCTCACAGAGTCTTTATCCACAATTTGTCTGTTAGTCAGCCAGCAGATGTGTTGATACAGAAAGCAAAAGGCATATTAATTTTACATTCGACTCGCCTCCAAGATTTTCTGTGTTTATGTTCGCTTTGTGTGTTATAGCGTCAAGGGTGTTCAAGGGACTAAAGATAACTTTAATGTAATTAGCCCGTCTCTTCTTTCTGTCTTTGATTCGAGGGCAAGTGCGTGTCCATGCAAATATTTTAAAGTGATCCAATTTGCCGAGTATTATTTCACTGTACACTTTCTATCGGGGAATTTGGTTACTGTAATAGACTATTTGATAGATGCTAATGCATAGCTTTCAAATTGGTTTCTACGTTTTTTCTAGTGTGTGGGTTTTCCAAACAGATGATGAACCAATTAGCCAAACATAAAGTAGTCATAGTCACCGACTGAATTCTCTATTTCTCCACTCAACGTTGATCTGAACTGTAGTCAAACATGTATTTGAATTTGAGCTGAACTGAACGTACTGAAGAGAATTACAAAATCACCCTTTCAGTTAATTTAACTATCATCTTGAAAGACGCACGAATTTGTAGCATAATTGTTTACATCAGATAAGTTTTACTGTGATGCTATTGAAATTAAAATAAAATGTAAATTTAGTTCATTGGACTATGTCAACTCTGTGCTTAAGACTTATTAGTTGACACCGACAATGATAATTGAAGCTTGTTCAATATTTAAACACCATCAAATATCATTATTATCAATGTTTAGCCAATATGCTGTTTTTGATTTCAGGGTTTCGTTTTGCGGTTCGGACGGACCGTTAGTACTTGGTTTGTTTATTGTATGCCTTTAATCTTAGAAATATATAAATTATTGGAAGAAATTAGGATATTGACCTAACAAGGAGAACAACATGGGTCGTTAAAAAGTAATTAAAATGGCTGAAAAAAGTTATTCCAATGTAATTAAAATGGTAGAAAAGAAAAAAAGATTTTTTTATAATGTAATCAGTTTGAAAGCTTTGGTATTCACTTAATTATTGGTAATATTGAATATTTGAATATATCGTGACTGGGGCTGTTTTACATCCCAAATGGCATGTTATCGTCTGCTAATCAACTGATTATCGCGCCATTTTCTTGTTGTGATCACTTCCATATTGCCTGATAATTTATTGCTAATTTCCATCAATTGTACAAAAACAGATATATTATTGGCTTCGATTCCATTGGGATATTGTTCATTTAGGTAATTAAAGTGCAAATCGAATCGAACTTTCACTTCTGTGTCTGTTACAGTTTGAAACTGGAGCCCCTAGAGTGTGATTGAAATCTTATTAAATATAATATAATTGATTATATTTATTATACCTTTCACTGAGAATAAAATATTTCAATTAATTATCTTTTAAAAATAACTTGGCATTTATATCTTAAAAAGCGATTTTCCCTAAAATTTCAAAATAAAAAAGGCATGATAAACAATTCTTTTAAATTATCAATGAAATATTTTTTTCAAGCCCTGGATAAATTCAACATGTTTTCGTGTAATTTCTTAATTTGTCAAAGACATTAAAACAATGTCAGCGATAATTTTGCCCAAAAATGTTTCGTTCATCTTAGCTAACTGTTATTGTACATCATTTGCAGAAGTTCTGGTACGTTACTAGCAAATAGACTTGTACATTATTTGTAGATGTTCTTGATCATCACTAGCAACAACGGTTCCACAGAAAATTTCC